GTAACATGTTACACTTTTACTGGAATGATTCACCTATTTCATCCTGAATTAATGAAGAGTAGTGTATTCGATAAACTTCATGACCCATCACACTACGGAATCGACACCTTCGAGCTGAGTCGCCAAACATCAGTGATGACGTAAAGAAGTGGAAGTGAGTTTGGCTTACTTTTCAAGGGGAAGAAGTTCATCGTCACATGAACGTTCCATTTATTTAGTTCCCTACTCCCGCAACCATATTTCAACATATACTTGTAGATGTGGCTGGAACGCTGTCGCCTTCTAAATGCTTCAACCACCTACTCCCACGTATAGGTTGATTTACTCGCTGGTCTGTAGCTAGTTCACTGCCAAACATTCAGATAAACAGTTGTCTAGCTGCTAGTGAGTAAACGGATATCCAGCTTTGGTCTCTTCTTAAGTATCACCACTGATAAAGGTGCTCAGTTTGAAAGTGGTTTATGTAAACAGCTCACTGACTTATTTGACACCAAGCGCAGAAGCATGACAGTATTTCATCCTACTTTTAATAATATGGTGGAATGTTTTCATAAGAAAATCAAGGTAGCGCCTATTGCCACTGTAAGTGACGGCAGCAGCTGTAATCGACAACCCTAACTGGTCTGCTAAACTTTTTTCTGTCCTGCATAGGATAAGAGTCAAACTGAAGATAGGCATTGGTCGATGCACCTCAGACTTGGTCTATGAGAAAACATTACGATTATTAGGAGAATCTTTCACCACAGATAATTGGGTACCACTCGATATGTCTAACCAACTGAAATTGCTAAAAAGAATATGAACGAGCTGAAAATGTCACTTTCACGATCACAAGAACGGCCGTCAAATATCCCATCTCATAAGGAACAACTTCAAACTACTACTTAGACAGGTTATAGTTTTATCCTAACAGCTTTAAAGTAGAAGTGATAAGGTTGCGTATATCGGGAGATTCGGCAAACTAGACGCCGTAGTGACCGAACATGTTAATCTTGACTTCCCCGATGATCCTCCCAGAAAAAGATTAGAATCCTGTTACACTAGCGCAAAATGTAGCACGTGAAACCCCTTGAATTCTCGAAAGTCAGATGGAAAAGTCAGCTGTCGGGAGAGTTACATGCAAATTATGATCTGATCAGTCTTCCATTTGGACCATATTTCTTCTATCACTTAGACATCAGTTTTATTTCACACATTTACGCATTGCTAATGCATATTTGCATTTATTGATTTAAAACTCTCAACACAATTTTCATATAAGGCCTGATAATTGTCGGTAAATTTTCATTTTCGCATGTTCTCTCATACGTTTCGTCGGTTGCTAACTATAACGTTTTCATAACTCAATAGTCAAGCTTAATAACTGTTAACTATAGAATTCGAGTATGATACTTAGTACGCACCTGTCGTTATTCTTGTAGGGAGTACTTTATTTTTCTCGTCGAACACTTATGTTTCTTATTTCATATCTCAGAGTTCTGATAGGAGAACTATGTTATTTGCCATCATGTAACTCCATTCAAATATTTCTACAAATACACTGCATACGAATACTGCATCACTGGAACTAATTTCGCTTATATACATAAATATATATTGGACATCTAAAAACAGTTATTTACATCTTTTCAGCATCTCGTTCCATGTATATCTTGCATTGCCTGTAGTTTTAGTACATTTGTTGGCGCCTATCGGTTTTGATCACGTCTACTACATTCTGGTCAGGCATAGGTGATGTCTATCTACATTCTCTATGTTAGCATTCCAGCTTATTGGAAACTAATACTTTTGCGCATGCAGTAAGAGGCAAAATTCAGACTTTTAAAACTTTCATTTGTAAGTAGCTGTGTAAAGATTGGCTTTTTGGTGCTAATTCACGAGTTTCAACACAACAATGTCTTCTAAAATTTATTATGGTAACTATCACAATTATTATTTTTTTGGAATGATTTTAATATGAGATTTCAGTGTCTATGACATCATCCACTTGGTAATCTTGGATAGAATATGACAGTTGAGCCCTTCATAGTAGTACCTAAAGCAAGCCAGTAAGGTTCACCATATAGTCAAAATTATCTGCGCATTTTGACCCTGGCGTGTCACGAAAAGCATTTCCAACAAACTACAGACATTCATCAACGGCTACCATCTACGCTCACTCCATACTGAAGATGATCGGATGGTCAGAATAATGAGAACAAGCAACAAGGAACTCTGGCCAGCAACGAACCAGCTTTGTGGCACATAGCTCAATGATGTTACCGGCCAAATCAAGTGGTGGAAAGCCTGCGACTAACAGCTTTATTTCGGTCCCGTAGATAGGGCTCATAATAGCTACCTTCCAGCTCCACCACGATTTCGGCTGTCTCAGTGATACAGTTGAAGGAACGCATTTCGGTTTGACGGTGACTTTCGCTAATGTCAGTAATATTTGAGTGGTTAGCCATTCAGATCACTAGAGTTACCACTGTTAAGATTTATGAGCAGTTTTTAGGTAGTGAGCTCTTCTGTGAACATCGCTGATGCCCTTCAGTCGTATCTGGATAACATTGCCATGTGTTAACCTCAGTCGCTTCAAAACACTTGGCGACGGTACTGCAAAAATTCTTTAGGCTTATACAACTCACTTTACGCCCGTTTTACTGAACTGTTGTTTGTGCATCATTTCGATACGAAATTGCTACCCTGAACTCTTCTCCCGGCGTAGCTGCAAACCCTCTTAGAACAACTGACAGAACCCCTAATAAGCTTCTCTCGATATGGTTTCTCAGTTTTGGTAGCTGCTGCTAAACAGGGAAGTCTGGGATCCGAATACATGCTTCTAAACTGCTCCAAACCAGTCAATATGTAAAGATTACATGACCTTCCAAGTGAAATGCGCTACGTAACCCACCTATTAATCTACAGAGGATGAACGCTTGGTCCATGCGGTATTCTATGTGACACTAAACTGGGTATGACTGCTTTAAGCGCTTCTGCTGGCTCAAACCATCCACTATTCACTGACGCATCACCATCGCTTAACCGCTTTGTGGATGTACCTTCTGATTTTACACACACAGTGTATTTCCATGCCATACATTTGGTAGAGGATGGTCTTAGTGAGGGACCGAATCGCAAACCTTAAACTTGAAGGGCGAAGCAGCATTGTCGGTACCCGCTGTTGTGGGGGAGGGTGGCAAGCTTGTTTACTTGATCATAGTCGCTTGTGAATGCAAGATTCAACAGTGAGGGGCTTTTAGCGGGGAACATACTGTACGACGGCGTTGTGTGCACTGATCAGGAGTGACCTGCCCTTAGGCATATTGCTGGGTCCCAGCGAAGGCAACAACACCTTATCAAGTTAAGCAGCATCAAAATTCCTTAAGATGGCACAACAGTGGTGCTTCCCTTGGTTCACTAGGTCCCTATTCTAGCATATCTAACTTCGGTGGGTTGCAGTGGTCACAAATCGGCACTTCTACAGACCAGCTTCGCAGCTGGCCACTCCACATTTCCCATTATCGTGTGCGATAATTTAGAGGCGTGACCAGGTAGCTGACATCGTTGACTCAGAACCTCATACCCTCCTAAGACCGTACACTCGGAGGCTGCACGGTCGTCTCGTTCCCTGCACATTCTTATCACCTTTGTGATACCACCTTTGTTCTAATACTTTGGCAGGATCTTGCAAATGGCTTCTCAAACAAATCCCGGATCGTATCAGTGTTTCCCCTCGAAATCAGTATAAGGAGATACCGCCAGAATACCGATGATAAAATTTCAGTCTATTCATCGTCCGCTAATAAAAGACATATTCATAACCTTATCAATACTGAAACCAGATGTTCTCAAGGTTTCACTGAATGGTGATGCTGGTCTGTTCATCATAAGCTTACGTGTATTAAGTTAATTAACTTCAGCACGTTCATTTCGACTAGTTATCGTTGAGCATTTTCTTTCGGGTTGAACTTCCGTGGCCTGAGCCACAAATTCATAGATGGCCGTATCACTATCCAACGAAGTCCGAAGTTACATCAGCTGGAGTTACATTTATACCCCGAAGCTGTTTTGAATGCCTGACATGTTCTAAAGAAACCGCAGGTGGATTCACTGCACACTGGACAGGAAATTTATTCCAGTTTGTATAATTCAGAAGCATATTTTTAAAAAGCTGAAACAGCTACTCCCTTCTCCAACTCACGGGCAAGACACTTTTCTCATTCTTTTTGGAAGCGGAGTTAGACATATTTTTTCCCGAGTTTCCACGATTAGAATCCATTCACATGAGCTCGATTTTATTTCCACTCTCCAACGGATTTCAGGTTTGGCTTTAGTGTTATTACGGCACCAGAAACATTTTCCATGGGCCAAACTGATCGCGTCACATAAAATACTCTTCACCATGATCGACAGCTCCTAGGTCCCGGTCAGAAACCCTAATTTAGAGACTATCCTCCAAATGTAGTACATGGGAGAGCACGTATAGTGGTTCGTGCCAGTTCATTTGCAAAATCTTGACCTCCCTGCCCAAATTAGTTGTTGCTGACCATTTATCACCGCACTCAAAAGTAAGTAAGATGCACATTTAGAGCCCATTGGCACTGAAGCACTGTATCAATAAGCCGCTCACCATGTTACAGACCATAGGTAGCAGCACGTTTATCGGGAGCTGGATAATTGATAGTTGATTGTCTCTGTCCCTTCAGGCTTTTCAGAACCAGGTGAGCAATTCACCAGGCCAATGTAGAACCCAAGGAACCACTGTTCACCATTTCTATGCCCGCAGTTTGAAACTGAAACTAGTCCGAAAACAAACTCCATATTTGAATCTTATATTACTACTTTCAGAGTGAAGATGTATTTTCAACTCATTATGGTTTTCCAGGATAATGACAAACCATTAGGTTAGTTGTCCTTATTTCAGTGACTGGAAGAGCGATCACTTTCCGAAGGTCACAGAAGGTGGCAATAGGTTTATTGAACACGCGACTAGGTAGTTGCTCTGGCGGCTCATTGGAATGCCAGAATTAAGTCGAGAAGAAAAGATTGCGGCGGCACAGAAAAAGGTAGTGCTTTCTAAATTACTTTTATATAGTTAGAAAACAAGTCAGAAATATTACTATCAATCCTTTGGGTTAGGAGGTTGGGGGGACAGGTCGCTTGATTAATTTGTGGGTAAATTGTATGCAGCATGTTGCAGTTCTATGCTTATCTGATTGCATGTGCGGCCAGTGCTTAAGCGAATCAGAAAATCTCGATCAGTGATTAACCATTACAGCAATAACAGTGGGTTCTACGAAAAATAACCTAGTTAACATGGCTCAGTGGCGTCACTGCAATGGATAAACCACACCTTTGCAACATGAGTCCGGAATATTATATGAGGCAGACTGCGTTGCAGTATCGTATCGTTATGCCGAAATATATTGCAGTGAATATATCGGTGAAGTACAGTCCATAGACATTTTTCTAAGACAGCAGCTAGCGATTTGTTCTTCGTTTCTCCCAGTATCCATCTTTTTTTGCATATAGAATTTGTTAACTGCAAAATACATCTAGCAAGATGGTGTGATATGACTCACAAATCATTATGTATCGATATCATTACTGAGTTTATACCTGTGGTGAAATTTCGACTGTACCTATTAGCACTGTAACTATACCTATAGCACATAGCAAGAATAGTGGCTCGGACAAAATTGTGAATCGCTTTCTGTGATTCTTTTAGGTGGTTATCACTCAAGTCACTCGAACGGTATGGAGATGACCGTTAAGCGTTCTCTGAAGCATTTTCGAGGCAGGTTACAGACGGCTGTGGGTGTTTTGACCAGATATCCACCCTACGCCAGTTTCTGGAACACATACACCCACCGACATCCTATATTGAGTGCGTTTCTCAACCTTTAGGAATTATCTGGTTCTATTGACCGAGAGGTCTCGTGGCAAAACTTGTCACTGAATGGGCTGCCGAATAAATTCATCATTTTTGAACACTCTGTACTCAAATACCCATGCCATAAGGGTATTAGAGCCTATGGTGAGTCGTCAGGTGAGTTGTTTACGTCGATTGGTACCCATCGAAAATGTCTACTGTATATTCTTATTCAACCCAATAATAGACGTACTTATGGAGATCTTCCCTCGTGATTTTACTGAGGTTGGTGTTGTCATAAGAGACTTGGAGTACGCAGATGAAAGTCCAGCTAGGTGAAGACGCTGACAAGATGTAGAGTCTACTGGATACTTTGAGTGACAATTTGATAATGTTTGGGGTACTTTTCGCACTGCTCAATTGCTGATTGTTGCCCCGGGGTTTGCCTGTATTGATGCTTCACTTGACCATAGGAAACGAAATGATGGGGTGCGTTAACCACATCATTAATGTTCGATTTCAGATCCACTTCGATAGGTCAACAAGGGACGAAATCTCTGCATAGATACACGAAGGTTGCTTGCTTTTGCCAACCTATGGGGAATCCGGTTGCCTATTGAGGGTCGAGTGTACTGCACTGTGGTTGGCTCTGTTCTACTGTGTGACTGTAAAACATGGTCATTTAAGTTAAGAGGTGAGGTTTCAGGTGTTTGACCACCGTTGGCTTCGTAGCATAAACCATGCATCGTGGTGTTACCACGTCAGTAATGTGGAAGTCAGGTTTAGAGTTTTGTATTGAAGAGGAAAGTCAGTCGATGTGGTTGTGAACGCTCATTGACTGAAATGGCTAGAGCATATTTTACTCATGTTTAGTCGCTGCTGTCCCGTTGTACATTGTTAGCTGAAGTATTTTTAGGCTGACAGAGGTTGGAGACGGCAAGACGTAAACCATATCATGAGATCATGAGGTTTTTGACTGTTTTTCTGAGGTGTGTAGGGGGATGTAGACTTTCTGATTAAGGTCAGCATGACAACATAAACCAGTGGCCATAGACTGTAGGTAATAAGACTCAGAACCGATGTCAGTGGCGAAGATGCATACACACATTATTTTGATCCTAACCGTTATACTTAGTCTCATCATCTCACTCTTCCTTCCTCTCTTTTACTACTTTCTACTCCTACTTCTTCTGACAGGTAGTTTTTCTTTCTTTATCTTCCATTTTACTGCCTTGTTACTTGATGTGATGATAAGAGGTGTGGCAACTTGGACGGTTACTCAGTAATGCCTGATCCTATGTTGATCTTGATGATGGATGTATCTACACATTGAATGTGTGAATTTAACGTGGCATAACGGTATACTGTACCGTTATGTTTTATATCACGTGAAAGTATTCGATATGCAATTACATAATGTCGAAGTTCAACTCTTATGGATGCACGCATTATTTTCATGTTAATCGTTGTATCGGATCCAAATACTATTTTATTCCTCCTTGTTCCTTTCTTTTGACTTTCTACTACTTCTAGACTGTTTTGTTTATTTCTTTGTCTTTCATCTTGATGCGTTCTCTCATGATGTGCTGATATGAGGTGTGACAACTTGAATCGTTACACAGTAATGTTAGGTCCGATGTTGATAGTATTTATGTCTTCTTACCCACTCTATTTTTGTTAACCAGTTGGTACTAATGGCCCTCACTAAATGTGGCTGATGGTTTAACAACTAGAAATTTACTTGATCCTTATGTCTTGTATTTTGATCATACATTTGCAAACGAAATGATGCAATGAGGATGCTAGCATTTTCTAGTTTTATGGCATCCCCAAATGTTGGCGGTCGTGCGAGTTGGTGGAAGTTGGGAAACATAAGCCATTGGATTCTTACCCAGTAACTTAGTTGTAACCTACTCGCTGTGGGAGCTGACGATACTGGGTTCGATTTTACGTTTATTCGTTGATACGCACGTTTGAGAAGTCTCAAAATGGGACATCATCATCATCATCATCATTATCAACATAGGACCAGGCATTACTGCGTAACGGTCCGAGTTGCCACACCTCATATCAGCACATCAAGTAAAAAGGTAGTGAGGTGAAGGATGAAGATAAGTGAATGCAGTCAAAAGAAATATAAAGTACGAGAAGAAAGGAAAGAGGAGTGACAAAATAGTGAGATTCGGTATAGCGTTGTTAAGATGAGGATAATGTGTGTATACATCTGCGCCACTGACTTCGGTTCTGAGCCATATCACCTAGGGTCTCCAACCACTGGTTCCTCTTGTCCCGTGGACCCCAACCACCTAGTCTGCATCGTCCTACATGGCTTAAACCAACAGTCAGAGACTTCATACATTGGTGCCATGTTTTAGTCTGGCCACCTCGGGCCTTTTTCCAGCCTGAACCCACCTCAGCCAACATTGTGTGACGAGGCAATCGGTGACTAGGCATACGTAGTACGTGTCCCAACCATCTCAGTCGATGAAGGTTCACAACCTCGTCGACTGACTTACCTCTTCTCCCCAAAACTCTACACCTAACTTCTGCATTACTCACATGGTGACACCACGGAATACGTCCTATACTACGAAGGCAACGGTGGTCAAACACCTGAAGCCTTTTTGTGTCTTCCACTTTCAATGGCCATGTTTCACAGCCATACAGTAGAACAGAGCGGACTGCTGTGCAGTACACGCGACCCTTAATAGACAAACGAATATCACGGCGGCGCCATAGGTGGCGCAAATTGGCAAAAGCCAATCGAGCCTTTTGTATCCGTGCAGAAATCTCATCGGCAACTAACCCACCGGAGTTGATCCTACTTCCCAGGTAAGTGAAGTGGTCAACACACTCAACCACTTCACTCTCTATTGTTAACCGCGGTACCGCTGAAGACCAGTCCTGGAGCAAAAATTTGCATTTGGGTGGTGAAAATCGCATCCCAAACATTCTCAAATTCCCACTCAAAGTGTTCAGAAGACTCTGCATCTTGTCAGCGTCTTCACCTAACAGGACTATGTCATCTGCATATTCTAGATCTAAGGAAAATTCACCTGTGATCCGGTCAACGTCTTTGTAATTAGGTGACGAGAGGGAAACCTCCATAAGAATATCTATGATAAAATTAAATAAGAATGGGGATAGTGGGCATCCTTGACGGACACCACTTGATGAGTATAGCTCCCTGGACAACTCACCATAGGCTCTAACATGCCCACAAGTGTTCGAGTAGAGAGCTTTCAATAAGGTGATGTACTTACTAGGCACGCCTTTCAGTGACAGACACTGCCATAAGACTTCTCGATCAACGGAGTCAAATGCCGCCTTCAGGTCGAGAAATACAGCTATTGTCGGGCGTCTGTAAGCATGCCTATGTTCCAGGACCTGGCGCAGTGTGAATATTTGGTCGATACATCCACGGCCAGGTCTAAAGCCTGCCTGGTTTTCTCGGGCTTGCTGTTCCCGAGCTCCACTCAGGCGTCGGAGAATTATAGAACTTAGGATCTTAGACACTATGTTTGTCAGGCTGATTCCTCTGTGGTTATCACAAGAGGACTTCTCGCCTTTCTTGAAGACTGGGATGATCAGTGACTTAGACCAGTCGGAGGGGATCGTATTTGATTCCCATATACTGGCTAACACTTCCGTTAGCCTGACTAAGAGAACTCTACCACCATTCTTGTATACCTCAGCAGGTAGTCCGTCTGGTCCTGCTGCCCTTCCCCGTTTCAGGCTACCTACCGCTTTCTCAACTTCTTCTAGTGTTGGGGGACCTGTCTCTATGTCCCATTCAGGGTCCGACTGGATAGCGGGCAGCGCAATGGTGGCTGGAGGCCAGTTAAACTGTTCCTCAAAGTGTTCTGCCCATCGTCCCAGTCGCCTTCCCTGCGAGTGAATCGCCGATCCGTCCTTCTCCGCTATAACCTCACTAACTGTTGTTGACCATTTCCCCCCAGTCTCCTTAATAAGTCTAAATAACTGTCTACTGTTACCGATCGCCGCTGCCTTTTCCATCTCTTTAGCCTTTGCTGCCCACCACTGTTCACGATCGTTGCGCAGACTTTTCGTCAGTTATTTTTAAGTTGCGCTCGCTCTTCATTGTACTCAGAGCCTGCAGGGATGCATTCACGTGCATCCATTAGTTTGGAAGAAGCTGCTGATATCCACTGGCTCTTTTTAGCCATTATCTTGGAGTCGGCTACAGTCTCCAGTGCTGCTTTTACAGTAGACTGAAGATGGCACCAAGCTTCTTCTGGATGAGTGACAGTCTTTTGTTCCGATAACTGCCTAGCCAACTTCTCACTGAACACGGCTTTGGTGTTTTCGTTGTCCAGCAGAACTCGTAGTGGTTTTGTTGCCAAATTTTTTCTACGTCCATTGAGACGCAGGCATATACGTGCTCGGACCAACGCATGATCGCTGTCCAAACACGTACTCCAGAAGGAGCGGCAGTCTTCCACCGATCCTCTCCAGCGATGACTAATAGCAATGTGGTCTATCTGTGTCCATCGCTGAGTCGAGCTCGGTGGACGCCAGGTCAGACAGTGCCTTTCTTTATGTCTGAAATTTGTGCTGGCTAAAAATAGGCGGTTATCTGAGCATAGTTGTAATAGGCGATCACCGTTATCTGTACGTTCAGCTGGGATTCCGAAAGTGCCACCTAAGTGCCTTTCTGCCTCACTCAGTCTACCCACCTGTGCGTTGAGGTCACCTGCAACAACCACTACGTCCGAACGTTTGGCTTTCGAGAGGAGGTTAGACAGTTTATGGTAGAACTCGTCCTTCACTTCATCCGAACTACAGTCAGTGGGTGCGTAAGCAGAGATTACAAAGAGACAACGGCGAGTCTCACTATTCCTTTTAGTTCTCACTGTGCCGTTCAGCCTCATAGCGCAGAGGCGACTATCAACTGGGATCCAGTCTAGTAGTGAGTTTTCTGCCCTGGTGCTTAATGCTATACCTACACCTGCAAGACCACGAGAGCTAGCTATCGAATCTCCAGAAACTCGAAGGGTGAATTTTGCAGATTCACCAGATTGGTCAGGAGAGGTCAGGTGAATAACCACACTTGGGTCCTGTATGCGTGTCTCACAAACACAGCACACATCCATGCCTCGAGTTGCTAGAGTCTTTGCCAACGAAGCCTGTTGGCCAATTTGACGGAGGGTGCGGACATTGAAGGCTCCAATATGTAATTTGGAGCGTGGTTTAAGGAGACCAGGGATGCTGTTCTGTGGACTCAGATCGTTGTCGAAGGCTGCAGAGGTAGGAGAAATTGAAGATGATGCAGCATCATTAATTAAGAGACGTGAAGGAAGATTAGAAGGTAATGATGGAGGAGGAGGATAGCAGTCAGAAGAAACTTGGGTGCTGACAGAGTTGTGAGGGCGGTTGACACTTCCCGGCTGCCCACACCGTGGAAGGCTATTTCTTCTTAAGGTACCTGAAAGAGATTTGTGTGACCGCAGAGCCCATCGGACATCTGCTTGAGGCCTGTCACACCCAGCCTTTTGAGTATGATTATTTTGAATTTTTGTATTTTTGGGGCCGGATGGTCGAAAGGAAACGACAAGTGAACCAACACCGCCGGCCCGGCAGACCGTGGGGCGTGGTGGAGTGTGTTATTTTTGGGGCCGACCTTTTCTAACCCCCCCTTCCACTGAGAAGGCAGCATCAGCTTGGCACTGCTGGTCATCCAAGGGAAACACCTTACTGCTGTCACACCCCATCCAGCTAGCAGCAGTACGACTTCGCCCTCAGACCCCCATCATAGTGTAGCAATTTACACTATAACGGTAACTGCTTTTCGTCTAACCACTACCCAACAGACCTTTCTGGTATGGTAGGACCTCGAGGGAACAAGCGTTCCACCAGCATAGCTCGTTGGGTCATTGTGATATGCAAGCCCGACCACCACGTCAAGGTAGCAGCTATCGGTCGGGCTCAAAATGGGACAGGATGACGGTGTAGAGCTTCCAGCTTTTCAGTGGTTTTCTGCTTGATGTTTATTCAGTTTGAAAACTTAAAGGTCAAATTTTCTTGTTCTTCCGGTTTTAGTATGTATATTATCGGCGATCGTTGTGTATATTATCAGTTTTGAAAGATAGCTGTCAACGAAGGTTGTAGGAAAGTGAAATTTTGAGTTATGCTTATAAACTTTACTGAATTGGTAATTTTTTAAATTTTTTTCGTTTAATTGCACACATGTAAACACAGTCCCTGTTTTTGAGCCTACCAGTAGCGCCTATAAATTCTTTATTAACAGCACTAAAAATATCACTCAGTTCATATTTTCTATTGATTTCTTTAAATAGTTGAGGGAGTTTCAAGCAGCTAAAGCTAAAAAACAGTCAATTGAAACTTATACAAGTCAGAGTTCTGGTTATGATGCACCAGCATCTATAGAATACCAGGTAAGATATGCCAAGCGTATATTTTTCCCACTTTTGTGTGCTTTTCCTTTGTGTTTGTGATACTAGCTACCTGAAAGTACCTTATGAGAAGTCTTGAACTGAGACTCAGCACTTTTGAAAGAATCTGTAACCCTGTTAAGTTGTAACCCACTTTACACACCACTGCAGTCTATAACCACTACTGATGAATGCGATCCAATCATAATTAAGGACTGGAAACGTACGAGTTATAATTTGGGGACTAATAGGTATACTTAGCGCATTAACATGGCATATCAATTGCAAACCAAATGTCGTAAGTTACAACATCCTATCAAGTGAGGTAAAATGAGTCTTTCGGAGGTTTTGGATACTCATTACCGATGGATGTCAAAAAGCAAGATACTTAACTACAAGCTGACTACTTTTTATCAGCGCGAAGTGGTTTATGATTTGGCTGATTGTGGTTTACTCCTCAATTAACACTTAAAATCCTTGATTATCATCTGGGACCCAATATATATTATCGAACCAACAGGCCGGGTAATATATCTACTTGTGAAGAGTGGGATATATTCATTTTATTAGATTCATGGGCTGGACGTCGATGAAGGATCCCACTGTTGGTCATTGACCGTTTTCCAAATAGCGACGCAGGTTGGTGTAAGAAAGTCTCTAGTTCTGATTGCTGTGATTCATGTTCGCCTGATTGTATTGTAAAAACAATAAGTCTAGAAATCAGTGTATACACATGTTAGTGTTTTTTGTTCTCTCTTTTAGCTTATCACTTTACTGAAAGTAAAGCAAACTGACATTCCTGTAGATTTCTACGAGTCTATTATTTCTAAACAAAATGTAGAGATTGATAAAAGTCGTATGTGGATTCATAGCGCTGTCATCTTGATACTTATCTTACTTTTTTGCAGGCTGATTACTTGCTTGAACACGGTGATTACCACTACACGTAAGTTTTCTTACTCTCTATGTGTGCACAAGTGAATAATAAATTTAAACTGGATAAGGAAGGTGAAAAAGATGTATCACATGAGGATATATTTAGTTACTAGTGAAACACTGAAGGTTATTAGACGATTTACCGTCGTATAGATTCTAAAATAGCATGCTATGTCACCGTTACGAAAAGTTGAGTCTACAACTTTGGACACCAGCAAGCATAGAACTCGTCAAAGAAGCTAGTTGTCATTAATCGCTACTTCTTCCTCTGCACATTAAACACATCACCATCATAATTTCGTCAATTATGTCCAAGCCATCACTTTTTGTTTTTATATTTATCCTCACAATGCATTTGGATTCGACCTAATTTACTGAAACTACCATAAACTACTACTATAAACTGAAACGCCATAACATCCAGTACAAATGACCTGAGGGTTAAGATAGAAATGTGCTTTGAGCACATGAAATTTATTTATTAAGTCCTTAAAATTGACATTGTGTAGGGATTTAAAGAACCAAGACAAAATTTGAGGGTCTGTGTTTACAGTTTTCTTAATCGCTGGCTTGTTGTGTTAATATCAGTCCAGCGCACAGCATATGACTTATACTTTGTTTACAACGATATGATGTAGCTGGATATTTTTCTACCTTCCTAGAAAATAGTCATACATTCCATCTAAATATTATAGCTTAACGTGTGAATTCTGTTACGGGGACCGCAGTCATATCTGTACTCTAGTCTGTGAATAGCAGGGAATGTGCTCAGGTTGATGATACTATCTGGTTGCCTGAACCTCAGTAGATAGAACAGGATCCAAACCTTCGAACTATCCATGAAGAGTCAATTACTTAAACAAATGAACCATTTCTGAACTGTTTATTATTTTTATGTGTCGAGAACTAATAATATTCATCATTTCATTCTTATCACTGAACTGCTTATATGTATTAATGTTTTTCAAGGCTATCAGTTGATAAGACCCAGTCGATTCAGGGACAACAAAAACAAAATCAACAGGATTACTGTTTATCAAGCGCGATAAATGCAGATTATATAAATGCTACAATATATCAACCACAATCTGACGCATCAAGTGTCATAGCAGCGTATGGTGCGGTACCTACATCACTTACAAATTATTTTACTAACCCCACCAACTACTATTTTACTCCTTCTCTTTCTTCTCTTCCTAATAATAATGATAGTGGCTTTACTACTACTAGTTCCACTGTTTCTCAGAATTGTAATGATCAGGGTATTATTTCTAAAGATCTGGTGGCGGCTTCAAATCTCAATGATCAATCTTTACTGTCTTCAACTTCGATATCTGCATTTCAGATACCTAACAGAATTCCGAATCAATCAGTCTTATTGATTAATACCTCAAATACCACGGAGTTAAATTCACTCCCTCATGATCGTATAGATGGTGATTACCAGAATAAAATAAATTTTAATAGTTCTTTTGTTAGTCCAACTTTCCGTAATACTTCTTCCCCTACTTGTAATGCAAATAGTTCCAACCAATTACATGAGACAGCTTACGAACAAGTACGCCACTTGGAAAATGAAGTTGGTGAAAAAGTAGCGGTCGAAAAAATGTAAGTTTTCCTCACTGGTTTCTTCATTTTTTGCTTTTTGCTTGAGAAGAATGAAGCTCTCTGTGGAAGACAATTACAAGTACTCTTACTACTAGGATTGGGCTAGATCATCAACTTGTGTTTAAAGTGCCAAAGATTATATATATATATATATATATATATATATATATATATATATATATATATATATATATATATATATATATATATATATATATATATATCGAGACGGCTTCCAGACAGTGATGATGCTGCACCGACCTACTTATGAACAAAGTCAGTGTTACGCGCGACAAGTGTCATTCATAGCCCGTTGTATGAACCTCTGTTTTTTAACTTACATGCATGACTGATCGTTAATCAGGTGATTTACTCGTTAGTTTTGATAATCATAAATGAATATCGTTTCCTGGTTGTTTGGATTATTGCTATCCTATAATCTGGCGCATGTGCTGCCGCCCAAAATAACGAAACTGACTGACTGATTGACAAAATCAACGTAGAACCCAGCTCCCAGGTGCATGAGCTCAAGTTGTCACAAGTTACTGTAGGATACAAAGAAGAAATGGATAGAATAAAAGTGATTTCAAGGTAGGAAAAGAGGTGTGAGGAAATAAGCGATCTAAAGATGGAGATGAGTGCGAATATCCGGACTTCAGAAGACGCCAAGGAGTGACTACATCTGGGTCACTGCACCCGGTTTTCAACCATGTCACTAGGAGACTACAACCACTGATCCCTTTCGTCTCGGGGACCCTAGCCAGGTAGCCAACGTCTCCTCCATACAACTCACACCAACAGTAGAAGACTATCGACTGGTGCCAGGTCTGGCCACTCTGAACTCTCTTCCAACCTAAGTTAGCTTCCCTTAGAATGAGACATCGAGGTACAGGGTTGTTAAGGATGGACAGTGCATGTCCAAGTCATCTCAGTCGACTAAAGTTCAAAACCACATCAATCGACTTGCTTGTCTTGCCTATTACCCTTCGCCTGACTGACCCCGACATTACTCATACGGTGATTCCACCAAACGCGAGCAATGCTATGAGGACATCTGTGATAAAAACCCTGTAACTCCTTCATGTCTTTGACTTTTGACAATCATGTCTCACAACCGTAAAACAGGACAGAACGGACTGCAGCGTGATATACCTGTCCTCTGGTAGGCAGTCGGATATTTTGCCGGTCGGTACCACAGATGATGCAAGTTGGCTAATGCCGAACAGGCTTTCCGTATCCAAACTGACATTCCGTCAGAAATCACTCTGTTAAGGTCCTAGCTGATGCAACTCTTCAAGTTGGTGAAGTTGTGGACACATTACACCATTCCACTCCCTATAATCTGAGGGTAGTCGCAGACCACTCATACCTGGAGCATCATCTCACATTTTACAGGTGTGAAACGCATGCCAAACACACACAGATTTCTGCTCAACGCGTTCAGAAGACCCTTTATTTTGTCAGCGTCTTCACCTAGCAGGACAATATCGTCTCCGAACTCCAAGTCAACCAGATGACTTTCAAGTATTAGGTTAGTCCCTATAAAGTTAGACGTACCTAAGCTTATATCCATTAGTGGGTCTATTATAAAGAAGAGAAATAGAAACGGTGACAGTGGACATCCATGATGGATACCACTGGTTGTTGTCACTTGACGTGGCAACTCTTCACATGCTGTTACACGACTGCATGAGTTCGAGTAGAGGGTTTTGGCTAGCGTTATGTGTTTGGTCGGTACTTCCTTCACACTGCCACACCACCTCACGGCTGACAGTGTCAAATTCCGCCTTCAGGTCAAAAAATAAGGCAAGTGTAGGCCACCGGTAGTTATGGCTATGTTTCAGAACCTGTTGGAGGGTGAAAATCTGATCGATGCACTCTCTTCCAAGTCTGAAAACTGCCTGATTTTCTCGAGTTTGCTGTTCTCGAGCTCCAGTTAGGCGTTGGATAACTGTGGACCCTAGAATCTGTGACAGGATTTCAGTTAAACTGACCCCCTACGGTTGTTACACTAAGGTTTCCCTCCCTTATTGACTGGGATGATCAGTGAAGCACACCAGTCTGACGGTACCACTTCTGATTCCCGTACACTACCTAGTGCCTCCGTCACTTTAAGTAACAATTTCCTACCTCCATCCTTGAAAATGTCAGGTGGCAAACTATCAGGTCCTGCTGCTTTGCACCGTTTCAGGTTCGATACAGCCTTTTCAACTTCCAGGAGAGTTGGAGGATTGACATCTACGACCCATTCAGGTTAAGGCTAGGCGTTGAGGAACTGAAGCGTTGCTAGATGCCGGTAAACTATGCTTCAAAATGTTCTACTCAAAGTTCTAGCCACCTGTCCTGGGAAGCTATCAGCGTCCCATCCTTTTCGGTGATGGTTTCACCAACCATCGTTTCCTTCTTTGCCGGTATCCTTAATTAGACTTAATAATCGAAGAGTGTTGCCTTCCCTATCTCTCTCGCTTCCGCCACCCACCACTGTTCGCGATCATTGTGAATGCTCTTATTCAATTTACGTTTGAGTTGCTTTCGCTCTTCATTGTGGAGAGAGTCAGCTGGAATCAGTCTTTTCGCATCAATCAGTGCTGATGACGTTGCGAAAATGCAATTACGTTTGCTAACCTTTGGATGTAGGTTGCCAACTCTGTTTGTACCACTGTTTCTACAACAGACTGAATATGACTCCAGGTTTCCTCAGGTTGAACATCACTGTCATGTCCAGTTGAATGCTTAGATACCTCCTCTCGAAATGCGTTTTTCAAACTCTCACCTTCGAATCAAGCATAGACAGGTTTTGCTGTCTCCTGTTTCCTGCGACCAGTAAGGTGCAGACGTGCAGGATCCCGTACAAGTGCGTGATTGGAGTCCAGTCTGGTACTTTGTAAAAAGTGAAATCCTCCACCAGTTCTCTCCAAGGATGGGTTGTAGCAACTTGATTTATCTTTGTCCGTTGTTAGTTTGATGTCGTCTCACACCGTGTGAAACCATGTCTCTTCATATGCCTAAATTTAGTGCCGGCCAGAAACAGGTGATTGTCGGACCGAGATTATAATGTATGATCGCTTTTGTTGATTTCTTTGATAAGGGATTCCGTTAGTACCCGCTAAATACCTTTTCGATTGGCTCAGCTTCCCTACTAGACCGTTCAAGTCACCGGACATTATGGTTCATCTGCAAGTTTTTGTTTCTGTAGCAAAGTTGACAGCTTCTCATTGAATTCACCCTTTGTATCCTTCAGACTTCGTTCGGTCGGTGAGTAAGCGGATATTACGCTTAAACACGTGTCGGTTTCGCAATCGTTCTTATTCCTTGCAGACTCACTCAGTGAAACAACGCATTTACGTCTGTTTGCTGAAATCCGGTTGGGAATTTCACTTTTTACTCTACAACTCAATGGTATGCCAGCGTTTCCAAGAAAGCGAACCATCGGGTCTCCGGATACTCGAGCTAAATTTTTAAGAGATCAAAACGAATAAATAAGTAACAGAAAATTATCAATTTCAAAGTTTTTTTAAAAGTTATAGCTACAGTTGCACTGACCTAAAGTAATCTTCTAACTGGATAACTTCACAGATGCTGTGGTCGACAGTTTGGGTTGTTGACAGGATATAGTTTTCTGATCACCGCTGGCAAAGTCTGTGTGGTTTTCGTTTTTCAAACCTACGATATTGTTCCAAGACTGATTTGCAACACCAGCTAGTTTACGAATCGACAAATGCATCGATCACTTATCCTATTCGGTAAATTATGTCGACCATGGTGGTAAGATGATAGACGTAAAAAAGTCATAAATATCCACTCATGAGTTTTCAAAACACCTTGAATTCTTATTTTTACTTCTATCTTTGGGCTGCTGCAAATGCACTTATTTGGACTGTTGCTTTGCCTATTCGTAGCATTGCTTGCATGTAGTGAAATCACTGGTTGGGTATTGGTGAGTTCAGGCGAAGGTTAATTTAGACTAGGGGTTGCAAACTGTCACCGACTGAGATGGTTTGAATATGTGTTGCACCTTCTGAGTGACCATCTGTCTCGATATATGATATGTTAGCCAAAGTATGATTAAGTTGGAACAAGACACGGTGGTCATATTTGTACATGATACTCTATTCATTGAAGTCGATGACTATTGTTTTAGCTTGTGTAGGGAGGTATAGGCTGCCTAGCTAGGTTCCTTAAGATGTTAGAAATCAATAGTTGAACAATCTTAATGACATAGCTGAAAATCTGTTGCAATAGCACAAATGTATTCACTCTTTGACATTTTCTATGGTTCTAACGTTTTCATTCACCTTCACTTTTTTAAACTCTTTCTTTTCGTACACTTTTGTCTACTTTAATATCACTTTTCCTATTTACTTTTTCTTTGTCTCTTGCTTTGATGCATGACGACTTGATTCAAAGCACTTCTCTGCCTGTTTTCACGCTGATTTTTCTGTCTACTACTTTTTTGTCATATAAAGCGTAAAGTGGAAAGGCTTTAGTTTGAGAGTTTTTGAGCTGTACCTAGCTGTACCTAGATTGCATCAAGCCTCCAACACTAACCCATCTGGCATATTTACTGACATTTCTCTAAACTGTTTGGTAAGTTTTATCACCTAACAAGATTAATACTTTAGAGTTGATAATGAAGGGATTAGGACACTGAAATACTATCTTGTATGTATTCTTCTTGCCTCACGCGTAAAGAGCAGTTTGATTGGTGGTTTTAATTGCTGCAGACTTAAATCCCTAGACTAAATGCAGATAATGTTCATTTACTGATCGCTTCAAACAATGGCAACCTTATTACAGCTTACATCGATCAAAAGTGATCTTTTATTTCGAAAACCATTTCTGGATTTGCGATCGCAAGCACTTTACATGCAATATCGTCCATAACAGCGTCAAGAAATACACCACTGTATTGGTAGGATAAGTGCTTTCATTGTCTATTATATTTTCATAACAGAATGAAGTTTTCACGTTGTTTATCTCTGTATGTCTTTTAATAAGTTAGTAAATCTTGCGGTCATTCCTCTAAGATCTAAGATCAGTTTAGATAAAATGATCTAGTTTTCAGGTGTTTCGCTGTTCCCCATCTTTAAGTTCTTTTGGGAAAGAGCTTTCGATATCATCTTCAGTGCTGCTTTATTTGGGGGGTTCGGCGTACTTTTCATGAAATTCCACAAAAGTGTTACGATATCTTTCCGTGGACTAGGCTACTTGATAATTTATCGATATCTAATGTCAACTTTTCGCCTGGTGTCCAATATTTGTAATGTTATTTAGTCAAGTCTTGATTGCAGTTCACATAAATTACTTTGGAGCTATTTATTGTTATTGTTTTATTATTTGTAAGGCCTACGGCAGCAACAGAAAAACTGTTACAACTAACCCGTCAGCTAGATGGTATTCTAGAGACATCGGAACGCTTAACGTCTTCATTGCACACATCAGGCGCCACTAGCCCACTGGTAAATGAGTTCTGTTCATTACGTACCAGTAACAATGGAATGCAGTCTTCACCACTAACTTTACTGGAACCGTACAATTATCCTGAATCTAATCAACAGCATCATCAAACTGTTGAATCTTATGAGCAACAGCAAAAGGAGTTTGTACGCTCTACTCCGAATTCTTTGTCGGGACAATCATTTCAGATGTGTTCTGGTCAAAATGCGTTAGTTCGTGAACTTGAGGTTAGTTTTTTTGGATGATAACAGTCACTAATTTAAACCCACTATGTATCTTTGGTTTACTGTTGGATTTCCTCTCTTGATTGAGCTGTGATGGATCTGTCTACGGGTTCAATTTTATTCAACCGGCGAGTTACTGGCTTGAACTCTGCTCCACGTACTCGTGATCTGGACAACCACGTGTTATCACTAGCCCCCACATAAGTGTGTCCCATAATCTATTACATAAACATGTACCGCATTCAGTTACACTACCGTGTTCTTTTTATGCTGCAGAGTGATCTGTGAATTCGAGTCAGTGAAATAGCAAACAAAATATGCAACAATTATAGAGACTGTAATATATTTTTTAAGTTATCATCAATAATTGTTAAGCCACTCGGTTGGGGTTACCGATATCCCCAGACTGACCAGTTTAGTGAAATCTTGTTCAACTATGAATTCAGTTTCTTTTTGTACAATTTTATGATTTCAAGAGATGTCACTTGATGAGCCTTTTTTTTCAAGCAATCTAGTAGTACTGCTGATTTATTCAAATATGTAATGAGCCTTAATTGCTTTTCGCTTACATGCAGTACGAGGATAGGTATTGGCAAAAATGTGCCTAATTAATTTTTCTTGAAAACTGATTTTTATTTAGGAACGAAATGTTGAACTAGCATCAATGTTGGAAAAACGCAACCGAGCTTTTGAAGGCCTACAAGTTAAATTAGAATCAATTAAAGAACAGTATGAGCGTCGGTATAATGATATGGCTACTGAACGTACAAATCTGCAAAATAGTTCACAACGTGACTTGGAGAAAACTAGAGAACAAGTAAGTATCTTCACTTCATTTTGTCTTACCATTTTTATCCTATCAGTGGATTTAATCAAATGAGGTATTAGTTTAAGGGATAACATAGTTACTAGATCATCTAAGGATTCATTTTGAGGAAAAATATGTGTTGTCAGATCGAGCTGTAGTATCAATTCATGCAGTATCTGGTTATTGATCTGACTCGTTGACTTCCTGGTTGTGGTTTAAAAGAATAGAGACAGGTTTTTAGGGAATAAGTAATATAGTTCGTCATCTGTCGTATTGACACAGATAAATTCGTACTCCGTCTGAATCTTAATATCATACATTTTTATTTCCTTCTTTGTCTCATCTTGTGGTTTTTGTGACTTCGGATGACACGATCTTTACTTTTCTTTCCATTTATTACCTTACAATACGATGTTCTCACATGGAGTCTGGTTGTATGAAGTGTTACACAGTACTGATAATTTCTTTGATGATAATATCTGTAATATCAAAAGTTGACATGTTTTGCAAACTGGAAGCGCATATCAATTTATCCATATTTTATGTTTTAAGAAGTTTCTGTAGGATTCATGTCTGATAGATAGTAGATGAAGTTAGCAGTTTGAGATTTCTCTGTGATAATTACCTCATTAACTTGACTTTCTGTATCTTTTGTAATCGAGCTGTATCCGCACATGTAACGTTAGTTTCTTCTATGTGTTGTTATTCACATTTCTATGAATAGAGTGTTTTAATTACAGATTTTCAAACGTTACATTCTTTTCGACCAATAAAATTCACCCTTTCTGTTCATAAAAGAAGCCTAGTTAAAGAATTTATTTATTATAAAATAAATAAATTTAGAAGTGATTCTTCTGTAGTCAGCTAAGCTGTTACAGATATGTGTATCAGTCTATGTATATAAACACGTTATGTTTGATGCTGACCTATCCGATTGAAGTGGTTGGGATGGGCGTCGTGGTGAGGTTTCGGATACCGTTAAATAAGGATGCGATCGAAGTTCTGGATGAACAATATGATACTCAACAACTCGGTCGGCTAAAACAAATAAAAAACAGTATTGAACTGAAGAGAGTTTACTTCAGTCGGAAAGTATGAATCGAAGGGTGCAACTCTTGCTTTTATATACGATTCGGGCATCCTTAGGGTGAACAGACAAATTAGCATATTGAAAGTGGAAGATTAACCAATATCGAAAAATAGCTTGCCTAAAAGGGGTAAAGTTAAGCGATACACGTGGTGCTGAAGAAGGAGCGAAAAAGGGAATTTAAATTTCCTTTAAGGTAAACTCACAAAATTTAGGCATAAGACATTTATTTTTGGCTACGCAACATCTCTAACACTACAATTGTCACCAATTCGTTTTTTTGCTTCGTCATTCAATGTACACACAAACAATGGTTTGTACAGTCAGTTGTCAGCCTATGTGTTCACTTGATAAAGACGTCTGATAACGGCTTGTAAATCCGTTGAATGACAGGTTGCGTGTAGACACTGGTTCCGTCAGGAGTGGATATCAGTGAGAGATACCAGGATACGTATGTTTTGTTTTTATGTCTTGGAAAGATAGTGTCAATTGAGATGTAGACGTTTGTGTGAGCAGAATTATCACCTGAGCTCCTGGGATTATTGTTAGCCGGAGCGTTTAGATTGCAACTGCGTATTACAATCGATCTGAGGATTCCCCAATGATCGATTGTTACATGCCTACTTTCGGATCGAAGTTAACTCTCTTCAGTCTAATACTGTTTTCTTTGTTTTATCTGAGGGAGTTGTCGAGTATTATATCATTCATCGGGTATCTAGACCACGCATATCTATTTAACGGTATCCAAAATCTCAACATCGGTGACCGTATTTGAAAACGGATTTTATGAAATTCGATAGATTTACCGATCAGTGAATAGTTACCGCACGACTTACTTCTGCTGAGCGTCAAACTCAACTCGCAGGATAACTTCTCACTATGTTAATGGCATCACGAATGATGCCATGGAATTTCATTACGATCCACAGGAAAATATTACTTTTGGTATGTGGTTCCGGCGTTTGAAGGACATTGCTAATATGATTTTGCCGTGTAGGACAATGCTTCGAAGGTACGCTTTTTACTCTTGAAACTGGATCCAAACGAACTAAATCAATGCTGTAACATTATTATGCCAAAGAACCCTTTCAACTCCCATTTGACTCCACAGTTCAAGCACTTAGGGGACCACTCTTCACTTTTCAACACAACGTATTTGTCCTGCAATGGTGATGAACGAAATCGACTCATTCCGTGCACATGTCAGTGTCGTCAACCGTAGATGCAAACGACTCAAACTGAAATCTTTAACTGGAGATGAGTTTAAATCCCTTATACTAACATTCTGCTTGAAATCTCTAGAATTTGCTGACATCAGAATGCAATTGTTGATTCGTTTAGACCAAGACCCAACGCCAACTCTGACGACATATCTGCAGAGTTTCAGCGTCTGGTAAGCCTTCAACTCAACATCTTTGTCTAATCCGGATGCCGGGGTGGCTCTAAAGTACATGCAGTTCGCCGGACAACAGGCTCTGACACAGCTTGTGATAAAACACTCCCTGGTTTGCCTTGAAGCGTCTAAAACTACTACAGAGATTCTAATAGAATAGCAAAGAAGACACCATCCCCACCTTAATGACATTGTAGCTCATGGAACTTCATTCTATCTTACCCTTTTAAACAAAGTAGATATCGTCATTGCTACACCGTGGGTCACAGAAACGGATATTTCAAACAGCACTAACAACGGGTGCCTTTAACCTCTTCAATAAGGTGGCACAGGTCACATTCCAGACCTGCAGGTGAGTCTCCAAGTCTGGTCGCCAGTTTCCAAGCGCAAGCACTGGCTAGGAGAAAATTCATTGACCTCCATAAGTAGCCATTCAGTGCGTTTGTAGTTAGATATGGCGTCCGACATCATTATTATTTTGAAGCAGCTGTGGATTGATATCGGTTGTTTCCCCATTCAGAAAACAGTACAGACTGCTGTGAGTGCTTATAGTATTCGTTTGCAACCCACGGAACAGCTTCATTGTCGTATTTCCTTTATCGCCAAAAATACTGATAGCTTGTAACTACCCCACTGATGCAGACCCAAATCTTCTGGGCTTCGACTGGTTTGAAAGCATCGACCTTGCAGACGTGCCTCCAAGTACCACATCTAATCACATACAAACATCGCCACCGCACGACGTAATATAAAGGTTCCCAAATGTTTTAAAAACTGCTCATAGTTGTTATACAGCAGCACAACATCGTCAATATCAACATAGGACCAGGCATTACTGCGTAACAGTCTGAGTTGCCACGGCTCATATCAGTACATTAAGTAAGAAAGGTAGTGAGGTGAAGGATAGCCACTCTTTCTGTAACACGTGTTTGCTTCGAGCACCCGTTTGTCTGCACCTACATGGTCGTGGGAAAAGTACAGCAACAAGACTATTGTGAGTGCTGCTTTACTATGAGAATACTAAGGCTAGTTTAAATGCGGAACTGGCTAGCTAGTTAACCTAAAAGAACATCACTCATCCAGAAAAAGCTTGGCACCATATTGACAACTGAGTTTCATGTGGTGATTCATATACAAGGTTATCATTTGTTACTTATACTTTTTGGATTTCCCCTTTTTTAATATCTGGATAGAATTGGTTGAACAGCTTGGCATAGGTGAGAACTAGTTGTTAAGAAGGCTGTTTAAATTCAATTTAGAACTTTTGATGGCTTTCCCAACAGTTCAGAACTGAATAGTCTTATGCTAATAATACTAGTTCTCTCATAGCATGACAAACAATTTTCGCGTAAATTTACTTTAATTACGGCTTGTTGGAGTAAATTCCCATCGGGAGAAACTTTGTAGCCATTTTCTGCATAAATTATGTGTGTGATAGTTACAAATAAATGTGATGGGTTGTTTATATTTTGGATCGTTGTTCTTTAACTGGAAACTGATGGCTTTCCTCGGGAACTTTATGGTATTGATTTCAGTCGCTAATGTGAACGAACTGCATACGGTCAAATGCAATCACAATGTTTTTTGCTTACTCTTTTTTTACAAAGCAATGTAAGCAGTATCTTTTTGTGCAGCAGTGGATATTCATATTATTAATTTCTAGTGCATTACGACGTTGACGTACATCAGTTTAAACGTAGCATGACCTATATTTTTGGTATTCATTCAACGGATTCAAACCACGCTACATCTACCGACATTTAGACCATTCATGGCTTAGTGCACAGGTCTACAGGTGGTTACTAATGTATATTTTATTTTGTTTTAGGCCTTTCATAAAAGTGATACATTTTTTTTTTATAGATACGTGCGCACGCTAAGACTATTGGAGTTTTAGTGGCTGAAAAGACCGAACTTCAGTCTCAAATTACACATTTAGATAATTTAGCAGCTCAACGACTGAAAGTGGGTTACCTTTGCTCTTTTTTTGTTACCACTTTCCTTTCTCATATATATTGCGGATGTATTTTATAGTTAGTGGTAAAATATGTTTCTTAGCAACATATTCTTTAAGGAGCACAATGAACCGTCAAGAAAAGGTAATACCTTGTTTTTGTTTCAGTTTAAGAGTGATCTGTACTGAATTTGGAGGTTGTTTACGCTTGATGATTGGTGTTTATCTAGGACTTTAGCAATGGGCTTTCAAAGCATTCAGCTGAATCAAAGTAACCTCTAAATAACTGCCTCAGGTCTACGTCCTTCACATGAATTAAGTTCCACTATGATGTTTCAATGTCTTATGAAATACCCAGTGTAGAGCACTTGGCTGTTATATCGTAAGATATAGATTCTTGTTAGTCACTGACTGATGATGATTGATCATCCACTGATGAGCATCAAGTTCTTATCTAACATGGCAGCGTTGCAATATGTTCTGAAACGGGTAAAAGACTTTTGAATTCATGAGTTTGCTACTTAAATGTACTCAACGATTTGACCTTTTGGAATTTTAAACTTCGTTTTTATCTAGTATTTCTTCCTGCGTCGTATTTCCTTCACTTTTACGTATCTAATTACCTTCAAATGGTTGAGCCAGATGAAATCAACGTAGAACGTCGCACAGAAGTTTATTGGTTCTTCTGGTTTCCATACTTCATAGTATCATGCAAAAAACAAGTGGGTAGAAAAATGCTGATATCAAAGTAGATAAAGGTGCATAGGAGAGCTAGGACTTCGAGAATAAAAGCTACTGAAAATATTCAAGAGTGAATACATCTTCCCCCGTTTTGGCCTATTTTCATCCATTTCACCAAGAGTCCTCAATCACATCGCTGTCATCCAGGGTACTCCAACTAGTTTGTCTACACGTCCGTGCACGGTGAAGACCCAGAGTCCTAGTCTTCATGGTCTGGTCCCACTTGTCGGCCTGGTCACCCTGATAGCCTTCTTCCAACCTAACGCAACCTCGGCCTGCATTATACATGGAGGTGTGCTGCGGCTCGGTATGTGCTGTCTGTGTCGAACTCACCTCAGTCGCTGAAGTCTCACTACCTCACCCACTGGGTCGCATTCCTTGCCTAGTACCTGACCTTGACAATGCTAACACGGTGATTCAACCAAGTGCAAGCAGTTCTGCAAAGACACCTTGGGGCCAAAAACTGCATTTCATTTCATCTAATTTTAACGGCCATGTCTCACAGCCGTATAACATGACAGAACGAACTACAGCTCAATGTACTCGGCATCTGATAGACAGTGAGATATCCCACCAGTTTGCACAAGAGATGATGCTAGTTGGCAAATGCCGAGTTGACCTTTTGTATCCGAACTAAGATTTCGTCAACAACCGGCCCATTCGAGTTTACGCAGCTATCTAAGCGTCTGGATTAGTCGACACATTCAACCACTTCCCCATATATCCTTAGACAGGAAGTACGTATAGACCAGTTCTAGTGCATCACCTTACATTTGACACCTGCGGAGCGCTTGCTGAATGTACTCGGATTTTCGCGCAGTAGGTTTAGAAGACTGTATTTTGCCAACATCTTCACTCAGCAGGACAATGTCGTCTGCATACTCCAAGTCAACCAGATAACTTCCAGAGAGTAGGTCAATCCCTGTAATGTCAGGCGTACCTGAGGTTATGTGCATTAGTACATCTGTAGCGTAGTTGTGCAGGAGCGGTGACAGTAGCCATCGCCAATGGATACCACTAGTTCAGTTCAGATGACAACTCTCTCCTAAGTCGCCATTAGCGCCCGTCTTTTTCGGTGTTAGTTTCAGTCACCATCGTTTTCTTTCTACCGGTATCTTTAATAAGTCAATAGATGCCAGGTTTTACCTAATACTGATTCCTTCTCCATCTATCCCACCTTCACTCACCGCTGGTCGCAGTCATTGTGAAGTCTTTTGGTCTCAAGCTTATTCTCTTGCTTTCGCTGTGATGATCACAGCCAGCTGGAATCAGTTTTCTCACAACAATCAGTTTGGATTAGGTTGCGGAGATCCACTGAGGTTAACTAACCTTCTAGTATAGTTAGCGAAATGTCTTTGTCGCTGTTTCTACAGCAGACCGAATATCATGCCAGATTTCCTCAGGATGAGCACCATTGTCACGTTCAGATAAATGGTTAGCTGTCTCCTTTCTAAATGCGTATTCCATGTTTTCATCCTCCAGTCGATAACACACTGGGTTCACTGCCGCCTGTTTCCCACCACCGGTAAGGTGCGAACATACACCTGCTCTACTAACGCGTGATCGGATTTCAAGTCGGTACTCCAGAAAGATTGGCGATACTCTACCGATCCTCTTCAACGATAGCTGGTAGCGAAACGGTCTATCTATGTCCATTGTTGGTTTGATTTAGGTGGACACCACTTGAGACAATGTCTATCTTTATGCCTGAAGCCGTTACTTGGTATCACAAATCTGCAACAGACGGTCCCCGTTGTCGGTTTGTTGGCATGGGATCCCGTAGATACCTCTAAGATGCCTTCCCATTGACTCGGGTTTCCTACTTGAACATTGAAGTTGTCTGTCATTAGGACCATATCTAAATGTTTTGTTTTATGTGGTAAAATTGACAGGTTTTGACAAAGTTCGTCTTTTTTAGCATTTGGAATGTAGCCGTTGGGCACGAATGTAAGCATCGATAAGTCTCACGATTCGTCCTAGTTCTTACAGTTATGCCGGCTGTCTGATTCGGCATAGGTTTCGGACATTGAGCCCACCATTATGAAATAAATGGCTGGATCTTAGGAGACTAAGAATGAGCTTTCAATGGCATATATCGTCCCCAGCGTAGCAATTTACACTTTGAGGGTAGCTGCTTTTCGTCTTATCACTATTCAACAGATGTTTCTGGGATAGTAGAACCTCATGAGAGCAGACATTCTAACAGCATAACTCAACTGGTTATTATGATGTACTAGCCCAACCACTGCATCAAGGTAGCAGCTGTGCCATCTTATCATGGGACTGTTTGAGGAGAAGACTTCGTATGTCCAACTACTATTGCCTTGGAAGCCTTGATCCTATATCATAGAATACCCAAGTAACAAATGTGGAGAATAAAACTAGAATCTTTGGTAAACGAAATAAACTAGTCAGTAGTACCGTAAAAATTCATCGACAAAGGTGGCTAGGACATGTTACACATGCACTGTCACCGTCTACTGTGACGCACGAAGTTAGTCGAAGTAGGCTTACATGTTAACTAGGTTAATGATAACCGAGTCGAAATGTGACTTAAATCCGTGAAGTCTTTTACTGTTAGTTTGGACTGTTTGTGGGGATGTTAACTTTCGGGTTGTGCTCTATCAACCAACCAAAACCAGTGGTTGGCGACTTCAGGTGAAAGAGTTGAAAAGTACTCAGAGTGGAGCAGATGCACCCATGCATCATCTCAACAGTATATCATATCATGTCATTATTTGCTTCATTTCTTCCTCTTCCTTATGGCTTTTTAGGACTTTTAATTTTATGATTCTTACTTCTTACATCTTTATGTATTGCTGTGAAGTATAGTAACTTGACGCATTACGCAGTTCTGCTGCGACACTTGTTGATACTGACTGGCTATCTCCACTTGTACTGTCGTTAAAGCTGGATTTTACCAGTTTGGTAGTATATATCAGATGAGTTATTTACGTCGAGTAGTATCGTCATAATATGTTTTAAGAACACGACTGAAGACTGATAAAATTGTTTTTCGGGAAGTTACAGCAAGTCTTGGTGAAATATGAAAACTTTAAGTTGAACACCGTTCATGCAAATAGTCTGTGCATCAAAATGACCACTTTGCGAATGACTTACAAATTGCCCGATCAACATTGACATTTCTCAGACCTGAGTGGTTTTTCAAACGCATAACTGTGGTTTCAATAGGGTTTTCATCGAAAACCATCCAGTCAGGATCATAAGGTGTGATCTGTGACACAAAAGTGCCATTCACTATCGACTCTGTCGACCGAGAGGTCTCATGGCAGAACTTGTCACTGAATGGGCTGCCGAATAAATTCATCATTTGAACACTCTGTACTCAAATACCCATGCCATGAGGGTATTAGAGCCTATGGTGAGTCGTCAGGTGAGTTGTTTACGTCGATTGGTACCCATCGAAAATGTCTACTGTATATTCTTATTCAACCCAATAATAGACGTACTTATGGAGATCTTCCCCTCGTGATTTTACTGAGGTTGGTGTTGTCATAAGAGACTTGGAGTACGCAGATGAAAGTCCAGCTAGGTGAAGACGCTGACAAGATGTAGAGTCTACTGGATACTTTGAGTGACAATTTGATAATGTTTGGGGTACTTTTCGCACTGCTCTGCTGATTGTTGCCCCTTGCCTGTATTGATGCTTCACTTGACCATAGGAAACGAAATGATGGGGTGCGTTAACCACATCATTAATGTTCGATTTCAGATCCACTTCGATAGGTCAACAAGGGACGAAATCTCTGCATAGATACACGAAGGTTGCTTGCTTTTGCCAACCTATGGGGAATCCGGTTGCCTATTGAGGGTCGAGTGTACTGCACTGTGGTTGGCTCTGTTCTACTGTGTGACTGTAAAACATGGTCATTTAAGTTAAGAGGTGAGGTTTCAGGTGTTTGACCACCGTTGGCTTCGTAGCATAAACCATGCATCGTGGTGTTACCACGTCAGTAATGTGGAAGTCAGGTTTAGAGTTTTGTATTGAAGAGGAAAGTCAGTCGATGTGGTTGTGAACGCTCATTGACTGAAATGGCTAGAGCATATTTTACTCATGTTTAGTCGCTGCTGTCCCGTTGTACATTGTTAGCTGAAGTATTTTTAGGCTGACAGAGGTTGGAGACGGCAAGACGTAAACCATATCATGAGATCATGAGGTTTTTGACTGTTTTTCTGAGGTGTGTAGGGGGATGTAGACTTTCTGATTAAGGTCAGCATGACAACATAAACCAGTGGCCATAGACTGTAGGTAATAAGACTCAGAACCGATGTCAGTGGCGAAGATGCATACACACATTATTTTGATCCTAACCGTTATACTTAGTCTCATCATCTCACTCTTCCTTCCTCTCTTTTACTACTTTCTACTCCTACTTCTTCTGACAGGTAGTTTTTCTTTCTTTATCTTCCATTTTACTGCCTTGTTACTTGATGTGATGATAAGAGGTGTGGCAACTTGGACGGTTACTCAGTAATGCCTGATCCTATGTTGATCTTGATGATGGATGTATCTACACATTGAATGTGTGAATTTAACGTGGCATAACGGTATACTGTACCGTTATGTTTTATATCACGTGAAAGTATTCGATATGCAATTACATAATGTCGAAGTTCAACTCTTATGGATGCACGCATTATTTTCATGTTAATCGTTGTATCGGATCCAAATACTATTTTATTCCTCCTTGTTCCTTTCTTTTGACTTTCTACTACTTCTAGACTGTTTTGTTTATTTCTTTGTCTTTCATCTTGATGCGTTCTCTCATGATGTGCTGATATGAGGTGTGACAACTTGAATCGTTACACAGTAATTCCTGGTTTAACATTTATGCTGATCCACTGACTGGTATTATTACACATGCTTTTAATATCTTGTGAAGTACTTACATTTTTACCATTCAATAATGATTTCCAATAACTTTTTGCATGTTAGACTTCACATATTTCCTCTCTCTTTTCTTACTGCTTTGCATGCATGATTTGTGTTTTCACTTCTTCCGACGCTGCTTACTTATTGTCTTCACCTGAGTTAGTGCTTTGATTATGGTTTAATTCATTTTGTTTTCCTCAGTGGTAGGTCAGTTATATGTGGATGGCAGTTTTATGTCCCCTATGTAGTCATTCTGTTTATTTCATGACCTGGTCTGCCTTTTAATGTTAACTAACTGGAATCGAAGTGGAACCTAATAATCCGTTCATTCGTTCAAATAGATCTATGTCGTTTGTACTATTTCACGTTATGCTAGTGATATATTCAAACTTACATTTAACCTACTGATTAAATATTGCTTGAGGAATTATCTTTGCCTAGGATAGTACTTAAATCTGATTTTTTTGAAATGCTTATTTCGTCCAGTAAGTTCGGTCGTTTCTTTAGTTTTTTTAAATTTTTTATTTGCAGTTTGGAAGTTAGTTCACTCTAGAATGTTTCATCTGAATACCACATTAAAACATATATCGCCAGTTTACATGATGAAGGATAATGTAAATTAACTGTACTTTTTGAAGTCTTTTCAAATTGCGATCTGTTCTAAAAGGAGAAAATTTGCTCATAGTCGTTATTGTTCAGTGGTAAATTCATCTTTCTAAAACAGTTTTTATCATTATTTTCTTGTGATGAATCTTTGTATTAGGAAATTGAAGAAACCAATGCTCGTTTGAAAACATCACGTCAACAGATTTTAGATTTGGAACGTAGTGCAGCAGAGGGTAAAGCGGCACTGAATGAATTACAAACTGGTAATAATAAACTTCAACATCAGGTCAGTATTGAAGTGGAATTACTTCCTTTATTCTTTTTTGTCATCTTCCTCTTTATCGTTTTGCTTTTGAATAAACTTTGTTCAAAAATTATTCCATGTCTTCTGAACCAATGTAGGGTTTCATTGGATCAAACACCTGCCTTCCAACCAGTAGATGGTAAGGTTAGGTGGTGATTACCAAGCTAGGTGCTGTAGTCAATCTGCAACACATCGAGTGTTGCACTACATTACAATCTTCATGTGGTTGCTGGTAATATCTCCTTTGCTTGCTTTGGTGCATTGTTGTTTTCATAGTTCTTAAAATATCATGCCCCTATTGATATTTTGCTTCTCAATATCTTAGATGCTACTTTCTATGTCCAACTTTATGTGAAAATCATATCAAGACTAAGCTTGGAATGTGGCTCAGTGGTTAAGGCAGTTGATCAGTGGGTCACTTGTTCGAATCATGCACGCCTAGTGAGGTGTGGGCAGCCAGGTAGTATGATTAACTTCCACACAATAGGTGTGGTTCATTGTCTACTGCACGAATGTACTCCTGGTTGCTAGAGTATCTTTGGATTTTTTCGATTTCGTGACATTTTTTATGTCATATCCACTGTTCTCAAACCTGTTCTGTGTGTCAACACCCTATTTGTATAGCTTATTGATAATCGTGATAGCACCGATATTTACACTCATTAGATTTGTGTTACGATGGACAGTAGACTAGTATAACTCATAGTCATATGGTTATGCTGATAACTGCAAAATAGATGACTCTAACCCAGTTAGTTACATTACTATCTGTACGTCTTACATTTAAATATCACTTCACTTACTACACTTTGGCCACGCCTTTGAGTCATTAAATGAATTGAAAGCAAGATGTGATATTTGTAACCTCATAACTAACAATCCTGTTTCTTCTTTCACCGTACAACAAAAAAAACAAGACTTGTCCTAACAATTTTTGTTTACCTTCGGTCTTCCTCATGCGTACGTACAACGGATATGCTTACAACGTATTGTAGCTAATAAAAATGAAACAACTGGTCTCACAAAAAAATAATGCACAGTGAGTAATTTCAATTAACATATGAATAATAGGTGGTAAGGAAATGAGTGAAGGACTGATAAAATGTTCTCGAGCCAAGGTGTACAGTGATTGTATTGAACAAGTTCAGGAAAATTTCTTTTAAGATAAATCATTACATTAATACTTGTCTGAGATATCTTTTTCTTATCTTCCGTCTTTTGTAACGGTTTCAATAACTAATTCATGGTTCAAAAATAATCAAGGTAAACAGTTAAGGATTTCAGCATTAACGGATATATGTTTACAGTTGACACTTTCTTATAGTTCAGATCATAGGAGGTTACTTTTACGAAAGATGTCTGAAAAGAGATTAGATTAGTATGTGTGACAGCCGAGCCAAAGAGAAGCCACTTGGAGCGTGTCACACTGGTTTTCTGAATTTTCTATTTACTTATGCTATTTCTATAAGCGTAAAAGCCCTTGCTGTCGACATTGGAAGTTTGTCGAAGGTGTATTTATTTTTTATGGCCAACTAGTTTTGAACCATTCTCTTAGGAGTAAAAAGTCAGCACGATCCTGAATTTGTTGGATATCCACGGGGAACGCCTTACTGCGTCACGGTCTGTACGCTAAGCATTGCAATCCCACCTTAACTCTCATTATTATACCACAGTTAGATTGTAAAACTAGTTTTTAAAAATTCAAAATTAAACAGTTTTTTGATTATCCGAATTGTTGTTGTCTCGAACCAAAATAATTATGTTCTATATTAGGCTTTGGACTAGTTTCGTTAGTGCAGTTTGTGTTCCCTAGTTTGGTTGCGACAATCTGCATTTACGTATTGACTTATTCAACTCTCGTTACTCTACTTAATACCGTTAAACTTTTATTTGCCTCATTTTTACAACCATTTCACTCACTAACATTATATGGAAAGTTACCTAAGTTATTCTTTTTGTAGTTCACTATTCTGTACATCTTCGTATTCTGCAGTGAACTACCTTATCGTTCTCTAGTGTTGCAACAATGGGGAATACAGTTGATTTTTGCTTTCGCTTACCTATTGGTGACTTTTGACAGGTCTGTCTATTTACTAAATCCTGTCCTTGTGGAACTACTGTTGTTGGGTAAACGTATTGTTGAAGTTACACGGAGATTCAGTGGTCTCTTCGAGCATAGAAAAAATGTTACTGAGTAATAAAATTACTTCATAACACTGTCTTATGTAACAGGAATACCTCAGCATTGCTGCTGAATAACATTGATGATTCGGATGGATAGGAAGGGTGGTCAAGTTACAAAGTGGCACCATAGTTTAGGTAAAAGTTGTGATAGATTAACCTATATCAATGTATCATGACTCGTATTCGGCCTTTACGACAGTGAGAATCACTATCCCTGATAATTATGTAAGGTTGGAAATAGGTGACATAGTTTAGCCTCAGTTTTATTTTATATTTTGTTTGATCGAAAAGTATTACAAAAGTGTACAAAAAGATTTTGATTTTGATACTTACACCGGGGTTTTATTTTGTCGGATGAATCTACCTTTGCATAAACTATAAGGATTCGCTAAAACCTGAAGTCATGATTTCTTTGACTACTGATATCAAGATTAACTCACTGCTTCTCATCTTTTTGCTTGAAAATGTGCTATTTGTTCATCACCAACAATTTAGGTAGTGTTTCATCTGTATTACAGAGACATAGTACTGTACACTATTATGAAGTAAATTTCACTCGTCAATATCTGGGATACGGACTGGCGGAACAATGTTGATCGAGACCTCAGTGTTCTTAGCTCGTAACCATATAATTAATTTTTGATGACTCACTGTATGATTATCGAGTTTAAGTAAGGAGGCATCTCTTGAGCAAAATATTTTGATAAATATGAATAAGAAACACAACATATTTTCCATACAAAATTTATTATCTCTTACAACTTATCGACTGTTGTATACAGGGAATGAATGTAATAGTTATAGTCGGCTAAGGGAGTTCGAAAGTCAACATGAGAATGGTTTCTAACCATTCTTTTTATTCAGTCTATTTGTTGACTCGAATTTATTCATCAGGATCCTTAGTTTCTCCCCCTTTGATTTATTTCTCTCCTTTTCTTTTCAAAGGTGCTTGTTACGAATTTCAGTTGGTTAGTCTGGACTAATGGTATATATTTTGTATTCTTTATTCTTTTTGTCATTTTTTTGTTTCAGATTGAACGTCTTCAAACAGAAATAAAACGGGAGAAAAATGCACGTCAAAATCTTGAAGATGAATTATCAGAGACAAGTTCACGATTGACAGCTAAGTCATGCCAGTTAGCCCAAATGGGAATCAACCTAAATGAATTAAAACAACAACTTGAACTATCTCAGGTGTGTTATATGTTCTTATGACAATTTTCTTTATCGTAATGCATTTTTTACCTTGCTAATCATTTAAACTGTTAAGCAGTCAAACTTAACTTGTTTATAGGACTGAATTGCTATCGGACAGAGAACTTGAACGTCTGGCAGATCATTTGAATGTAACTAGTTTCGTAGTTACCTACTTCGATTTGATCTATTGAGTCGTTGCCTTCCAGTCCGACTAACTTCCGAACATTTTCAAAAAATCCAACTCTCACCTCTGTCAGAAAGCCTAATAGTGTCTTGAATTGTCACAAGATACTCGTTACTCATAATGTAGTGCGCGGGGTTCCTTGTAATTTCTTAGTTGTAATAATTATCAAGTACGTGGTTTGAATACGTATTTGTGTGTCTGTAGTCCGAAGAAGAGAAAAGATCTTGTATATAGCTTCAAATCCATTGATATCAATTTGAAGTGTATTGTTACTAGGGCTTAGGCGTTAGGTGCCTTTCATTATAATTCTTACGAACTTGGTACATTAAATGAGTTGAAATTCTCTCCGTATAAATTGTAGTGAAGTGAAAAAAGAAACGTTTATTTTAGGTAGATTAATAGATAATGCAAATAATGTATATCTACGTAATTACTGTTAACAAAACTGAACTCTGTAATGCTCAAGTGTTGATAATTCTTAAACTCAACTAACCAAAGACTAAATAATTGACTAGTGACGTGTGTCTGTCAATAATCAGCTGATACTAAGTGATCCATGAAGGTCACTAAAATAACCAGTAAATATAGTTTTTCCGATAATGTTTCATTTTCCACTCTTCTTCAAGGATTATAGATGGCTAATAACCAGCGGAAAGAAGTAGATTGTAGGGAATTATTTATTCTTATTTCAACTAATAGAACAACTTTGAGAACACACAGAAAACGGATGAAAAATGGAGGCAAAAACAGATCGTACAAATGGGTAATCATGATAGTTGTCAATTATTTCTAATCAGGTTGGGGTTCGTGTATCTTTTAGCGTGTTAAATCAATGTCAGGTGTAAACAAATTAACTTTTTATTCCCTATTTTTTTCCTTCTCCATTCATTTCCTTTTTGCTCATTTGTACTTGTAGTCACTTGTTATCGATATTTCTTCACTGAATGCTGAAGATTGAGGTGATTTCAATAGACCTAATACTTATTTTACTGTTTCTTTACATCACTTCATTATCAGAAAAAAAAAGCCATGAACTAAATCAATTCAAGTAAAATGAACTATGAGCATGATAACCGCACCTTTGTATAAAACTAAAAAAGATGATGTATTTGAAAAGATACATGGGCCAATCATTATTTAAACTTAGTCTTCATTCCATCAGTTACAAGTGGAACCTAGTTGAGATACTTTAATAGACGAGTCTGAGAAAGGATTAACTATCATTGGAGAGGATATTGGAGAAAATTCATTACGCAGGATGTTTATCATGAAATACGGAAAACTAGAAAAAATCTTAATCTGCCAAAAAAAACCAGTTTTCAACCGCTATACATTCAAAGGTGAATAAGTGTCAACACGAACTGAAAAGACAGTCAAAGGATCATTCAAAAAGACCGTCTAAGCAACTACCTTGTCCTCACTTTACAGCTCATACCGTTCAGTGAATCAATCCAAAGTAGATGAGCTCCCAGCTCATGTCTTTGCCAACTGCGTTTACAAATTAACATGCAGTTGCAGAAGTAAGTACGTAAAAAGGACTGAAGGGAGGGCAATCACTAGATTTTCTGAATATATCCCTAAAAGTTTGTGGCTCAAAGCAAAAGAAAATTTTTACGAGTGTAATCACTACGCACCTAATGGCCATAAAAAACATCATAACCTAATTCACCAGTATACCAAGAAAAGGCAGTTTGTTTTGTTTTGCAGAAGCCATTGCAATTAATTAATAATGACCTGACCTCTGTATGCAAAATGGTAGTGTAACTAACTTCGCATTGCTCTGCTTTAGGTTTCTTACACAATCCTCACTTTACCATTTCTTATTTCCATTATGATTTCTACTCATTGGTTTGAATTCATTCCTAACTTTCTTGCTTAACTTCTTTCTTTCTTCTTGACTCCAATACCTTTTATTATTTATTATATGTTTATAAACTCTCATTTTGATCATTGTATTGTTTATCATTTTGACTATCTGAGGTAGCCGTTTGGCAGACTAATATTTATACTGGGTGGTGGTCGAAGGTGAAATAAAAATTTGGACGGCAGCCGGATTCGAACCAGTGACCATTGGGTTTCCGGCCTGATGCTCTACCTACTGAGCTACGAGGTCGCTGGTTTGAATCTGACCGCGGAAAATTTTACTTTTAATTGCAGTACATGGAGTTTATGTTTATTTACATCATAATGGTTATTTATCTCAGACAAAGATTTCATTGATGAACTGAAGGTTCACTTTGAAAAAAATTGTCACAGTTAACGGTGTTGTATTTGAAGGGCTTACTAAGCTTCATTTTCGTTTCATTTCAATGGACGTCTAAAATACAATTTTGATCTTGGATGATTGATCACTTTGTTTATTGACTAACTGACCTACAGATGTATCTAAAGTTTTACGACTATTTTACGCACCTATTCTTTAGTGCACAGTTTATACTAGGTCTCTACTTTTTTTTCATTGCTCATTTTTAGCATAACTTTTATTTGTTTCAATGCGATAACGAAGATGCCATGATTAGTAGCAAATCAGTTTTATTTTTATATTGTTACTTGGACCGAATTGATCAGTCTCTGCTGGGATATGAGCTCATGCGCGGATACTTTGATATTCCCTGTATTTTTAATTTTGATATCAATGATGGATAATTGCTAGCAATGGGATTCAGGACGCACGTTTTGTCTTATTTATCACTCTTCAGTTAGCCACTATCCACCATTAATACAGTTTTCTTTTTGTATTCTATATTAGATTGTTTTTTTGGTATAGCTCACAGTTATACTTACTATATGATATTCATATCAAAGTACTTTAAAATGATTCAGAGCAGTGACTTCTACTCGGACGCTATTTAGTTCATGATACTGTGTCACTATGTGCTATATCCTTTAATCAATCTAATGTGGAATTAAACTACCACGGTGCCCCGAGTTTCACTCTTGCATTTTTATTCATCTGACTGACACACACTGATTTAGAAAAACTTTATGATACTGCTAGTCTATACCAGAAAGTGAATTGCAATGTTCTTTACTGTATCCAATGGTTAATTGTGTGTTAGTTTAACTCTTCGAACCACTGATTAAGTTTACGAAGACGCAACTGTCAGTTTCTTTCATGGTTTTTATTTATACAGATTTATGCCAATCAATTAGGCAGTACAGAAGATAGTTTAATCCATTCTGAGAAGGAGAAATATCGTGATCAACAAGAATGGTTTATCGAGCGAGCTGATTTGCAGAACCGATTAAAGGAACTGGAATTATCGTTGTCTTCTGCTGACACAGAGAAAGGAAGGCTAGAATCTCAGTATCGAAACTATGTTGCGCAGGTTTGTTTCTCATGATCTGTTTTATTTCGTTCAGACAAATCCAAATATAGAATTATAGATGACATTCAGTGAAGCTATTACGATCACTCATTGTTCATATGAAAATGAACTAAATGCAAATGTTTTATTGAAAATTATTTAGCTCATGAAAATGAACTATCCACATAGCAGTTGTGGATAAAACGCAAGTACAGGTCATACATAAGTTATGTAGTAATCGAGCTTGCCTATCACAATGGCCTACTCAAGCTAATTGGTCTGGAAGTTGTCCTGAGTATTTTTTTTAGCCCAGGAAACGATACTTAGATGGATGAGTACTCTGAGCTGAGGTTTCAGTAGATTGTTGATTGGTGTACAAATTTACATGTTCAAATGCAACTCCAGAAGTTCGATGCCCATCATAATGATATCAACAATTTATCTGTATGTTTCAGCTGTTTATTGTGTGGAAGTCTAGTAACTCTTACATATGTGCTTTTCTGTTTCTGCCTACATGAAAGAGTTTATGCTGGTAGGTATTACATGTTGTGAATGGAGTAAAAGTTCTCGTGACGGAACCGATGAGTATAGTTTTCAGTTGGTAGCAGTTTTCCAATAACGTAGTCATATTTTTTTAAAAAATATTTGAGAACCGAAGATGACCATACTAAAAATTCACACCGAAGTGAACATTTGAAAAGTTGATAGGTGTATTAATAACTTTACTTCATGAATAGGAGGGATCTGAGTAGTCAATTATGATAATCTCATTCTTGTATTTAGCTTCATTACTCACCTGTTCCTGTTCAACATCAACATTAAGCAAAGGAGAGACATCGTGGACGCAGTTACCAACCCAATATAATAAGGTTGGGACAAAAGAATTGTATTAAAAGCTAATATGGTTAGGTAGTGAGAAAGATTGATTACCGAATCTTTGTTCATCGAGTCATCACCTATTACATGCAGTAGGAATAAAACAAAACCTATGCAAGGGGTGTAGAAAGTTTTATTATTCTTGCAAAGAAAAAAGTGATAGAGCTATAAAAATCAGTTGTTTAAAGTTGTATGATCATCTTGATACGATTCGGTGCAACAATTGATGCTCGAAAGGTTATCCAGTAGGGAAGATTGTATCGTCGTGTGCTACATCAAATACAAATATCGAACATAGAATTCATGAGCCACATTAGTCTCTGTAAACATTGATTACAACCGATGGGCAGTTAATTCCTTTTTTGACTGCATGTTTTAATTACCATGATCTTAGTTCACTAACTCTAGTATATGTGTACCTGGTTTTCTTTTTGCTCACGCTTATCGCATACACCCTCCTAATCAATAATTACCATTACACAGAGGTTTAAAAATCATGAATATTCATTAAGTGCACGATATTATTAAACCATCAACAAAATGATCTGTAGGACTAAAAGGATAACTGACGACATATTTCCTCCCAAATTTCATCTTTATCATGATTAACTTGTGTAATTCATTTTTGTCTGTTTGTTTTCGCTTAGGTTGAACAGCAATGCAGTGAATTGCGTTCTCAACTATCGGAAACAAATAAATTGAAGCAAGAATTAGAGCTGTCTTTGGAATCAGTTAACAGGCAGTTACGCGAGAAAGATGATGAGATTAATGATTTAAGTTAGTGTCCAACTCTTTTTGGTCGTTAATCATAGTGGTTTTTTTAGTTGTCATGCGAAATCTCGTATTTATATCTTAGTTATTTCCTCCAATATATTAATTATAAATATATGCCTTACTTGATGACGTGCGAGTCATTCTCTCCTAAGCAAGTTCCCATCTTATTTATGCTAACCACGTAAACATATTTGTAAGGAAATGTAAGTGATTTTAGTTGTTGAGCGACCTGTAAAATCTGAGCACGACAGTCATAATGTTTAATACGCTGTAAAACTTCTCATTTCATGGTGATGTGACTCATTAGATTGAGCACTTGACTTTCAGTTGATGAATATGGAGTTCAAACTCCGCTTAAATAGTTCGGCCGTGGAAACCGCACAGTATCATGAGCGACTTTAAAGGCCACGCTAGTAACTAGTAAAATAGCCAGTCACTTTTCGGTATATCGGCTGTGAAGGAAATTTTTAAAATGAAGAAGCATGACTGGTTATCTAAGCAGTTGCTAGAGTGGCCTTTAAAGTCACTCAGTATCACATGGTTAATGTGACTGATAACCTATTACATAAAAAAGACTCCATTGGCTTGAGGTACATTGTATTATTTTTATTTGTAGATCATGACCTATCAAGATTCATAGTTTACTTGTACATTTTTGACTTGCTATGTCCATAGGAAAGGATATACAATATTGACTTCAGGTAAGGAACCATTGGATATCAGGAATTATTGAGCTTTTTTTCTTTGTTGTTTGGGACTTCTGTGTAATATATACCCATAGCTGTAGTTGGTTGAGCTGCGGACAGTCAAATCTCAAGATAAAATCATAATCGTTCGGCCACTGAGCTCCACTTCAATAATTCATGTTTTTCCCAACATTCATCCAATGTTACTGATACGCATTTGTCGGCCCGTCTGATTTGGTTGACTTTCTAGGTCACAGCCTACCACTATAGGAACATCCTAGTCACTTCTGATTTCTGCTTAATTACGATGAGAATAAACGTGGAGTTGGTTATCATTTGCTGTTGTATTAATTTCGATTTTGGCAACCGAGTAGTATCATCGGCACCCTCATAATAAGTGTGGTACATATATCTCTACCGAAGTGAGAGTTGTATTTTTGTTTCTTTCATAACCATTGCCTAAGAATAACATTGTCGATAGTTGGTTGAATCAAAACTTTGTTTGTTTTTGTTAGCTTGTCGTTTGAACTCAGTGCAAATGTGTCCTAGTTCACTACCAGTTCAAACTCAATCACTTACTTCCGCTTCTTCCCCTGTCAATGATGAACAGATTCTTGTCACTTCATCAACTGATCAGTCATCAATAGAACGCATTGAATCACTTGAATGTCAGTTAAAACATCGTTCAGAAGAATTAGACAATTCAACCTCTGAGGTATATATTCTATCCAGTCAACAATTATTGTTTACATTTGATTTATGTACCTTTAATAGATACAAAGTTTTAGGCGGTGTATGTGCCTCTCTACTTTTAAATAGTACCGATGGATAGATAGTGATTCAAAGCGATTTTAGCGTTGAAAGTTTCAAATTTTAATGATATTCGATACGAGAATTGTAACTGGTTGTATTGAATGATCTTTATAGAAAAAAGTATAGTGTGCCGAGCCAACGTGCTTCATTTTTGAAAGTGAAATAATTATGAAAGGGTGAAGAATAGGGATAAATAAAGTGACAAGATAGGGGTCAGCACAGATAGACAGTCAAATGAACATAGAAACTGGTACATAAGTACATCGTTTCAGGTTGCCTCACTTCACAGCGAAATGAAAAAAGTGTGTATAGAAAAATAGATATTCTGGTAGAAACAGGTGCACTAGAGTTGTGGAAAGGTTAATCGAAATATTCGAGACTTCGAAGTCGACAAAATGTGTATCCACCTACTCCACTATGACTTATTTCGAGCGATGTCACCAAGGATCTCTAACCATTCATTCTTAACACCTCACAGACTCCAACTGGGCTCGGCATGAGCAGTACTTGTTCAAATCATCTCAGCCTTTGAAAGTCTACAACTTCATCTGTTTACTTGCCGTCTTTGTCTAACTAATATTCTAGCCTAACATTCTATGCAATAAGTCGCCATTGATAATAAGAAAGAACAAACCGCTCCAAAGTGTAAGTATTCCTCTGTAGGTAGCCAAATATCTCACCGATATCAAAGGTGATATAAATTGACAAGTGCAGAACGGATCTTTTGTATCCGAGTTAAGATTTCTTCAGCAACCAACTTATTTGTGCTAATACAACTCCCCAAGTAAGTGAAATGGTGACTGCATTCCAACATTTCACACGTAATCTTGAAACTGGGAGTTTCCACAGACCGATCACGAAACATCATACATTTAATAGGTGCAAAACCCATGCAAACGTACTTAGGTTTCTGCTCGAGGCGTTCAGAAGAGTTTTCATTTTGTCGCCTCTTTACTTAACAAGACGGTGTCGTTTGGATACTCCAAGTTACGAGATCTCCTCCCGGAGGTTAGTCGATCTTTTTGAAGGTACATAGAGTGATGTTCACTATCACTCCCATAACAAAGCAGAGGAGGATATCCATGGCGAACACCACTGGTTGTCGTTACTTCAAACGACAACTCTTCGTGAATCTTTGCATAGCCGCGTGAGCCCAAGCTGACAGTTTTGATCAGAAACTAACGGAACACTTGTAGATAGATTGAGGTGAATACCACCATGAGGTCTAGAAAAGTTTCATGTATCGTTTGCCGGTAAGTATATTTGCGTTCATGAACCTGTTGAGATGTGAATAATGCAACCTATTCAGCGTGCTTTTCTTCAGTAACAGATAGGCGTGGGATAACCGTGGATCCTAGGATTCCCGATATAGTGTTAATCAAACTGAGTTTACGGTGTTTGTCACAGAAAAACATCTTTCCTTTAGTATAAAACGGAATGATTGGCAGTATAGACCAGTCTAACAGGCTTGCCTCTGATTTCCATACACTAGCTAATATCTTGGATATTTTACTAAACAATTTTCTGTCTTTATCCTAAAAGCCATATAATAGCAAACTGTCATGTCCTCTTGCCTGGGATTGTTTCAAGTTCGGAACATTACTACGCAACGGTTCGAGTTACCACAACTCATATCAGTACGTCAAGTGAAAAGGCAGTGAAGTGGAAGATGAAGAAAAGAAAATTCAGTCTAAAGGAATATAAAGTACTCAAAGAGAAAAAGGAAGAACGAGAAAATGGTGAGATTCAGTGTAGCGTTAGGATGAGGATAATGTGTGTATACATCTGCGCCACTGACATCGATTCTGAGCCATATCACCTAGAGTCTCCAACCACTGGTTCCTCTTGTCCCGCGGACCCCAACAACCTAGTCTGCATCACCCCACATAGCTCAGACGAACAGTCAAAGACTCCATACATTGATGCCATATTTTAGTTTGGTCGCCTCGTGCCTTTTCCAGCCTGGACCTACTTCAGCCAAGATTGTTTGACGAGGCAATCGGTGACTAGGCATACGTAACACGTGTCCCAGCCATCTCAGTCGATAAAGGTTCACAACTATGTCAACTGGTTTGCCTCTTCTCCTTAAGACTCTTAAGCTGACTTCTGCGTTACTCACGTGGTGGCACCACGGAATACGGCCTATACTACGAAGGCAATGGTGGTCAAACACTTGAAGCCTTCTCATGTCTTCCATCTTGAATGGCCATGTTTCACAGCCAAATATAGTAGATCAGATCGGACTGCTGTGCAGTACGCGCGACCTTTAATAGACAATAGGATATCACGGTGGCGCCACACTGGCGTAAGTTGACAGAAGCCAGGCGAGCCTTTGTATTCGTGCAGAGATTTCGTCGGCCACTAGGTCACCAGGGCTGATCCTACTTCCCAGGTAAGTAAAGTGGTCGACAAACTCAACGACTACATTTTCTGTTGTTAGCCATGACACCGTTGAAGACCGTTTCTGGGTCTTAAGCCAGTCTGGCTGTTATTTACAGGGGAATGCATAGGTATCTTCTCGCTAAACGTTTTCTCCTTCCAGTTGGGCGCACTGGCTTCACTGCTGTTTTCATCGTCCATTAAAATGCAAACATACACATACTTGTAACAATATCTGATTTGAGTTCAAATAGGTACTTTAGAAAGATCAGTAATTCTTCATCTTTCGTCTTCAACGATGGCTTATATCAATATGATTTATCTTTGTCTGGCCTTGTATTTCCAAACACCAGGTGAGACAGTGTCTGTTTCCTTTTCCTCGAATTTAGCGCTGACGGAAAACAAAGTTGTCGGATCAACATCATAAGAGCGATCGTCGTTCTTTTCTCGCTGGCGTGAGATGCCGTAGGTACACCCAACATCCCTCTCCGTTTGACTTAGCTTTCGTACTTGAGAGTTGAAGTTGCCGCGTAGTATGACAATATCTAATCGTTTTGCTTTAAGTCGCAAAATTGACAGCTTTTGGTAAGATTGGTCTCTTGTATCATTCGAGCTGCAGTCGGTGACGGCGTAAGCGGAAACTGCGAATCCGCCGTCACGAGTATCATTGTCTTTTCCACATCAGGATCCATTAACTCTGACAGTACACTGATGGCTATCGAGAAGTTCAGTTTCTGCGGTAGGATTTAGTGCTTTACATGCATCCATGGAAGTTCGTCACTGAATCTTATAAGGTATTGTTTGCGCAGATTCACTACACTGACCAGGTGAGATCAAGTGAGTCACCATATTTGGTTCCTGTATGCGCCTCTCAAAACCATTATATGGATACATAGATCGAGGTTCTAGTTTTTGCAAGACTCCTGTTGTCTGATTTAGCGTAGAGTTTGGACTTTGATAGCTCAATTGTGGAATTGGCAGCATCGTTTTTTAGGAGACTACGAATGTTTTGCTGTGAGGTGCGGCAACTTTAACTCTTACGCAACAATTCCAGGTCCCATGTTTATATAGACTGATTGACTAAGTAGTAGACCGCTGCTGAATATCTAATACCTGTCGGACTGCTTTCTTATACTCTTCTTGTTCCTCATGAGTGTTTAGCTACTCAGCTATTGTTTGCTTTTTCTATCGTGACAGTCGCATATTGAATTTTGGAGTTCTAATTAAGATTACCTTCGAAATGTTACTTCATTCAGTTGATGAGTCCCGATTTCACCTATTCGTTTTAAATTTTATTACTATCCGGTATTCTCCAGTACTCGCATTGGTTCAAAACTATGATTGAAATAATACTACTTTCAGAACATATAGTCGATTAATTTTTATTTGTAGTGTGATATGAAGTAATGTTTGCTTTCTTTGACTTTTTCTTAATACAAGCCGGTTTCATTTTAAAACTTTCCAGTGATGTGCTAGATGGGTTCTAAATTTTCTTGCGTCTGTTTTAGTTTATAGTTACTATTTTTTCTAATCCGCTCAATTTTTTCTTTTCCGGTTTAAATGTTGTTGTTGATGGCAATAATGGTATTAATAATAGATCCAGAGATTAAATATGCAGTTATGTTTGCTTCATGAAACTGTGGAACACCTACAAAGTTCACTGGCTGATCGAGACAACGTCTTGGCTACAGCCACATCTGAACGAACGGCTTTAAGTCGCGCCATGGAACAGAATAAAAGCCTAAAGCAACAACTATCTGATTTGCAAGATGCCTACTCACAAATGGTATGTGACTTGTGTGTACTCTCTGTTTCTATCTGTTAATATTGCGAATTGTTATGAAGTGATTTTTGAGTATCTAACGTTTTGATGACTTTAATGTTCATATACTACCATCATGATCAGAACAATTAGTCTAGATTTTGTTAGGTATTGTTGAGAATTCTTTCTCTTTTGTTGATATGAGGTTTGTCTGAGCCAAACTGAAGTAATTGGAATTGCTGCGACGGCTTTCGTCATATCTAGTTAGTTTTACGAGGTTATTCAAGTAGTTTACCAAGTTGTGTTCATGTTTACTGTCAAGTCATAATAAGTGGTGTTTATAAATTCAAAAATTCACAATATCCTTGTCTAGTTTAGTTCAGTTTAGTACAGTCTATCTTGAATCTCAAAGGCTCGTGCATGTAGTTTTTGTGACCGTAGAAGTTACTGCTGGAACTTATTCCGATGAAAGAAGGCTATGCATTAAGTTTGTTCCATACATTTCTCTACTCCTAATGTTTCAGTAAGTGATCGGGTTAAAATACATTCATTGACTTAGAAGAAATAAGACTAGTTTTTGCTATTGGATGAAAACGCTAGGTGAAACCTGTGAAATAATTTTCACTTCTTAAACGAAAACAATAGTAGATTGAATATGCGAACCGTTGAATGAACACATTGTAAGCTTTTCTAGCAATAAGGGAGATATTGATTGATAAGAGTGTAAACATGGATGAGTTGACTAATAAGCGTTGAGAGATGTGTTACACATGTTGGAACATAGTTCACCTCCACGTTGTTTTAAGTTTAGGTGTTTCAGCAGTGCGCTTATTCTTCAAGTTGTAAAAATCTTTAAACCCATATATTTAGCCTTATGGAATAAAGCACAGAATTATTCGCCTTATCTTTGCTGTGATGCTTGGAAACTGTGTTGCACTAGTATTTACTTTTCCGAAATTTTGTTTTTTTCGTTATACGGTGTTTTTAAATGTCGGAACTTTTTCACCCTTGATATTTCTTCATTACTATTCAAGTGAGGGTGAAGAAATAACAAAGTTTTGGAAAGACAGTTGATAGAACTGTTCATTTCCCCTTGTTTTTCTGTTTATTTTATAGTTTTACTCTCATCAAACTACCCAAAAGACGCGAAGTTGCTAACAAAGTATAAGGTTTTCTTCACGCCGACCAAGAATTTGGACATGTTTAACATGGGTTTCAAGCCGTTCAAATAGAAAAGTGTGTGCTTTAGGACTAGTTTGCACTGACTCCCAGTTTAAAGTTAGGGGTAGAATGGTGAAATCCGTTCACCACTTAACTAATTTCGGATGTAGCATCAACGGATTTTGAGCTTTGGCACAAAAGATCCGTTTGGATTCACCAACACACAATTTCTGACACCAGAAGTATATCCGGTTGCATGCCAAGAGACTGGTGTACTGTGCGCCATTTTCCTCTGTCCTCTTTTTGCGGTTGTAGACCATTACTGTTAAAAGTAAAAATCTTTAGAAGACTTCGAGATTTTACTCACATAAGTTTCGTGGCACACTGTGTGCATAGGGTGAAACCACCTTATCAGTAACATCGGAGTTAAATGCAGAATATCAGACAAGAAAGACAAGTTAGTGGATGAAGTTGTAGATTTTTGACTAAACTGACTCGAACCTGCACTACGAATGCTGTGCGACCACCTCATGGAACTCCGATGTTTACTTATTAAGGCGGAGGAAAGTGAAAGTACATGGTACTAATCGATGAATTCTCTAAATGCTAATCTAAGCTATGAGGGGAACGTGTAGATTTCTTTACTCGAACTTTCAAGATTATAAAACTGTCCAATGTAATGCCTTTCTTTTGCTATCCACTTCCTTTGCATACTGTTGCCAAGTGTAGCAGCTTGAGGTGATTCACGTCTGCGCCAAGTACCGCGTTGGTTTTTCCATATTGTCTATTAGTAGACTAGATTAGTAGATTAAAGCTTGTGGAAATTCGGATCATTGACTTTCAAAAAATGGATCCTAAGTTTAAGCTCTGCTCTACGTACTTTGGCATGAGCAGAAAGATAGTATCATGAGCTTTTGTGCGACTAGCGAGGCTTGTAGCCCCGTACACAAATTAATTATGTACTTGCTTGAACATACATAGCTCTTCGCTTAGTGCTCATGTGAGACCAAATTTGTGTTCTAAATAAAAGCTGTAATGATAAAGATAATAAAGACAATAGACTGAAACTTGTATCAGCCCATGGAATCTCTTACTGTTGTTCGTAGCCATAGGCATAGGTGCAAACTACCTTGTTGGTGTCTGCGTGACAACAGAAATAAATGGTTGAAAACTGCAGGTGATATGACGTAGAATGGACCTCAGTAGTGCAAATGCATCCATCTAAATCGTCATGTCGGCTTTCATCCTTGTCTTATCCCTTTTCTCTCTCTTGTGGCTTTATACGACTTTTGATTACATTTTTCTACCTTTCACTTGGATACACTTATCTGAGTTGTGGCAACTTGAACTGTTGCACAGTAATATCAAGTCCCATGTTAGTATTGACTAACTGACTGCATCCGCCTTCATACCTTCCCGGCATTAAAGTGTTTTTGTGAATCAGCGTGTTTTGAAATGGGGAAGCGTTATTTAGGCAACAGACATAAATGATTTTAAAAAAGTTTCAAGACTGATTTTACACACTGAAGAGTAAACTTTGGTTAACTTCAATTTCTTTTTCTTTATCCCCCACGCAGAGTGAAACAAATGTCAATCTAACTAGCAGATTACAACAACTGGAATCTGATTGCCAACAGTCAAGGGATTCAGTGTTAAATTATCAGAAGCAAATAGATGAACTCCATAAACAGGTAATTCGATTTATATACATTCTGTATATATATATATATATATATATATATATATATATATATATATATATATATATATATATACATTCTGTTTTCCGAATCATTTTTTCTGAAAATTAACAGTTTTATTTGACTTCTCAGTGTAGTTTTTTGTAAAGAGGATGGGGCTGAAAGCAACGATAGACAAACAGACATCCAACATGTAACACGGTTTCATTACATAACTGTTCAAGTTGCTACATTTAACTTCGACATTCCAACTCAAAAAGCGACATAAAAGACATAACCATGATCATAAAATGTTAAGCGAAGACAAAAAGGGAATACATGTTAGGGATGCCTAATCCTTAGGAATCACTGACTTATAATATGCTTATATTATCATTTCGAAATTTAAGCCTTATTTTCGCGCCATGCTGTGTTGCTTTCCTTTTATCACAGTTTAGGATATTAAACGCTGAATAAGCCATTTCACACTTTTAATATGCTATTTTGTTTTCTCTAGTCAAGGCCGTCTAAGGATATATAAACGACTGAGTTTTCAGCTATTCTTATTCAGTGGAGGTAAATATGCTTACAGTACCATCGCCTTTTTTTGGTATCAGCTGAATTGAGAAGTCATTGTTCTATTGTTAGTCGCATCACGGAGCATTGTGTCGTTAGTTATACGTGGATCATAACAATAAAAATATGCGATTTATGTGGCTATGTGGCATCGTAACACTTCATTATCCATCTGAAAGATTTTTTCAGCTTTTGAATCGAATTAACCACTTGATAGACGTATTATTTAAAAAGGCTGTTGATAATTTCGAGAAGTCAAATTTTGCTTTACAGATAATGGTTTCCAATCTAGCTGTCTTATAATATTCACAAATGTGAGCTATGTCATCATCACAGTTTACATCTTCTCCAATATGTGTTAACAGGCAGACATTTTGTTTCCGAAAGAGAAAAACTGTCGTTCACTTTCATTGTCAGTCAGATGGTTTCCAACCATTGACCTCATTCAGTAGTCTGAGATTTCTTTTCATGGTAACACAATTGGTTTCTAAAGATTTGCTCAAATAAAAATGTCTAACGTAAAGCGGTTATTGTCCTTATCACAACCTAATCAGAAGTATGGATAGACAAGTATTATTGTTTTTACCACTGTTTATATTTAAATACGATTGTCCAGGTTTTGCGAAGGTAATCGCCGAAAACAGGCTTGTTCGTTGTAGTTTTTCTTGTTTTATGCAACGATTTTGTATGCATTATGGTTGTAAGCGTTCCTATCTTCGTATTGTGAATAAATATTATCTGCTAACGAAGTGAAATGAACAACCATTACTAAAATAATGAAAGCTTTTACTCATAACTATTACTCGTGAAGTCTAAAAGGAATATTCAGTCTAAGGTTTAAGGTAAGGTAAGGATTTATATTGTTGCACGTTTATTTAACAAAGTGATCTAAGATTCACCTGAATCTGTGCATCTCGAGTTTCTCGTTTGACCTGGATATCAACACATCGTCGAATTAACACCAACACCTTTCAGAAATTAATTTTCAGAACCGAATTCATCAGTTTTTACTGGCATACTGATTATGGATCCTCATGTTAACTATTTTTATCGATTAGTTTCATTTGTGCTAGCTTACTATAATTTTATTTAGTTTTAATCGATTTTTTGCCCTTAATAGTGCGATACTTGGCAGTCAGAAGTGGAGTTAGCAAATGAAATGAACTCTGCGTTATTTAAACAAATTGAACATTTAAATGTTTTGCAAACAGACAGTCTAAATCAAGCTGTAAATGCTACTAATAGCTCTGCATCATTTGTGGATAATACAATACAAACTGATGATATTAAGGAGGAGCATGGTGACCTGCTAAAGATTGACCATGTTCAAGGTGAACAAAAATCAGAGGATATAAGCATGTTACTAACAACACTTGAAACGAATCAAGTGAGTAGATTTCATTAATACTTTGGTCCTATGTAATTGATTTTTAACAAAACTATTAAGATCTGTTCTATCCGAATGTCACGACACGATTTAGAATTGCTTAATTCTTGACTGTTTCTAGTCCCAATCATAAAATCAAATTAAATCGGAATTTAAAAAATAGTAAAACAAGTTAATGAAAAGTCCAATTGATGATGAACTAACTAAAAAACTAATTCATAATAGCTCTTACCAGATTTCCAGGAAGAAGTGATATTACTAAACAAAGATAATCAATCAGTCAGTCACGTATTCAATTTTTTGCTGTATTACTAAGGCGTTCTTTTACCACCTTCCTTATAGACGTTCCATAATAAATTTCGAAATTAAGAAAAACCAATTAAATTCATTTTAATTAGTGCTGGTTCTTCATTGCTATTTTATACTGTGTGGTGCAGTTCAGGAACGTGGTAGTTTTATGCACTAGGGTTTCAGATACGCAAATGCCTTCGGGCATATGGTACTTTCGAATGCTCAGATGCATATGGGTGCGAACTTAGTAATCTGCTGCCTAGTATAATAAGTCTGTATATTCCATACATTTTTAAACTTTGTTAGGTAACACTGTATTTTAAATCTTGCTAAAATTAGATTTTTCAAACGAAGGTTATTATAAATCTTTAAGATACACTCCTAGTAAGCGGTAATATTCAATAATCTGTTATTTAATTATTGTTGCTGCGTAATAACTTCACATTGATTTATAAATGAAAGTCTCCTCTCATAGGTCCATCTCAACCAACTAACAGAAGAGGTTGCAGTCATGAGAAGTTTGTTGACACGCTTTTCTACACTTTGTCATGGGCTAAAACAAATAAAAGAGCAGGTTGAATGTGTTGAGTTCGACGATCCAGCCTATTTTATCAGTTTGTTGGAGGAGTATGTTAATAAGCAATCCCAAAGTATGAATGACACCTCTGCTCAGTGTTCATTAGCTGTTGAACGTACGGATTTAGAAGAATTTCAAAAACTTCAAGTAAGTGGATACTAATGTTTTATGTTAATCGTTATTTTCTTAACTTTGAATTACGTTTGAGGGTAAAGTTATACTGCTCGCTGTGAGGGATGCGATAGCAGTTTAGTGTTGTTTTTTCACCGAGGATATCTAGTATTCCAAGCTGATTCCATCATCTTAGTTTGAAAACACCATACCCTTTTACCTAACAAACTTGTAGTACTGGTTGTAAACGTTTTCTTCTAGAAGGAATACAACAACGCTAAGTCGAAATCAGAAACCTTTAGAAACTACGCGTAGGACTGTCAGAACACATACGACTCAACTGAATCCTAGCTGACAGCTGTCTGCCTGCCAATGATTGAATTTTGCAATTAAAACTCAAATACTTACTGTTTTATTTGCCAATCATAGGAAAGTGAAGAATGCGTTTCACAGAAAGCTGTCTACCCTTTTATCAACAGCTAAACGTCTCTACATGGTTATCGTAACGTGCTACCTCAATTCCTAAGCAGTGAATACTCATCCATCCATCCAGATCAACCTAGGACCAGGCATTACTGCCAGACCTCATATCAGTACATCAAGTAAAAAGGTAGTGAGGCACAAGATGAAGATAAGAAAATTCAGTCTAAAGGAATATAAAGTACTCAAAGCGAAAAAGGAAGAATGAGAAAATGGTGAGATTCAGTGTAGCGTTAGGATGAGGATAATGTGTGTATACATCTGCGCCACTGACATCGATTCTGAGCCATATCACCTAGAGTCTCCAACCACTGGTTCCTCTTGTCCCGCGGACCCCAACAACCTAGTCTGCATCACCCCACATAGCTCAGACGAACAGTCAAAGACTCCATACATTGATGCCATATTTTAGTTTGGTCGCCTCGTGCCTTTTTCCAGCCTGGACCTACTTCAGCCAAGATTGTTTGACGAGGCAATCGGTGACTAGGCATATGTAACACGTGTCCCAGCCATCTCAGTCGATAAAGGTTCACAACTATGTCAACTGGTTTGCCTCTTCTCCTTAAGACTCTTAAGCTGACTTCTGCGTTACTCACGTGGTGGCACCACGGAATACGGCCTATACTACGAAGGCAATGGTGGTCAAACACTTGAAGCCTTCTCATGTCTTCCACCTTGAATGGCCATGTTTCACAGCCATACACAGTGAATACTAAGCGAAATCGAGAGGCAACTTGTTCGTGCTATCAGAATCCCAGTCAAACAAACGGATAATAGTGATTGCCTCCTACCACTGTTCACAGACAATCACTTATCTATATTCACTACTAATTTCTGACATGAGGAAACGGTTTTTGATGTGGCAAGTGTTGGCTTCAATCTAATTGTGTCACAGATCAGTGCCATAGGCAGTCCGCTGCAAAAAACGGGAGTAAGAGACGTCCCTGATCCGAACAAAAAGTAGTAAAGTATCAGTGAATCTCTTAGTAAATAATGAATGTACATAGATGCATTCCTGTGTACTCCAAGGACAAAGAGAAACTAATGCGACTCAAATTTCAACTAACAAAGATTCGATGCAATGCATGATAGTGGCAGTTGGTAGCAAAAACTTAAAAGATGGAAAAGGCAGAGGAGAATAAAAAACAATAGAAATTTTTCATACTTATCAAGGTAATTGGGGTGAAATTGCTGACGGTTAGTTAAACTATTGCAGATAAAGATAGGTTTGTGATTCCACTGCTAATGCGAAGTGCTGAATTGATGGGCGAAGCGTCTCAACTACTCTTCATTTACCCTCTATTCAGTTTTAGCTTGAATAAGGCAATGTCAAAATTTAAAAATCTTGCTACTGCTAAGCACTCTGCAATAAACTGTGGACAAAATTTCGCAGTAGCCGCTCGTAAGATTGAGTAACCTAGGTAATGGCTATTGCACAAAAATGAGACATTATCTGTTCTAACTGCTCACGGTTTCCAAGAAATGTTATTCTGGTATCTGCAAAGGAAGTAGTTTGACAAAGATAGCATCTAAGATTGTAAGTACTGTGATCATTAGATGTCTTAGTGGAGTTCGGGAACAGCAAACCCTCACGAAATCGGGTAGGTTTCAGAACCCGCGGGTTTGCTATCATTTTCCGCCACACCTTCGTATACACACACCTACTGGTGCCAAACACTAGCTGTAGATTACGATTTTAAAGTAGTTTTAGGTTCATTTAACTTTAAAGGATGTCTGCAAAAGACATCCTGCTCAAAAATCTTCAATGGAACAAGTCTGGTCGTGTTGGAGCCTGAGTAGAACTATTAGTTGAAGTATCTTATCCATAGTGAAGTGGTGTCAACCAGCGGTGTGCACTCTATTTTTATTCGGTTTTATCGAAAACGTGGTCTCCGTATTCTGTTTCTCGTCTGACTCTAAAGGCATTGACTTTGATGCAAGAAACTCCTTAGTCGAACTACAGTACAGGTAATATCAGCATAGGACCTGGCATTACTACATAACGTTCCAAGTTGCCACACCTCGTATCAGCACATCCAGCGAAAATACACGCTAAAGAAACAAAGTGGTAGAGTCATCGAACGAGAGCAGGAGGAATGAGAATAATTCAGTCATTGTGACGATTGAGATGAGGACAATGTGTATATAACTGCACCACTGAGATCGATTCTGAGCTAAATTCTTTAGTCTCCAACCGTCGGTTTCTGTTGTCATACGGACTTCAACAGGGAAGTCTGTATATCCGTGCATGGCCCAGACTAACATTCAGAGATTTCATACACTGATGCCATATTTTATCCTAAACGTCTCTAACCTCTTCCCAACATGAACTTACTTCAGCTAACATTGTGAGGGGTAGATAGCGAATGGACAAGCGTAACACGTGATCCAGCCATATGAATCGATGAAGGTTCAAAAAACCTCGTCAACTGGTCTTGTCGAGCAATGACCCTATAGGGTCTTCTGAACACAGTGTGACAATTTGAAGATGTTTTGAAATTCATTTCCACCTCGTAAATGCAGGCTGTTGTTTCGCTAGTAATTCCCATTGATTTATCTCAAGTGTAGCACGTGGTCGAGCTGCTTCAGTTGGTGAAGGTTAAAACTACATCAGCTGACTTCTACATGAAACTCTATATCTAACATCTATGTTAGTAGTAGTTTGGAGACAGCCAATCTCGTGAAGGCAATGATGATCGGAAGCCTCATATCCTTCATTTTTGAAAGTCGTAGAGTAGGACAGACGATACTACTGTACCGTGCACTCGGGCGTCAGTCTGGTGGCTTCACCCTACATTTTAATTTGGTTAATCTATCACTGGCTGTTTCCAGACAAGATGGTGATCCAACCCAGTCTTGAAGCAACAATTCTCATTGAGTAGATGAGTAAATACACCAAACATTTTCATATTGCCTATGAACATGTAAAAAATACTGCTCGTTTTACTTGGGAGAACTTTCTCGTCTGCCTACTATAATGCGATTAAACAGCAGAAATGATACAATCCTGCTGCGAAATTCTGATAACAATACTAAACACAGCTAATAATCTGTGGAGAAAGTATTTTTAAATATCAGTTTTCCTTTCATTAACAAGTCAGAATAATTAAATAAAATAGTGAATTTCGAGTAAATTTGTCAGTCGCTTTGTGAGTCATTATTACTGTCAAAAATATGTGAACATTTAAAATCTACTGACACATTAAATCACCATATTTATAGAGCTGAATTCAAACCTCGATGCTATAAATAAGACTTTCTGTGGAGTTATTTTTCGGTAAATGGTTTTTTACAATTTGAGAAATACATATTAAGTAAAATGGGAGAATATCGATTTTAATGTCATAAACCAAATAGCCTTATAGACTGCAAAGTAAATAGCTCACCAGTGAATATAAAAAAGTAGGTGATCTGGCGCAAAATAATGTGAATCTTTGCCCACTTTTTCTTTGATGTTTAGGTTGCTCATACTCAGTTAGAAGCTAAATTTTTGAAGTGCATGGAGGAACTTAGTTGTGTTTCAGATGAACGCAGTCGATTAGAAAGTATAAATGCTCAATTGGAGATGGAAGCTACAACAGTTGGAGAATATGTAACACTCTTCACACACAGACGTGCTGGAGCTGCAAAACGTGCTAGAGCTCGTGAACTGTTGCTACAACGCCTGGTGGATGATAGAAGACGTTTGCGTGTTCGTCTACAGAAGCTTTATACACAAGTGAAACCAGCGTATAATCAAGATATTGCTGAAGCCAACCAAGCCGTACTTGTAGAAAATAAGAACGCAGCAGTGGATGATGCAGGTAAGTTTTTGCATGTATGCTACAAATAAAGGTGATTTAATATCTTGCAAACCAAAATAAAATCTACTGCTGCCACCGGATTCACAGTACTATATATCTTATGCTTCTTTCATTTCACCGCGTTCGGTTAGCAACAAGTAGTTCAGTCTAACTTTAATTTTACTTCATATTCTATCCAATTATTTGCTCCCATAAACTTGTCGAGGTCGGGCTTTAATACTTGGTTTAGTAGTTGAAATTCGACTCCTAACCATTGAATCAAAGGAGAAAATCCAACCGGTTTGTATCATCAATTTTTGTGTCTGAAACCCCATTTTGAGTTTACAGTTTAACACCAGAGAAGTATTCGATTAAGAAAGTTTCCGGAATAAATTGACCAGACAATTATAATGTGGCCACGAATGAAGTAGAAATGCAACCGACTAGTGAGGCTGAAAAACAGAACATGCTGGCCACTTTGTGACAACTTGTTTGTTGGTTCGAGCATCCTAATTCCATCTGTGGTCTGAATGTCGAATATAATTTATTCTGCCGTAATCTATGCAATCGTGTAGACATTCCACGTAGGAAAACATGTGTATATATTTTGAATTGAACTATATTCTTCGTTTACGTAATTGGATTCGAACTTTGAATCTCTTACCGATAGTATTGAAGCATTATGAGTGTCATTTGTAGAATCATTCTCTTTTGAACTTTGATTTAAAGCAGGTTGAGGGTAATGTTTTTACAGATAATATCTGTCTCAGAGGACTACCTCATTACTGTTACAATATTGAAATCACATTCCTGTTTGAAATTATTGTTTAGTACTTTAGTTCTTTCACTCGTCAGTGAATCTTTATGGCCTGGGAGGTTCTCTCAGGAAACAATGTTCCCACAAAATGTTCGACCAGATTATTGATGGTATTCAGCCGCAGTTCTGGGTGTGCATGCAACATTGAATGGTAACCAACTGCAACACATCCAATTCATAAGTACACGCATCTCCGCGAAGCTAACCCATGGGATCATAACTGTTTATTTGTGACATAATAATAGAAGCCTATTCAGATAGCATTATATAGAAATTAGCCTGTTATTCAAAATAGTGTCTGCTAGAAGAAAGTTTGCAATTCTATGCTTGATATACTAGTTCATTCTTATCACCGATGCATAAATATTATCTACATTGGTTTTCTTTTCCGATTGTCAGAGAATTTTTCGAGCAGATTCCTTGATGAATTTCAAAATCTTATTCAAGAAATTGAACCTTCCGTTGATGAGGCAGAATTCGAGTCCGGTCTTTCAAACTTAAATGATGAAGATATAGGCGAGTTAACGAAAGACTCAGCTGACAAAAAACTCGTCCCTGAACATTTCGTCCCAGATGATCTTCAAAAAAACAACTACTTGCCATTTTCATCATCATTGGAAAGTCTACGATACCATGCCCTGCATCATGATTGTCCGCACTGCAAATGTTGCGTTGGTACATTGTTAGAAGTGTAACCCTGTACGTTTATTCTCAATCAGCCATGTCTTTCATGCAATGTGCCTGTTCAGTAATAACCCCAAAAATGACCCTTCATGAATTCTTTCTATTATAGGGAAAAGCGTCATGTGATCACTTGCACAAGTCTTATATTCTGTTAATTTCACGAAATTATTATTTCTGTTCATTATCTCCTGTTGCTTTCCTGTTTTTCTACTTTTGTTTTCAGTAAATAGCTAGATAAAATCTTTATTCTTTCAACTTCTTTGGTGTTGTTAATCAAAACAGAATGGTTTATTTGATAAATATTGGTTATGAGTTTATACAATGTGGTTGTGTGATTAACTAAACTAAACAAGACTTTTAATACACAAAAACTTCAGCTTTCTTCTATGTTATTGGATGTATGTTACAGAAACCGGTAATAATGATTAATTTCATTGTGTGAAGAGATAAGACGTTTTTTCATCAAAGGTGTTTCAATACCATGGTTCTCACTACAGCGAGAAATATTTAATGAGGAGGGCAAGATAAGTCAGCCATTGGGAGCTGAGGTATTACTCGACGATCAGTCTTACTGAAGCAATGCTAGATAGAAAGAAAGCTGAAATTGACCAGCCCACGAATGCGAGAGGTTTGGCTAGTGGATAAATAACATGAAAATCGATCCCAATGTTTCAAACGTATATTCACTTCACGATTTTCGAACTCTTTACAGAACGTTGACTGAATACTGGGAAACAAATACTGAAATGCGATCTTGATTCATTTCAGGTAGTTGGAGATGATTGACAAGAACGTATGGATTTGGGTTTCAGGCATATTGGCTGTCATCAGCTTGATTTCCCCTAAGAAATTCCAACCTGATACTGATTCCATCATCAAACTATTCAGAAATAAATAGCACCACGGGTTTGAATCAATGAGGTTGCAAATATATCTTTCTCATCATCACCAGTATCAACATTAGATCAGAGATTACTGCGTAAATGTCCAAGTTGCCATACCTCATAATAGCGCATCAAGTAACAAAGCAACAAGATTGAAAAATAAAGAAGACTCAATCGAAGGTAGTAATAGAGAGGAAAGGATAGTAATGGAACGCTGAGTTCATTATAGCGGTTAAGATAATGTATGAATACATCTGCGCCTCTGAAATCGATTCTGAGCCATATTACCTAGTCTCCAACCACTGGTATCTGTAAATAGGTCTTTCTGAAGAAATTCAACAAGCACGAAACCTAAATCCAGAGATCTTTGTCATTTACCGCTAATGAACTTGAAATCGTGACTATTTCAGCGACCTTTACTTTAAAACTTTCTCTTTGCCTTGTTCATTAGAAATTTTCTGTCCACTTCGATATGTGATGTGTGACACGTTGAAGTGACTTACTTCTGTATTTCACACAGCAGATCGAAGTTATGGTATCAGGAGAGGAAAACTGACTACTAGATACGAAGTCGATATCGCTTGAAAATTAAATATGATTAGATCGAAAAGAAAAATAGATCAACGTAGAACGTAGTAATACGCTGCAGTGGTTCAAGTCGTTACAATTCACAACAGCATAGTGAGAAATCAAGGAAAAGTAGAAAAACTTTAAGATGTGGAATACAGAAAATAGGTAACGGAAGTTAAATTTCTGGTGCTGTAAAATCCCGGTGCCGAGGAATAAACACACATCATGGACCTCCAATCATGTATACTGGGACATCAGCAGGGTGGGAAAGTTTTCCAGTTGTTGCCTAAACAGGGCGCCATAATGCATTGGATGAGCGAGATTTAAATCGAGTAGTCAACAGCTATTTCTTGTCACTCTTGAACTTTGTAGTAGCGTTCCTGTCTTCATTTAAACTGAAGGTGAGTGAACAATCAAATTTCTATAGAGATAATTATTTGACTAGGCATAAACCAAACAATCTTATGCTTTTCTTACAAAGTCAACATAAAATTTGTTAGTAGTATATTTTTAGGCGAGTAAAAACACTTTTTTATGAATGTTATTTACATGTGCAAGTTTTTACATAGAAACTCAAATATGCTTCAGTTCATTGTCTGAGGTAGTACTTCTATTCCATCCTTTCTTTTACCGCTTCCTCCAGCAAATTGTCCTTCGTATTTTTCAAACAAATGATTCCAGTAAATCTGTCGGCGTTTGGGTAGACTGTTGGGATCGTAACATTCTATACCCGCTTGCATGATGGCTTCATTAAATGTTTTTGCCGACGTCAAGCTCATATAGTCACTGCACTGCTCCCTAGTACTCTGCAAATTCTCATTGCTGAGTAAGTGCACCAGTGAATCGTGTATACCGACATGTAAATCTGAATTCAAACCATTCGAATTTATCTGCAACCATTGTCTGTTGGGTTGTTTATAATAACGCAGTAGATTAAGAATATCTGTTTTATTGCCGATTGTGTGAGCTGATGATGACAATTTGAAGTTTTTCATTTGTGGAAGTAATTTACATAAACGTACAAACTGCTGAGTAAATTCACTTTCACAATTATTTTTGTCGTACAGATATCTGTAATACGAAAATGAAGAAATTGGACTTATGAAAGACATTTTGCCTATGCGTTTATGATAAAAACTGGTTTCTTAAGATTGGTGCACATGCATGTTGGCTGCAGTTGGTTATGTCGTTCTTATTACATACTGAATTGGCAGTACGTAAAGATGGTTGTACGAAATTTCTTTCGCTACATAATACGTCCCTTTTGTAAAGCCTATGCAGTAAAAGTAACTGTAGACAAAACTTCATGGTGATGCAGTATTAAATCCTAATCCACAGAATAGAGTTTTAGCGAATAAATTGTCATCAGCCTTTAGCTTATATATAATCTAATAAGCTAACCTTCGAGTTGCTGTTGAAGGAATCTGTCGTCATGATTCCAGCTAACGAGCTTTATTGCTGTTATACAAATAGATCAGAGTAGAATGGCATCAATTCAAGTCGATTAACTTCAAGATAGACCATTAAATACAGCTAGTTAAATAACGAGGGAAGGGCTGAATCCACAAGCAATCATTCGGCTGATATTAAGAACTGTACGACTGCTGCGAAGCGAGTTGTGTACGAAAAGAAAATATAATTACTTTTCACCGAATGAGATCACTCATAAGTCTATGAGTTAAACACACTTTACTAAACATCTTTGAAGACAATAGGTAACATGCTTAAAAACAGTAATTTTATCCTGTATTGGTTGTGTGGACCGCAGTAGACACATTACCTGGGACATGCTAAAAAGATTATGCCATCTCGTGAAATATAGTTTACAAAATATATGCCATTTCTGTTCAAGCTGTCAAGTAGGTAACCAAGGTTTTTGCTCACCGATTCAAATGATGCACAGCAATAAGAAACAAAAGAGGCTGACGAGTTATTTGAACAGTACCAGATAAAATTGCAGATGCATATACACGAATCATAGTTGTGTTGGATTCTTCTGGTTCAAGAAAGCTGATCAGCGGTAGTACCAGCTTTTTGGAAAATAAAAAAAGATCGAAGGTTAAGGCAAATGTGAATAAGGAGTTCGTATGCGATGTAAACTTAGGTTAAATAAATATCGAATTGCAACTATTTCCAAGTTTAACTGAGTTTATGTGACTGGGCTGTGTCGGTTTCTAGCGAACTTAAAGTAATCAGTTTTTGTGTAGCACTATACAGCTTTACGAATAAAAATTATAATTACTTGATTTATTGGTGCACCATGACAAGTGCATTTCCAGTTTTGTGAGAATACATCGGTATTTTCAAATCATTGGAATAAGTAAACCGCATACTACGTAATTGTAGAATGTGAGGTACCATGAAGTGAGCTCACTCGCCAATCACGTCTTCAACTGTTTATCATGAACTGAAATCGCCACTGTTCCATATTAAGGAATCGGATTTTCTGATACGTTTGGAAACGTTTTAAAGATATGATCAAGGAAAAAGTATGAATCTTTTAAAAAAGCCTAAACGAATTGATCGATGAGTAGCGACCTATGAGACGCATGTTTACGAGGAGAGTGGAGAGTAAAGTGTATTAATTAAAAAAGCCATAATATGCCTCAAAAAATTGCTCTTCACCATGAATTATCTGAAGTATCAACGTGAGTTATGCTAGAAATTAATGCATGCACTCTTTAAGTGGGTATCAGGTTACCGATAGGAAACTAAGAGTCACGTACATATTCCGTAAGAGATTTCACTGATTACTGCTGAAAGTCGTCACGTCGATTTACTTCACTTTCCCCAAAACATTGTAAATTTTCTTAGTGATCCAGTTTTATATTATTATTATTCAGTATATAAAGAGCATACTAAAAGCGTAAATTAATCATAGTAATTCCAACTTTTCCATCACAACTTAGTGTAGCCGAAATTTCTTTGTTGCAACAAGGATGCTAACTAATGTGTTGATGAAATGGAAACGCTTGTCTACATCGAAAATGAAGTTCTATCAAAGCCATTATTGTTCGACAAACTAGAATTTAAACTCGAATGCAGCAGAGGTTTCTCTCCTTGCTGGAATACTGTCAGTATATCATTTGAAATCGTGTAGAATGGGAATTAGAGAATTTTGAAGTCGTTCATTCAACAGATTTAGTTCGCTGAAATACTCAAAATATTACAACCCATGGTTAACAGTTAACTCATTTGGCACACACTCATCATGACTTCAAGTTTCAGTGAGTTCATTTGAAGTATTAGCAACAGATTTTATCTCATTGAAAGTAGTAAATTTCTTTCTTTATAAACGTAGAAAGAAAGGAAAACGATTGACATTAGATATAATTTGTATTTGTGTATCACAGCGTGTTTGAGATGAAATAATCCCAAAATTTCCCACAAAACTCTGCTCCGAGCTTTTTTTCCCCTGAAAAAGCTGGGACCGAATTTCTAAAGCCTACGATTTATCACTTAGCCCATAAACATAAAACGTTTGTGACTAACATAACAGTATCGAGAAGGAGTATACAAAAGACATCACAGATAGACAGCGATGAACGAGGAAAAAACGCCTACGCACTTTTCTATTCCGTTTCTTCCATACCACCTTTTCATATAAAACAAAAATTAATGTTCAAGTAGGCATATCATTCCACAATTTAAAGACTACGTTACTCCTCAAGTACTACTAAAATGACAAATAAAACTCACTTGGTTTAAAACAATACGAAGTGAATTCAACGCATGTTGATGTTCACCCCAAAGCGCACGTCTATATTTAACATGACAAGCTTGTTGACATGGCCACAGAAGTAGATTGGCTAGCACTGGAGAATTATACGACAACGCATTGTAGTGGTTAACAAAATCAATATAGCTGTAGGATAAGCACAAAATGATGACATCATGTTAAGTATAAATAAGTGGTACACACTAACATAGTTTGTTTGATTTTCCAGTTTCTATATGCGCCTAAGTAAATAAATATGAGTAAATATTTAGGCAACCATGACAGTCAGTGAAATGACCGATCAGGCTTCGATATTTTATAATGAAAAAATCACCTTCCAAGCCGAAATTCAGAAACTTGATTGGCTGGCTGTTCAATGGTTACTAGGGTGACCTTCAGAGTTATTCTGAAATACCGCTAGTTTATTTTAAGTATCTAAGACTAAACTTATTGGTAAATATCTGACTTTTTACAATTGAGGAGTGTGAAAATTGACTGGGAATTCAGATGGATTAAAGTTTCTTTACGTCACCGCGAATAAAAAAGGTCTTAAGCGATTAAAACATGAATACTGGTAGTAGGAACTGTTCATTTAGTCGAATAAGTCAGTAAGGAAGGTAGAAAGAACAAAATATAATCAAGTAATGTAAGCAACAAGGAAAAATTAAATCGATCAACAAACTCACGATACGTCAAAAATATTGCCAAGGAATTTAAGAGTCCAAACCATTTCTTTCTGCATACAAAGGGTTTAGTTTTTGAAATAAATCTGAAATCACAGGGATTGACTCTCTCTTAGAAAGGCACCTAGCGGAGACAGAGTACGCAGAAGACAGTCCTGTCACATAAAGACGCTGATAAAATTCAAACTGTTTTGAATGCTTTCAGTAGAAATCTGAGTATATTTGGCATACGTTTTGCACCTGCCTTTGAGATAGTAGAAACTAATGGTTAAATAACCTATAATTGCCGAAAATCGGTGACAACGGCGCAGACGTCACACCCTTTACCATTTTCAAAAGTTTAAATGTTTTAAGTAACCTTCATTTTTAGAAATTCTCTCTTTGCATACATTTTTGTCCACTTGAAAATCTTTTCTTCGAAGGTTCAACAACTTGAAGCTATGCACTTCTACGCAGGGTCTTGAGTTTTGAGTACATCCGAGTGAAAAGTAAGTATAAACAAAAGTGCAATTGAAGCGACATGATAATAATGAAATAACTTTTTAATTTAAGCCGAGTGAAATGGATAAATGAAAGTAGTGAGATCGATCCGAAGCGACTGTTGTCAATAGAGTAAACTTACACGTCATAATATGATGGACAAGTGACTGGAAGACTGACATTTTCAAGTAGAAGACTTGATTCACAACGATTTACAGTCAGGACATTGTTTATCGACCCAATGGAATATAAAATTTCGGCTAACAGTTGACCAGTAGGTACGAAGCCTAATCCCCCAGCACCAGGATATGATATAGAACCAATAGTAAGACGTACAATAGATTCGACTGAATTCATAAATCCGAAAGAGTAACTATCAGTAGATTTGTATGTAGTTGCAATTCGTTGAAGGTAAGTTATCCACACCAAACAGTTCAATGAGCGATCTAAAATAAGCTGTGAAATGTAAATATAAAAGGTGCTACGTAGATGCTCATTCTTCGCTTGACTATATTTCAAACATGAAATATGTGCATCTATGCATCAAAAACCCTACACATTTCAACTTGTAAAATTTGTCAAAAAATAACGCTTTAGGTAGAAGCATCACTTCACTGTTGAATCAAACATTTAAACGAGAAAATCCCGTCATGGTGTTTACCTAACTTTACACAAAAAATGATAGCTCACTATCTAGTATATATCTTCTACGTAACATGCTATTGGGAAACGGTTACGTACCTAGATTTACTGACTCTAACATAAAAGAAAAACCGCAGTTTATCAACCATCTAGAAGAAAAATCTCCAGAAGTAACTGTGATCGAACTAAAGGAGACATTTTAGCGGATGCGCAAGTTTGCTTGTTCCAGTGGAGCAACCTTGATTTGTCAAATTCAGCGTCAATTTGGGAAATTTGCCCATATTGGTTATCCAGAGGAGAGAGAAAGAATATCAACAGTTCTATTGTCGAACACCTGATTAACTCTTGACATTTTGCCTACCCCCGCCCCCCTCTGGTAGTTCCTTCAGTATAAGTTACATAGTGTCCCGTAACAATTCAAAAAGAACTACGACTTTATTATTTATGCATAACCGAATTACTGGTAACTCACTACTCTAAACACAATCTTGTGTTGAAAAGCATCACATGCATTCATTAAACGGCCAAAAGAGCAATTTTCTTTTCTTTGGAAAAAACGTCTTTATTACATTATTTAACAGTAAATAATCATGTGATTCTATTGATAATTAATAGACTAGTGGGGATCGAACCCACGACCTTCAGGTTCCGCGACCAGCGCGTTACCATTGAGCCACTGGGTCAGAATCCAATGCTCCATATTTCCAACTTCTGTTAGCTCACGATATAGCGCACTGCTGAGGAGTCCCATACTAGGACGAAACAGCTGTCCAGTGCTCCCAGGTTTCCTTTGTTCCTCCAACTGATGTCAGGCTTCGATGAATAACAACTTGAAATATTTCCAAATCTCCACAACCCCCTCAAAATTTAATTGAACTAGTGCTCGTTGGTGACTAGCTTCGAGAAGTATTCCCGAAGTTCCAATGACAAGTCGTGACCGGTGGAGTCAAAGCCTGATGGCCGTGAGGACAAATACTCAACGATGACATTGGGTGGCGGTTTGCGCTATATCGTGAGCTAACAGAAGTTGGAAATATGGAGCATTGGATTCTGACCCAGTGGCTCAATGGTAACGCGCTGGTCGCGGAACCTGAAGGTCGCGGGTTCGATCCCTGCTGGTGGGGTCGTGGGTGCGCACTGCTGAGGAGTCTCATACTAGGACGAAACAGCTGTCCAGTGCTCCCAGGTTTCCTTTGTTCCTCCAAGTGATGTCAGTCTTCGATGAATAACAACCTGAAATAGACTAGTGTTATTTTTAAAGTAGTATTCACCACGGAATAACACCAGCTGAAGAACCATTTAGCACTGGACAACAGTTGTTTTCTCCCTATATGGGACTCCTCTGCAGCACTCCCAGCCGGGGACCGAACTCAGGACCTTCAATCTTTACGGCGAGACCTTTAACCATTTAGTCACTGGGTCGGAGGTCAGTGGTTCACAGTTTCCTGCTTCTTTCAATCCGCAATATGGCGCAACTATCCATCAAATATTTAGTTGGTATCCGCTTCATTTTCGAATGGTTTACCCTACAGGTCACTGTTTCTCATTAGAACTTTGGGATATCCATCTACAAGGTAGTCACTAATTAAGACTTTACAGGGAAGTAGTTTGAAGTCTATCGGGATTTTATTTTTAAGTTAGTATTCATCACAGAGTGAAATCAGTTGGAGAACCATTTAAACCTGTAGCGCTGGCCAGCTGTTGAGAAGTCTTATACAAGGAGAAAACAGCTGCTGTCCAGTGCTTCTAGGTTCTTAATGGCTCTCAAAGAGATGTCAGTCCGTGATGAACATTACCTTCAAAATAAAGTCCCGTAAACTTAAAACTAGAAGACTTTCATTTGTTTCCATGGCTTATAAAAAAAATTGTACATTTTCAATTCAATGAAATGGTCACAAACAAAAATCAAATGGCTGTTATGTCTTACCTTACTGTAATAGATAATAACTCAACCAGTTAGTCAATAGGGCTTTCTTAAGAGATTCATTTATTTTTAGGGTTTTTGAAGCGTAATAGATCAATAAGTGCAATCAGATTTGGTTAGTTGCATAAACACTCCACCTGCTTTAGCCTAAGCAGCGGTGCTGTAGTTGTATAAGCTTTCACAGAGAAACTTGTAACACGCTAAATCGCAGTCATTAATTTTGCCAATGAAAGTCAGGAAATGAATGTCGACAGATAATGAAGCCTATAAATTAAGCAACCAATATTATTTTTTGAAGAACTCATAATAGTAAAGTGGAGCTGTGGTTCATTTATTTACGAAGATGACTTTCAAATGGCCCGTCACTGGTTCAAGCCCCCCTTCACTTGCTAAGGTCTGAGGACTCAGATAGTATCACTAACCCTCATACAATAGGTGCGGCTCACTGCCTACCGCACGAATGTGCCCAAGGTGACTGCGTGCATTTCGATTTCTTTCGAATATGATTGTTTCAGGCATATAACGAATTTACAAATAATATTCAGACTAAGATGAATGGCATAATCAAACTTCGGTTATATGTGAATTCCAAGGAACTGTAAACTAGCTTAACCTGATTCCCAAAAGTTGCTAACATCTAACTTATCAGTAAACTTCTTAGAGTATGGGCTACCAGAGTGTATCTTTAAGTAACGCACTAAATAGCAACTTGCCATCTATAACGTATATCTTCTACGGAAAACTAGAACATGTAGTCATTGTTTATTCATCATAGCACACCGCTATTTCTCACACTTATTACACATTGTTTATTATCATTCCACATGTTTCTGTACAGTTCACACTTCCACATTGTCACCTCTGCCAACTTCACCCCCCAGTGAGTCAGCCATAAGCAAATGCAAGTACAGAATGCTGTTATCAGTGAGTAAAATGCATGCTAGTATGCAGCCATTAAAAACCTTTACACTACGCTTCAAAAGTCATAAAACCAGATGGTTTACAACATGCTCAAAGAGGTTTCCACAACTTGAATGCTTCAAATATCCTGACTAGTTAATTAATTAGGTATCTCTATTAATCAAGTAACTAATTACAAGTGCCATGAATGTACTTCAAAATGTTAGTAGAGATAGTAACGAATTAAGATGATCTGCTTTCTTAGTTTGAAATTTTGTTCAACTCATTGGTTCAAAATAACTCATTATATTCCTGCTTTGTAATACATAGTAGGAGATTATTACATGCATGAAGATACACTGTACAGTTACTTGACTAACAACACTAGTTTCTAAAACTACTTATGAGAATACTGCTTATTCCTAAACTTTTGCAACTATACAATATACTGAATGATGATTAGCAGAGATATAATCCAGATGCGATAGTCAACCATATTTCCATGCGCTACAGTTCACATAGATATTATTTCACTTCCTACCCAAAAAAATGCAACAATAAACAAATGTGCAAACTCCCACACCTTTCAGTAGTAAAGGGCTTATTATTGGCTAAACAGAAACTCAGACAACTGTAAACCAAGTAAAGAAAATCATTCGAATTACCACACTGAAAACTATTTCTGTAGGCTGATTCAGTGAACTGTAGGGTAATTACGTCATGACAAAAAATTCAAGAGTAACAACAATTGGGACTTGATCCCAACTTACAGTTTAATAAACATAGGCGACAATAAGTTATGCTCGGGATGAATTGAACTTAGCTATCTAGCCATGACAGTATGATAGCGTCTAAGATAAAAAAAATTCCACGAATTCAGAAACGTACGTCACTATTTCACATACACTTTTCGTACGCAGCGAGACAGATACATAGAACAATCTAGAACCATGTGCAAAAGTGTATCAGTCAGATTCGCCACGCTGCAAACAAACATATAATAAGGAAATGAACATAAATAGAATGATACTAATGATGGATAGTGGTGCAGTGGAATTTATGACGCACGTTTCATCCTATCTGGGACTCCTCAGCTGAATGTATCTACCTCCCAGTGAGTGATTTTGTACACACTAAGATCGAACCTTTGAACGATCTTCCTAACTGCTAGAGTGTTATCCATAAGGCCACTGAGTCACGACAGCCACTCCTTGTGCGAAGGGCATAGTTTTGATGTTATAGTCTGTAATTTCCCGTCGTTGGTTGGACTAAATCCATGGGTTTCTATTGACACATGGTATCCTGTGTGGATCGCCATGCAGAGAGATCAATCCGGTTCAGTTGACGATGGAAAAATACTAGCCATAACATCAGAACGATACTAGAAGTAACAAAAATTGTATAAGGACAAAATGACTTAATAAATTAGGTGCTCAGAATTTTGAAGATAATTAAGAGGTCAAATATCTGTCCCACTAGGATGGATTTTCAATCATGCCATAAACCGATGTCAACCAATGATGCACAAGTAGTATTCATCTCACTACACAGCTCAAAACGTTGTCAAAGACTCCATGGAATTAGGTTTATCGCTCTTCTAGCAATACAATAAGATAAATCATTTTTGTTCACCATGAGCATAAGTTGTAGAAGAGAAGTCAACTGAAAACAATTCTGGATTTAAAGGGATTTGTATTTTACAGAAGTTTAGCTTTTTTTTCTCTTCATACTGAGGAGGAACCTGCATATCAGAGTATTGTATAGAAAGTTTATTTGATTTATGATCGAAGTCTTAAGGTTAGGCCAAATGTTAGGTTAGGTCAAATATTTAAAAACTACTCAGGAAATTTCACTTTCATAGACTAAAATGGAAGGATTTACCTACTGTAAGATGCAATTCGATAAAACGATTGTAACAATCCATGAGTTTACCCAACATTAGGGTAATTTAGACATTAGTTGACGTCTCAAAATAGGTTCCCGTCAAAACATGCAGTAAAATCACAGTTAAAGTGAACTACAAACATCATGTATCCATGGGAGCAGTATCCATAAAAAGCCATATCAGGGCACTTCAGTTAACAAAATATCCCATATATAATCAATGGTGAGATTCATTGGTTAACCGGGATCTTACCTTCCGATAATTTTCATCTTCTTCATTTAGCTTCTTCGATTTGGACAGTAGGTATGAATGAATAAGTGGAATATATGCCCATTCCTCAGTGACTAATCGATCACACACGGATCTAGGCTTAGAGAAGATAGGACCCAATTTGAAAAAACTCTGACAGTTCGATGATTGTATTACAGAATTCTCTTCATGAATATCTTCGACGATTGTTGACAAATCTGTATAGATGACGAATGAATGAATGCAAACATATTGAGCCAACCAAGTTACATTTATAGTAAAGCTGGTGTCTCAATATTTCTCCCCTAAATGAGCAATAATTGTCATCAAACCGTAATGAAAGTTCTGGATATTGATCGCTAACTGAACTTGTACAATTTGAGTGGCCTGCATTTTGCGAAACAGTGGATACCATCCAAACACTTAATATCGAAAAGTTATTTGGTTGGTAATAAACCTTCACCGCCATCAGGTACCTTCTTCAAAATGGTCCTAGGAATGTTGCTAAGGAATATAAAGCAATTAGTTAACCAAGGATAACCCACTGTTGATTTGAAACAATCGAGAGAGGTACTTGTATGTCCTCATTCTATATGAGTTACTTTTGTCGCAAAAGCACTTCAAAATGCAAATAAACGTATCAGTTACACACACTGCCAACAGATAACCCTAGAATGCAATCTCGTTCAACAGATCTGAGAGTATTTGTAAACTGCACTAAATTTATATCTACACTTTCTGGAAAACCGATAAATAACCCCGAGTTTCGCTCGGTTTAATATTTACGTAGGTGCTAGGTGCAGCTAAATCTGTTATATCTACCTGTCTAGGATGACAACGTCAATGACCACTGAAATGATAGAGGAACTCAGTGTATATCAAGGAGTAATCAGAGTTGAAATAGATGTCTTAGAAAGATCAGTATCAATGTCAAAAAGTACAAAAACTAACCACAGGGTTACTTCTTAATCAAACCATAGTGCCTAACACCAGTGTCAAGTGTGCTCACCGCATATAAACGCTTACCAAGGAATTGGGATATAAGGCAATTTGTGCATGAATGCGTTTTAAAAACTAGGTGAACATCAAATAAAATGAGTTAATTTTTACTGCCACACCCCTTATTTCTGTCAGAATAAAACGAATAAAAAGATCGTTAGATTTGAAAATCGCACTTTTTAAAAAGACCTAAGTATTAAATGAATCTGAATTTATTAACAGAGATAAAAGCTTACTTGATTGACTGTTACTGTCTTTGATTCCAATATCCAGTGAATTTATTGCTTTTGTTGTTGCCGTTGGTGTCATCGCATGTACTAATTCATGAAAGTAAAGTTCTTTTATTTCACATAAACGCGGTAAAACGCGTCCAGCATCAACGTTACCACTGAAAAAATCGACAGGCCAAAAATGAGAAATTGAATGAAAAATCGATGGAAATCTTCTTGAACTAAGAAGTAACAGACTAACTGCTGTGAAAAAATCGGTAACAAGTTTGAAATTTGTTGGGATATGTTAGTTAAATGTCTTTCGTCTCTGAGACTGACACTCAACGCCTTTCAATACAATTTAAAGTCTCTACCTAGTGAAAAAAAATGAAGTAAGTCTCATGGGTCGTAACCAGGAAAGCTATAACATATTGCGCAACACCGATCAATAGTCAGAGATTCTATGGATTAATGACATGGCTCATTCTAGCTACCTTAAGCTTTCTTCGACTGTTTCCAACTTCAGCTAGTATAGCGAACTGTGGTAATTTATGGACTAGCATGTGTAAAAAATGTAACAACTAACGCCACCACAGAGAAAGTTCACAACCTCATCCATTGGTTTACATCTTTTATTGTTTACCTCAATACTACTAACAACCAATTTTGCACTGTTGCAAAGTAACACACTGCACACAAATGAGAACATCATACGGAATTGATCCTAGAATATTTAAAACAGAACTGAGATGAAAACATTGACACTAACATAGAGAGAAGAAACGCTTGGTGGATCAAGAAGATCAACACGAATACATTCCTGTCAAAATAAGCTTCAGAAAAAGTGAATATAATACCTAGCAAGCAGAACATTTTAAATTTGCTGTTAAAAAGTCCTGATTGATACGGAAAACGTATAACTGCTGACTGAGAAGTCTAATCAGTATAAATTCAATTAAGTCACTAACTTGAAATTATTAAGTTCAATCTGTCGACTGTTAAATATAACCTCTGAGATCAGACGATTTCTCAGCTTCTCTTGCCCTTTACGTAAATGTGGAAGAATACGTAAAGCAGCCAAATGAATGATGTTGTAACCGCCAACAATATCGGAAAACAGAGACAGCTTCAAATAATCAGATAAATCACATTCATCTTGTTCTAAAATCTGAATTAGAAAAGGGAAGTTAACAAACATTGCTTGAGCATAAATATCCGCATATACGTAACAAACCAAGTAAGCTGTTACTAAAATAACTGGACCGAATAAGATAGATAAATTTTGCATCGCTTAATGGTCTTATCAACCCAAAGCTCTTAACATCAGAAATATGTTTGTGCTGATAATGTTGTCTAGAATGACAATGAAATCTTAACGATTAAACCATCCAACTCAGAGAACACAACACTATAAAAACCCTTAAAACTGTCCATTGCATCTTGCCGTAGAGGTTTCTTAAGTACGGACTCAATTCAGCAAATGCGAACATCCTTGAGAAAGGTTGTATATGATCCATCTCAAGACGATGTATCTGCAGCTCAGTTTTCATGAATAGGATTCACTTTATCCTAAAGATGCTTTAAGAATAAATCAACTCCCATAATATTAACAGTCAGAAAGTATCAACCGCTCATTTGTTTCAAACTGTACTGAAAAACGATGCAGTTATTATCTACCATGTACTAGTTTCAATAATCCATTGCAATTATTTCGCAAAACCTCCAATACTTCTAAAAATTAATTTCATATAGAATTCAAAATTTAGAAGGTGGCTCATCCTCTTAGTTTAATTACTATGAGACTTGTTTAGAGTCAGCATCGAATAGAGTAAATAGAAAGCAATACACTTAAAACAGCTGAAAAACACTCAAAGCTAATTAACAGCAACCACTGAGTATATATATTTTCCAAGAAATCTCAATATACTACAATAACTATGCGCCTTAACGTACTTTGAGTACAAATGTTGATAGGAATTAATCATTGGATTTCTAACCAATGATCGTCCTACCAACTGCAATAAAGATAAAGCGCATAGCTCAGATGCCGACTGTATCAAGGTGAGTTGATGATTCCATATCTGACTTGATCTTATGCTGTACTAACGTATTTTATAATGGTACAATCTGATAAGAATCTATTGAAAAGAATATTCAACGTTCAGATTGTTTTTTTTATTGGCGTTATGAGAATCTTCAGTTGTTTGAAATCTCTCAAAATCATACTCTATACTGTATTTCTAAAGCTGATCATCACTGGGTTACAGTTTTACTAGGATCTTTATTACTAATTGATATCACAATTTAATGTATCATTTTATTGATGGGAATGACAAAAAGAAACAATAAACGGAAAACTATTCAGTAAGTACACATATACTGCACACATTCTAATTTCGTTACACTTACCTGACTAAATAATAACAATATCCTGACAACTAATTCACTTTCAATGGCTATCAATATATGAGGTTCATAAGAAACAGATGACTTCCCTTGCGTTATGTCTAATGATTTCCATTGAAGGTATGACTGTTTGCAAATACGTTTAATCCAATCAATTAAAGGAAGAAACATCTTTGTAATCATAGATAATTGTCCTTTCTCCATTGTCATCATATGTATTTTGAACTGAAGTACAATAGACTCTAAAACACTAACTAGAGCAGACATTAATGGAATATATCGTGTATTCATTTGTTCGGGATTAAATGACACCTGATCACATTCATCATGTTGCTCTTCCTTATTTATTTGAGTAATATTAACTGAAAGTGATGAGTTAACTCTTGGCCACATTAATCCAGTCAATTGACGATAATGTGCATTATACGCGAAATGCAATGTACATCCATAATCTGGTAGACAATTATTAGGCGATAATGATACTAATTGTAAAATTCCATCGTCTAAAATCATACTACAATCAACGGAGTTCCAGTCTAGTTTTCTTTCTTTATCTGTATGAATAGGTATGGATGATTCTGGCAGTAAACTAGCAGACACATCGCGTACATGAACAGGGTAACCAGTAAGCACACTTTCGTTCCTGTTAGAGTAAAAAAAATAGCTTTTTAAGCATACATTCAATAATCCTTTGATTCATTGATGAATGAAAGGTAAAAGCTAACTGACTGAATTTGTCTACCCCTTAGTCACTTGATTACCGGGTTTCATTCTATTCTACTTTTTTCATTCCGCTATACAACAATTTACTGTTACACCCAATTTGTGGGGAAAATGTAAAGAAGCTTTAGTTAAGGTGCAGAGAATTATATACGAGACGTTTATAGTTTAACTTTCCAGCTTAGCTTTTGTGTTAATCACATGAACCTAAATCTTCTTCAGAGAGGAATAAACTGGAATGATAAGGCTTTTTCGCAGCATCGAGTAGTAAATAAGATACACTTATTGAAAAAACACGCCGCCAACATTTGTTAACATGAAAGAAAAATTTGACATCATGGGCTGTAAAAGATAATGTGATAGTATCTAACTATTATGCGAGTGCTAAAAGCATCCATCATGTTTCATTGTATTGAAACATTTGCCACTGATGGACATGTTTAATCATTGTAAGAATGAATATAGCTTCTAAAAATGATTCATCAAAAGGAAAATTTTCTTCGTTGACTTGTCTTTTGTTAATTTTTCAGACTTGCATGACCCGAAGACGACCAGGTGTGTGAAAAGTGATATTCGCAAGGAATATCATTATTCTTACTGAGAGTGAATGGAGTAGCTTGTCACGGATTCAATTAACTTAGGATCTTCTAAATAACCCAAAACACAGAAGAAATTCTGTTTGGTTAAGGTAATGATCAAACTAGGAGCCATCTGACTATTCTGAGAGAGTTCTCACCTTCAAAACATTATTTTGCACTTGAAAAGTCCAAACCACACTCAAATTTGTGCTCAGTGTTCAGTGTCTTCACCTGACTGAAGTATGACATCTGTGTGTTCAAATTCAACTAGGCGCGCTCCTGGATGCAAGTTAGTTCCGATAAAATCAGAGTTAACTGTGGCTTTCTACAACAGCACCTTTCTCAAAAATTTGAGCAGCAATGGTAATATTGAGCATCCACGGAGAACACCACTGGTTTTCGCAACTTCAGAGAAATAAATCACCATGAACTATTACACTGTTGCGTGATTCCGAGTAGGGAGATTCGATGAGCAATAAATATTTGTTCGATATCCCATTATCCCAGCTTAGAAAATATAGCGCATATCAGGCACCGGTAGGTATGTTCTGAAACTTTTTGAAAAGGAAAGATTTGATAGATGCAGTAACACATGTCTAAGAGCTGCCTGGTTCTCTCAAGCTGATCGTTCTCGAACCCCGGTCAGACTCCCAATAACTATGGTTCCTAGGATTTTCACTGCCACGTTAGACAATCAACAAGAAGGATAAATGCTTTTGATCTTACCACCATCCAACAAATCTTTACGGTGGGATAAGACCTCTAACCAGTGCAGCTCGTTTAATCACTGTGATATGCAAGTCTGATCACCACATCAAGGTAACAGCTGTCGGTCAGAAGTATGTGCGGCTACAAAGTACCAACTGCTCGCATGCTTGCAGCACTATACAAAACACAAATTACCATAATCTACTTTCACTAACCCTGCCTTATTTCTTGTCTTTATTTTCACATAGTTGGTCACGATTATTGTATGATGACACAGCTTGACTACACGAACCTCAAAAGGTACAAGGAAGTTCGAAAGCGTGACCCACTGACTAAGAATAAAATTCGTAGACCAATGATGCATAAAAGTGACACGAATGTGCGCGTTTTACAGATATTCAAAATATATCCATGCTGGAGTTTTCGAGCAGTGAAGTTTTTTCTCCACTTGGGTATTAAAGTATTTAAACTGTACAATGAGACATTCAGTTTGAAAACATTAAGTAGTCGCCTCAACAAGCAGATGAACTAATACTGAGGTATCTTAACGCTAGTTCGTTGTTATCTTGTCGTTAGCAAAAAAGGGATAAAAACACGTGAACACAATAAACGTACCGAACAAATCGACAAAGCATTTCATTCCAAAAATTGAGTCTGGATATTGGCATTAATAATTGATTCCAATGATTAATAACTTGTTCATGAAAAGCCTAGTAGAGGCAATAGGAAATTCACATAAAAAGTCATAGCAAATACAGTATAAAAAGTAATATCCTACAGACGGTTCCTGAGAAGTCAAATTCCATGTTTCTGTTAAAAGATTTGAGTAAAATACACTATGACTACAGAAAAATGAACGCAGCAACCATGTATACGTTTATGAGATAGGCAATGAGAGACACCTAATGGGTAAGATTTAATGGTACTGTTCACCTCTGCTGATCTCGGTAGATGAAGTAGGGTTCGGACTTATAATCCACTAATTGAAAATCCAGTGTCTAAATCCACTGAGCTAGAGCTCAATTAAAAACGCAATATATGCGACAGTCGGAATTAATTTACATTATAATGGACACACATCAGTCTTTTTCAAATGAGATATATTATTACCTAGAAATTTGCGATGATGGAAAATATTTGTTACTCAGGCGAAGGTCGAGTCTCCAGGACTTAACTATACAGCTTCGGAAACATGAAATCACCCGAATATTCAGATAAATATTTGGCAATAAACACAAAAGTGATGGATTAAAAACCATGTGACAGAATATAAAATAAATATGGGACTTTTTCTAAGGAACCTCTAGAAGACATGTCATGTACATAACGCAGTACCAGTCCTATTACTAGACTATGAGCCACAACTATTGTGTAACGGCTTATGATGCTACCTAGTTGGACAGGCTAATGGATGTTGAGCGGGTTTGGACTCGTGACTTATTGCTTTAAGGTGGAATGTTATGTCAGTGAGTCATACATCCAAAGGAAGAAGTAACTTTGGTGTGTGGAGTTGAGAACTATTAACCACCCCCACTCATACTTCAGTCAGTACTCAAGTGCTTTATATTCACCACTAACCCTCTAACTTGTTGCCTCTTAAAGCTTCTATGCTACCTTCTAACAATAAACCTAGACGATCATTCACTTTTCCTAATTCTCCAGCTTATGACAACTATTTAAATTCATAAAGTAGCATGCCTGGTCTCCAGAAACTTTTGTTGAAAAGATGATCTACACTTTCACCTGTTAAAACCAAATATACAGATCTTTGAAGTGAAATATAAACAAATAGGTAAGAAACTGCACAAGATAAAAGCTTCAAGAAAATTCAACTGAGAGGAGAGAATTAACACAAACACATGAACTGAACTATCACCTCTTAATTTCAATGGAACAATCTCTCAGTTCAGTACAGATTGATGCATTTTAGAAACTTCGAGGGAACATAAGTTTTCTGAGAGTTACAAAAACATCTAGCTGATGAGTATCAAAAAATAACTCAAAACGTAGGCTCAGGATTTGCTGTCAACTGACTCCGAAAACTTAACAACTAAACAGAACTTCCTATAATAATTTTCACGCCAAATGTAAGAAATAATACGAAACAATATTCATTCAAACACTATCGGTGTTAAACGAAAGTCTTTCGCTACGAAGTCTTACATGTTTCTTTTTGTAGCGAATTTACCATGAGCTAAATTATAATTAGTAACGTGGCAGTCAGCCATGAGGTATGTTAATACCTTTACGTAAACTGAATATTTCGATCGACCCGCGAGTCTGTCATTACATCAACCAATTTAAATATCTAAATACAACAGAAGCCTAGAAGTAAAAAGAGTTGTTAGAGGTCAATTATTGTTTGGTCTAATAAGTGACCACTTAGCTCATAGAATAGCAATTCATCAGTAGTAAAATCAAAACAGATGACAGTTAATGATAGTAAGAAACTCAAAGCGAAAGATGAAGTGGGTCTCATTAATGAACAGTTTTCAATGGGAAAAGAAGCTGACTTCCATTCGCTTAGCCAACAAACAGATGAAAATCAAAATCAAAATGAAAACAGGATTAACAAACTCACAGGTCCTGATGGACACGTACTCAACACTCAATCAATCCACCCGCATATAAGCTTAGAGATAAGAGTACTTACTACACTTTGATCATATTCAAAATACCTACTGTCTATAAGCAATGAACAGTTTCAAAAAGTGCAGCTAGTAGACGAGTACCCTTAAAGGCTACCCTAGCAACTGATAAGACAGCCAATCACATTCCTTTATTCTATGGAAAAGTACTTTTCCAGACGAAATACCAAAGCCTGATTGGTCATCTCACTTGTTGCTGGGGTTGGCCTTTAAAGTCACTCCTACCAGAAACTTAAAAAATGCAGAACATCGAATCAAGATTAATCAAGCTCCTGCAGTGATTTCTATATATGCAAACAAAAAACTGACCTGTTTAGCCTCTAACCGAGTCACGATTTTTCTGAGTCATATCCGTTCTTTAACTTGTTTACTTGTTTCTTTACTCTACCTATTTGCACAAATATCGTATTAGTAAATATTACGGCGTGTCCCTTTACAATTGTGAAGGCCTTCGACTAATTCATCTTATCACAGCCCAATCACTGGCAATTCACAACTTTTAACCTGATTTTTGTGAGCAAAAACATTATGTGCATTCATTAGCATTGTCATGGCTACAGTGTAATTTCGTTCTGTTTTTATAAATCTATCTTACTGCTGAACATTATAACACTCACGTGTTCCTACTGATTACTAGCAGACCGCTATGTGTTTCCAGTGATTTTAAATAAGATGGTACAGCTTTCATAAATGAAATCGTCGGAAAAAAAAATTTTCTTCACTGTTACAGTTTGCTTGATTACCACTATTGATGTTGTTTACCATTCTTCACATTTTTCTAACTGACTCCAAAAACTTGTAGTTACATATCGTCTATATATAGCCGTTAGTGTTCATTTCTTGACTATACTTTCGCTTCCTATATCGTTTTTCCTTACAAACTGTACGCATTCCAAACTTCGTTTTTAGCTCCAGTAATAGAAGTGTTTCATTTATTTACTTACTATTCATGATCATAGTTATGATATTATAATGTTCAAAGTGGATGCAAAGCCATGAAATATTAACATTGAATTTATTTTACGTTACAGAACCTCGCTATTTCCTTGCATTGCTTTAAATCACCAAGGGAATTAAATGTGTAAAGTTCAATGATGATCAAAAAGCGCATAAAGCGAATTGTCTGACTGAAAATACCGAACAGATGTAAGTTCATCGGAAAAATCGACAACCCACGTCTAAACAAACAAATGAATGATAAAGTGGCAAAGGCAATTTTGTTGCTATAACATACAACAGTCAGAGCGATGCAAACAAAGAACAAACTTCAACCGAGAGAAAAATATATAGCAAGGAAACTCTACAGAATAACTTACAATTTTTGGCTGCAAATCGATTCGAGATAGCAAATGGAGACAAGTAGGAATAGATGTGACTACGACAGCCATAAGTGAAGTGTTCAAGCCAGCTACCGTTAAACCATGCTGCAACAAATACGTACATGAAGATGCTATACGAGGTATTGTAGCACGAAAAAACACAATTTACAGTGAATAAAATGAACAATCAGGAAAAATAAGAAAACCGACTGGTAAATATTATTGACGCTGGTACGATATTTATAAGACAATATAAATTTCTATTTGATTTGACAAACTGCATTTCACCACCAAAGCAAATAGAAGTATCAGTATACAACCTCGTACACAAGCACATGAGTTTAATTTACCTAAAGTTTTGTTACATTGAATTCACAGTACACATGTGTGACAGAAGTGAGCCTTAAGTGAACAAGACAAAGCATATGGTATGGTTCACTGGCTTAAGTTTTTAGTCTTTAAGCGATGGGTATCGGTTACAAACCCTTTTTCATCCACTTCTGTGCGAGCAACTGAGTAGTATCATTAATCCTAATACCGTAGTAGTAAACACGCTGTGCTGTGCTGGGTTGCTGAGTTGCATTATTCGTTGCCAGTAAAGTAGCTCTGCATTCCAAACGTGTTTAAAGAACAACAATGAAGACCTAAATAATAATAATAATATAACCTAGCGATTACATCCAGTTTTATATGTGCACTAGGTTACAGGCTACATCAATTGTGCTTGAATTAGCAACAATACCTGATAGCAGGGGGTTTTGAGTTTGAGATTTAGTAACTGAAAGATAATTGCTTCAAACTCAAAAATTTCTGAAACAGGATTTTAACAGATAGATTCAGTTTAGTCATTGGATTGATCGATAAAATTCATAGAAAATTCTAGGTAACTGATCACATTCAAATACTAACCTTCGGATTATTGTCTTACCATTTTGGTAGTTGGTTTACAGGATTCTCTAACTAAATGAAAGTGATCTAAATACCATATATAACTATTTTGCTTGTTTGGTGTTGAGCTTTATCAGCAGAGCACTCGGATAAATTCAACCCACAGAAGAGTCAAAGTAGTTACAATAACTGAGTCTTGTTGGGTGACTTTCAAAGGTCCGGTTTATCATAAGATTAGTGATCAATCTGCAAAGTATTTACAAACTTCACAGTCTGTTAATATACATACAGATAAGTTTAAATGTAGTCCCCAGCATGTCTAGAAAATGAAGCAGAAACTTTTCTGGAAACGTTAGGATTCTATTAAACTTATTTTTATTGCGATTAAAACAAACTCTGTACTACGATTCTTCAAAAACAAAACTCCTGTGCATAGTTAGTTTCCAAATTGACGATTACTGTGAATGCTTTCTGACTACACATATTAGCACATTTCACCAGTTCAGGACACGTTTTCTGTCACCAATCACAATCTAAGACCCCCTTCAATGGAAATCTTATTGGTAATGCACCTTGGCAGTTGGGAAATGCCTACATGATTCCCAAAGTGTGCAAATTGATCATCCAACATAAATCTAATCAGTTTTTCAAGGATTTTTATTTACTGTAACTATTTGAAAAATACCCAGTGAACACCAATCAGAAAAATAAAAAGCCAAAGGCAAATGGATTTAATATCTAAAAATCTGTATATTTGATATCTTGAATGTACTCAACAGCTATTTGAATAATACTATTGTCTTGTGAACCAACTAGAGCTTGTTAGCATCATCATAGAAACAAGGTACTAGAAAAATGAACAATCTATGGGAGTGAGAATTTAGGTAGTAACTGTGGTAGATACTGAGATTAAGTATGAATGATAATTTGAACGGTTCGTCGTTTTTTGACGGTTAGTCACAGCAGTAGTAAGAGAAAACTATACGGCTAACAAATCCCAAAATCATTCTTGATATCACTGTAACCCGATAACTTCACGTCAAAAGTATGATGGCTCATGATAACACTCATTTTTTCAGGGGCTAAAGAGGCAGAGCGGATTTAAATCTATGATATAAGTGCTCCACACAGACCCAGTGAAAAACAATTCCATCTGAAGTAAAACGAAGGCAATAGGTAGGTTTTTAAGATCAGCTTATAGCAAAGATATCAGTTAAAAACCTCTATTTTTCACCGTGGCTTATCATTATGATTCTTATCAATCTAAGTCATTCTCTAGCTTAGAACTGACTTCTCATACATCTCATCATTCAACAGACAAACCAATAACGACATTCATTTTCACATACCAAATTGAAAACCATGTACCTATCAAGCAAAGGATAGAAATATTGCATTTCTTCACTGAAAGCTGGTAATAAAATATTTGTGATTTAGTGAGGTAGTTAGTGGTAAAACTAACTGCTAGGATAAGCAATTATCAAATAAACTAAAAACTCACTTCAAAATCTTCCCAAACTGGTGTGATCAAATCACTTTCTAAATTCTTGGCTACATGCTGCCCCAAATCACAACACCAACTTAATACATTATCAAGTATCATGTGAACTGTTTGAAGTATGGTACAACTAGAAAATGATGGGGAAAAAACTTGATTACGTTAAACACATTCATACAAGGAGTGCTTAGTGAAAATGAATATAATGAACATGGAAACGACCAAAAATCAGAAGTATTTTACAGAAAATGACAGACTAACTGAATCAAAATACTATGGCAAACGCTTCTCTATCTACAAAGGTTCCTGCCTTATCGCTAAAAACAGGATCATTGAACGGGAATGAAATGAACAAACATTTATGTGGAATATAAAATGAAAGCGGGAAATGGATAGTTTGAAAATGACACGAGAAAGGTGAGTGGATATGACTGTCATAGTTGACTCAGAAAGAAAATCCTATCAAAACAAGTAGAAAGTAGTAAAAGAGAGGAAGGAGGAATGAGAAAATGACGATATTAAGTATAGCGGATAAGGCGCCACTGATATCTGCTCTGAGCCTTATCACCTAGGGTCACTCTAACCTGGCTCCTCTTGTCCCCCGCAATACAACCAACAGGTCCGCATAGCCCCACATGGCTCAAAATAACAGTCAACGACTTCATGCATGGATCCTATGTTTTAGTCTGGTCGCACCGAGCCTTCAGTAAGGTGATGTACTTACTCGGTACCCCTTTCAGTGAGAGACATCACCATTAGACTTCTCGATCGACGGAGTCAAATGCCCTATTCAGGTGGAAAAATACAGTTATTGTTGGGCGTCGGTAAGTGTGGCTGTGTTCCAGAACCTGGTAGGGTGTGAATATTCGGTCGATACACACACGGCCAGGTCTGAAGCCCGTCTGGTTTCCTCGGGCTTGCTGCGCCCGAGATCCACGCAGGCGTCTAGTGATTATGCAACCTCATCGGGTCGTCAAAGTAAACAAGCCTGACTACCATGTCAAGGTAGCAGCTATCGGTCGGGTCATAGTTGACTGATTCAGCCACTTCTACGCACAGATTCAAGTTTGCCTCCTTTACACACCGATATTTGGTGAATAACCACTACTAAAAAATACTTATACTTTATATACCCAACTAACTGCCAGTTTAGGAATGCTAGGTGAAAACGAATGTAGATCTTAAACCAAGTTTGTCAGTTTATTGTAAACTAACACATTCAAATCGATATCTTGATTCCAACTTGGCAAATTCATTCAGTGCCAAACTTACTCTTACTCCAAACCTATTCAAGAGGACCATAAAGCTCATCACGAATGAAAACGACGGATAAACGGAAGTAAAGAACATAATAGATGTTCTACATTCCAATAACTACCCCCAGAATATCATTCAGAATATTAAAGATCGAAGCAAATGATGAGTCCTGGATAACCACAGTAGTTCTACCCCTCCGCTAACGTACCACTTAGGAGATATGAAGGAATTTATTGAAGCACTGAATTAGAGCCATTTAAAAGACAGTCAACACCTTAGAAATATCTTATTTCAAATAAAAGATAGGATTCCAGCAACCGCCACACAGAATAGTGTCTACAGATTAGACTACGCCGGTTTTACTGACTATTACATTAAGGAGTCATCCCACGAAATCCTCATTCGTGCTAAAGAGCAAGTAAGCTACATGAAACGACCTCTAAATAGTTCTGTAAAACTGAAAAATTTACAAATCAAATCTGTAATTACTGTTCATACCATCTTTCATGGCCACAAAATTGACATCCAAATACTAAAATTATGCAAAAAAATTTTTTTAATCTCTAAGGAAAGAAGGATAGCCTAGATATTTCTCGTTATATTGAATACTAATACACTCAACAAAAAAAGGTTAAACTATCCAACCGACCACGTCAGTATATCCGAAATAACTAACGATGATTAAAGTATGTGAGACATACACTAAACTGAAGGTCTGATTTACATTACTTTCCTTACATATATTCACCTCTTACCCTCGGACTCACGAGCTGGTAATTGACGACAATGATATTCAATCCTATATCATCCTTTTCATGTGCATGTATGAACAACGTGATCTGATTTCCATTTACAATTCAAACATGCAATAACTTGTACAAGTTGTATTATGTGTGGACGCGTTTCCCACATATTTGTGAAAATTCAGAAATTCGTTTTTCCCCTACCAACCACTTACCCAGTGCTTAACTTCTTCAACTCTATCATGTTAAATTTTGATCCTGAAGTCTACAAAATCAACAGAAAGCTGTTTGACTCATCACGCTCAAGCTAACAGAAACACTACTGACAGTTCGTCTACACTATCTTGTCAAGTTCTGTTTGACCTAACCCTAGATGATGCAAAGAATGTGTTTAACGGATATTTGAAAAGGACCAAAGTGCATTAGAATGCATATCTTCATTGAAAATCTCAATTACGAAAGCAGAAACTCTCTGTGAAGCAATATCTCAAATGGTAAATCTAGTACAAAACAGATGAAAATATGATACAGTTCAACTATGAATGTCCACTGACATACAAAAGCCCGGCAGGTTTTATGCCTGAAAAATAGTGCACCCATCAAATCTTTACCTTTCGACAGGTTCGGAAACACGGGCATACTTAGTGGTGGCCAACACTTGCCATATTTCTTGACGTAAATGCGGCATTCAACTCTGTCGACCGTGGGGTGCGGTGGTAATGCCTGACTGTGAAAACAGTACCAATCGGGAATGTAATGATAATCACAGCTCTCGACCCAAAATCATGCAGCCGCTCAAGAGCATATGAGAGGTTTCATCTAAAATGACGACTAGTGGTGTCCACCAGTGACCCCCGATATCCCCAATCTTATTCAACTTCGCTATAGGTGTATTAATCAGTGAAACCCAAGGTACAAGGTAAAGGTAAAGACGGTGACGAAACGCAGGGTCTTCAAAATGTTTCGTATGTGTTTTGCACCATTCAAATACATAGTGCTTCAAGACGGATCTGCAACCACCCCCAGTCTAAAGACAAGCAATGAAGTGGTTGAATGCGTCGATCACTTCACTTACTTCTGAAACCGCACTAGCCAGAACTCAAACGGGCTTGTTGTTGACGAAATCTCAGCTCGGAAACAAAAAGCCTATTCAGCATTTGCCAACTAGTGCTGACTGGCGAGATATCCAAATACCTATCAGAGAAGGAGTATACTACACTGCAGCTCGTTCGATCCCGTTACACAGTTGTGAAACATGACCATTTAACGTATAAGACATGAAAAGATTACGAGTTTTTGACTACATGTGTCTTCGTAACTTTGCTCGCGTTTGAGCAATGTAGTGGTCAGGCAAAGGATACTAGAGAAGACAGGCAGGTCAGTCGATGACGTTGTGAAACTTAACTGACTGAGGAGGCCTCAACGTATGTTTCACACGCCAAACCACTGCATACCTCAACGTGTAATCCTAGCAGGTTGGACTAGGTTGAAATAGGGCTCAGTTAGGGTGGTAAGACAAGACGTGGTACCAGTCCACAAAGACTTTGTCTCTTCGTCTTAGCCGCGTAGGGGGCTGTAGACAAAAAGAGGATTATTTTTTCTAGATTGAGATATGAAGACAGCCTACAAGTTTTATCCTTATCATTCGAATCGATGTAGCAAATCGTGGTTTTGTTTAGACGGACTCTTTCACACAAGTTTTGATTGTAGTTAGATTACTTTTATTTGCTCCCACCTGAACGAGAGAGAAGTGGTAAAGTCAATCCCAGTTACAATATATGTACGATAAATTAGTGACGATCGATATAACTAAAGAATCGAATACTTACTTATTTCCACGTTTTATAAGACTTTGTGATAAATTTACCAGAAAATGAAGCCAACTAGTCAGAAGTGGCACAAGATAATAATCCTCTTCCAAATGTGAAATCTGTCCTCGTTTTCCAGTGATAAATTTTAACCGATACAAAATCCAACAGTTCTGCGCAGAATGGAATACATCAGACAACTTTTTCCTGTTAAAAGAAAGTGTAAATGAATGAACGCCTGCTACGAACACTTGATAAAAAATATCCCGATAAATAAAAAGTTACGGCTTTAGGCTTGCCATCAAAAGACTCGATAGTCTGCAACGCAGAGGATGGACGGAATGGATTTAAACGAGTAAAGGATGACCATGTTTACATATGACAACACTTCGTGAAGATTCACATAATTAGTCCTCTCAATGAACGTGAATAACACAATGAGAGCACGTTATTTTATTTCTAAAAATTTACATCAGCTGTATACAGCCTGAGTAAATAAGTGGATGATGTAGAAGTAAAAATGAACTGATATGTCTGAGATTCATATTTCCGTATTTTCGGTGTATGATAGCACTTTCACTACGCAAAAATGCAGGATCCTTGTAGGGTGTCAAAATGGTATATTTGATTTCTCTGAATTTCCAGATGGGCGATTCGCAGACTAAATTCTAGAGAATAAAACGAAGATGTTTCCTCTCTTAAATGCTTCTACAATAAAAGGCAATAATAAGCCTACTTCTTCCCTCCATCGTAAAGCGAAAAATACAGGAAAAATAGGAACTTTAAGTTAAACATTCAATGGGACATTGGCATCACTCACTGGTAACTCTGATAGAGAAGTTACTTTTTCCTAAGCTACTTTAGACATCGACGTTTCACAACCTCATCGACTGACTTACCGTTTTTATCTAGTACTCAATGCATAACCTCAAGGTTGTTAATCCTATGGTTCCACCATATGAAAAGAATGCTGTAGAGGCTCCTGAGATCAAAAGCCTAAATTCTTTTCAGGTCTCACACCTTCGACAGCTAATTCGCACAGCCACACAATAGGACATTGAGGACTACTGCACAGTAGTCTCGTGTTTTGATAGGCAGCTAGATATTTCATCTATCACTTAGATTATGTAAATTTGCAACTGCATAGTAGACTTTTGGTAGTCAAACTGAGGTTTTGCCCTCAACTAGTAATCTTTGTCTGATATAACTCCCTGTGTAAATGAAGTGATCAACTCATGACACTACTTCAGTATCCTTTCGTATTCACATTCTTGCTATCATTCAGAAGACTCTTGGTCAATTTACATTTCAGATGCTTACCTTCTTTATCCTGTTCACAGCCATATGGAATCAATCTTTTCGCATCCGTCAATTCGGATGACGCTGAGGAAATCCACTGACGTTTGTTTACATCTGGATGTAGATTATAGTTTCTCTTTACCACTATTTGTGCATCAGACTGAATATCACGCCAGGTTACCCTAGAATCACCATTGCAATCACGTTCATATAAATACTTAGCTATCACCCAAAATACGTATTTCACGTTCTTTCAATTGAGCACAGACAAGCTTCACTGCTGCCTGTTTAACGCGATCAATTAGTCTGTCGAACCTCCTATTGAAACGCAATTATTTTTTCGTTAATAGATTAAATGCAGTCACTAAGATACACAATCATAGAAACTACAAAAGATTTATAAGATTACAGGAATAACCGTGACCTGTCAGTTAGTTGAGTCTATATTAGTGCAACTGCTTGTATTTGGAAGCAGAGATACAAAAAGACTTAATCCAAAAGTACGCTTAACATGGCGAGTTAACCTAATGAACGATCCCAATTAAAGAGTCGTAAACTTTAAATATCAAATATCTGATAAAATGGAAAAAGAATACTTACTGTATTAAATGAACAGCTTTGCATGGTACAGTAGTTTGTGAAATGCATACGCCTAAGCAACGCAGAGATTCAATTTGTAGCTGAACAGCCAACCGTAGAGGTAATGATTTATGTAAAAAGGCAACTAAGTGAGCAGTCGTCAGACAAGTTATATTTGTATCATCTTTATCATTGCACAAATAAGATAAGCAACGTTCGATAAGATGGTGATCACTAACCTAAGAAAAAAAATGAAATGAAGAGAATAAAGTAATCCATTGCAATCTCTGAACATACGAAACTCAATACATTCTAGTATGAGACTATATAAAACCAGTTATACAAATAAAATCGTTTTAAAGGTTAGTTGATGAAGAAGCTTAATACGTAGAATTAACCAAAAGCTTCAGAACCAAATTCAACACCAATAATACTTGATCCAGTTCTGAAGGAGGCCAATCTCAGCTGGAATAGATCAGTAGTAGCATGTGACTGAGCTACTACTGCAGGGGACATCAATGCCTTCAAAATTGCAGATATGCCTTGATAACGAGTGCCGTGCTAGGGGAAGTTGAATTCGGTTGGAAGAATGTTCAGTAAGGGTAGTTAGACCGAAACGTCAAACAAGTGAATGAAGTCTCTAACTCCTTGTCTGAGTCATGCAGGAAAATATAGGGTGCCAAGTTGGGGTCTTCAAGATGACGGGAATCAATAGTTGGAGATACTTGGTGATATGACTGAAAATCGGTCACAATGGTGCAGATGTGTTCATCCTTTGATAAATTCGAAACTTTGAACATTTTCACTTACCATTTTCCAACTGCTTTCTCTTCCATACACTTTCGTCTACTTGGACATCACTCTTCCTCAACTTAATTGTTCTTCACATACTGCTGTGGAATGTGACAACTTGAAATGATGCAATTCTCTATGAGGTTCTACGTTGATTTCATTTGTCTGTGTGTCTCATATAGGAAATAATCAAGCAAAGACATTATCAACATAGAACTTGGTATAATCTAGGAGCTGTCTAAGTAACCACAAGTCACAACGACATATCAAAACAGAAATAATAAGAAATACAAGATGACATAAACAATATCGGCGAGAAAAGAAGACTTAGATGAAGATAAAACATGGATGCATTTGCACTACTGGAATCAATTTCTAGACACATTATTCAGGAAGAATAATCTCAATGCCTGAACATCAAAAGACTATGACTGAGACACTTTACAGCTGAATACATAGTTACAGAAGTGCTACTTTCAAATAATTCCTTTTATTAGGTTTCAATTTACTTTTATTGCATAAAATATAAAATAATTCCGGTTTTCAAAATGAAATCATGGATACCTGTTTAAATCATACATTAAACATTAATATAAGAGTAAAACTTGGGTATTGTGGTAGAAGGTAATTCCACTTTATTTGACTTATTAGATGTTTCGCTGTGTGGTACATCTAATAAATCAACAGTAGCAGTAGTCTGAAAAATAATCACAAAAGATCTGAAATGACTTACAAATGCCAATAAAATATTGTATGAACCTTGAATCCAAATACGACATAAACGCATTACAGATGGTAGTGGAATATTGTTTGCTGTGAACAAGTAGTTAGGACGATTCACATTTGAATTCGTACTACTGGAGAACTGATATTCATTAATAGGAAGATAATGTATCAGTAGAGCAGATATTAACTCTGGAGTACGAAATATCTAGAAAAATGAAATAATAATAATAATAGTCGCTTTATTCTAAACAATATGTTTTATATAGTACGGAATACTCGGCAGGTAACATTTCAACAAGTTCATTCCCAGAACAATATTTTCAATCGATATGATTACTGCATCCGAATGATGTTATTAATAGCATTATTAAGGGCAATCATGTGAAACAGTCAGCTAGTGTTGGATTAGCTGCCGATCTAGAATGGAGGATGAACAGAAAATAGAACGTAAGTTCAGTAGTGACATTTCATCCATTCAATACAAGACTTTCCGATTTGATCTGTCTGAAGAGTAGAAATATGATGTATTTCTGTACATCAAAAAGACCATTTCCACCGAACGTGACATTTTTTCTTCGTTTTGTTATATAATCGACAAACGACTAGTTTAAAACACTTTAAAAATGCGCCAGAGTACATGATACGTTTAGAAGATATAGTTAAATGATCAAAGCAAATTGAAAGCAAAGAATTTGACGTGTGTTCGGTGGAAAATTTTTGGTAGCCCAAAGTTTAAGCGGGCCATTAGAAGTGATTGGAAGTGAATAACGTGTATGCAAGGAAAGAAAAAAAGAAGCAGTCATTCATCTGCACTGATCCTGATCAACTGTATTAAAATGTCTATATCCAAAGTATGCAGTTGTGGTTCATGCGTCTCGGCAGTGAACTTGCAACCCAAAAAAAAAACGATTTCGAGTAAGCAAATACCCGACACCTATATTCATGCAGTATGCAGTATGCGATATCTACCCTATAGTGTCTAATACGATACTACTTTGAGGTCCAAATGCAGTCAGATGAAGCGGGATTCGCACTATACAGGTTTTCACAACTTGTACACTAAATCCCATACACAGAAAGATAGTCACTGTGATAAGTCAAATGGTTAAAAAAGAATCATGTCGACGATATACAACCGTCGAGCCGTTAAACGCGAACTCAATAAAGTTCGATGTTATACATGTGTCTAAGCAGTGGTAGAAATGAACAGTAACAAGAGCTGTGGCTCGTCAGTTCATGGAGTTGATTTTCTACCAGTGGGTCACAGGTCACCGCTCGAGCTAAGTAGTTATATCAAACATCACACAATGGGTGACTCATCGCCCACAGCAAAAATGTGCACAAAGCTACTGGCTGCATTTCGATTTTTCAATTCGAATTAGGAGAGAAACATTCACTAGTGACTGACTTTAAGATGGATTTCGTAAAGCGCTTATGAGACCTGAGAAGTTATTAGACATGAATAAGGTCTAATTCCTATTGGCAAAACTGGATAATAGTCAAGCTGTTACTGACCAACTGAAGTCCAAATACTATAAATGGATTAGTAACAGGCTTGTCATGAAACTAGAGTATGTTCGGTGTAATACGTTATGCGAATAAACAGCAGCTTAGTAAACCAGCACAGGTTTATGCAAAAGATTATGAGTCACATTTAACATGTAAGGGCATATAATACTGAGTGGTAACCCTGAGTCGTTCGGCTTTTTTTGGTTTATCAGATGGTTAATTGTGTAATATATATCAGATGAAATTCGAATCTACCAGTATCCAAGTTCAACTCTTATATTAGGTGGAACAGTTTTCAAACCTGAAGCACTGTGCTTCAAAGTCAAGGTTCAAAAACAGAGTCAAACATACTTTATCCTGTTCTTGATGTGTACTTTCGAGTCCCGAACTAGGATAAAAAAGTCATTCAATAAGTTCCAGTTTACAATGATCTCATGACTGAAGTTAGTAATATGGATGGAAACCGATCATATCAAAGCAGATTACATTTTTTGCTACCAAAGTTGTGAGCAGTTTCACTTAACTTGATTTCTTTCAGTCCCTGCTCACTTGCATATTTTACACATTTTGACATCATTCTTTTTTCGACATATTTCGTCTCTTGACTGTTGTGAAGCGTGACAGCTCGATGCAATATTGTTTGTTATGTGCCAATTTCTACGTTAATTCATCTATCTGTTATCCACATTTCTGTAACAACTGTTTGGCTGTTCACTGTGTGCTTTATAGTTCACAGCTTTGCATTGATTGATCACTGCAGAGTAACTAACCTCACCCAGTTTACTCCTAAGTGCGGATAGAATCAAATAGACTGTTTAGCAATGTAGTCAATATGCTAGGAAACTCAGCACCACAGTTCCCTTTTAATGATTTTAGGTAGTCAGGAGCAATAAGCAGTCAGTCCTGGATCTGGGCTTCACGTTTATTGGCACCCACAAACAAGGCATATCTGTAACATCGAGAGAACTGATATCCCTTTAAAGATTCGAACCTTCATCATCTAGTGCTGAAGTACTTTTGAACACACACAAAACACAGTTACAGCAGGTTGCGCTGGATTAGACTGACGGCTAGTGTACAACAATTGAATACTTCAAAATACACTGAAATATGTTGCACAACTATGGCACAGTAACTAAATCTTATCTTTCTCCTGCTTGAGATAGACTACTACGTGTGATATATATGGTCATTGAAAGCTGCACACCACCAGCAATTTGTATGACCTTTTGATTCCCGCCTCAGATGCTGCAAACTAAAGTAGAAAGCGGATAGTATAAAATAAATCTTGACTTCCACGTCAGTTTATGTACGTAAGCTGAGACATCTAAGTCGATGAAGTTAAGTGCCATCAGTATGTCTATTCAGCAAGATTTAAACCATGGTAAAGATCTAGTTTATACAAACACAGACTTGAAATTCGACAGTGTATCTTAGGTTGGGAGTTACAATAGCATGTCATATGACTATGCACCCTAGGATGTTAGAAAAATGCTCGTTAGAGTGACTCCGCTTTATTCATTACGAGAGAAATTATACCCCCTTTATAAAACGAAAGCGACAAACCATCGAAAATAGGGATCATATCTAACTCCGACACCCCACATAATGTTGAAGTTAAACTAATAATCCTGATAGTAGACTGCAGAAATTTGATGCTCTTCCCATTGTCGAAAACCTACAGTGTGCTAACAATCGGTAATCATCGGAGGCTGCGTACCTATTTTCCATCAAGATTGCTACCTAACATTAGGCAATCGAAGAATAGTTAGAAGCCGTACCATCTAAAATATGCTCTTTATCGCCTCGGTCGCTAATGTTTCAAGAATTAATCAAGGTTATTAACAGTTAGCAGCAGTCTTTTTAAAGTAACGATTGCCATAATTAAAAAAATAATAGTAGACATAACATACAACATTTTTCATAGAGTGACACGCAGAAATTCTTACTTCGTAAGCTACTGAAGGCGAATGACGTAAACCTCGAATAATCAAGCTTGGCAACCAAAGACCGGCAGCGTCAGCTGGTAGGCATACACTAACACGCCCTTTGCCTGGGGCTAACAACCATGCAATTCTTCGTGCTAACTTTGAGCGTAAGAACAAAAATTCAACAGGATCACTAGCAGCCAACTCACTATCATCACTTTGCTCATCAGCTAACTGTTGATATTTTACATTCGGATTGATCTGTTGTACTGGTGGAGCAACAAATAAACAGGCTTGGTGAATCGATTCAATCGACCATTCATGTGCATAGTTGAGAAAAATCTGAAAATATCAATAAAAGAAAGTATTAAAATTCCCCGAAACAGTATGCTTTAAGAACCACACTGTGTTTGCTCGTAACTATTTCATTCAACAAGATGATCAATTTGAGTTAGACAGAACTAACAAAATTATATCTATGAATCAAACGTTGCTCAAAAGACCATAGAACTCCCAATGTGGGTATAGTGTAAATCGTGAGTCGGCACAACTTCTCCTTATCATTTATGTGATGGTAATTAAACATCCTTTTCATTTTTGTACAATGACGTAGAGTAAAACGTACAACTCAATCTTATTTATCCTATAATAATGGCAGAATATGTAAAGAATAATTACCATAAACCTGTTAGTACCTATAACAACCTACATATTTCACGAAATTGATTTTAACATCGATATTCTTTAATTTCTTCAAGAATACCTAAGAATCTTAGAATCCAAAAGGATAGTTGGAGTAGATTGTTTTGGAATTCTTATCAATAAATACAACTCAAATTAAATTTAACACATATAACTTGTCAGACTGGTTACTGCAGAGGAAGTTACCAACCAAAATTAGTTAGAAAAATCACTGAAAATCGTAGATGATTGGGTAGTATGTAAATCATACTTGGCTCATTTTCAAAATTCCATCATTTTTACAATACATGAATTTTGGTTTATGAACTAAAAATTCTACTAATAGATAACTGAGACGAAATTCAGTGGTTGTATGAATGGAATTATGAAAATTAGTGGTTAAATGGACTGGCTACTACTGAATGACTACCGTGTGTTATCTGAGTTTTTATTTTGTACAGCGAATAGTGAATGAAATAACTGCTTTTTTTATATTCTGGTAGTACGTAATTGAAAATCGATAAGTTGTCATCCATCCGGTTTCTCCACATAAATGAACACAGATCAAAAAGCATTCTCAGTATTCATTTACTTGACATTATAATAGATGGAGTATCTTCTCATTTAAAAAACACAAGTTGATATGGAGTGAATACATTCCACAGTTGTCGTCCGTCTTCTATTCTCCTTATGAATCCACTGAAATCCTTTGAAGGTAAATGTATATGTCATGCAAGAGTAGATCCTATCTGACTTATCCCAAAAGATATATTTAATAAAAAATATGAGTAAACAAAGTTTAAAAATAGCTTTATTCTGACTAACCTCTCCTTGAGTATCACAAATTAAATTAGCCAAACAACGAATACATTCAACAACTAGCGTTAAAGATGCTCCACAACTGCCACTGTCCCCACCAACAGAATTGGCACTGGTAAGTGTACTAACCGCTTCATCTAAACACCATCGTAACAAGAAGAGAATACCACCGGATCCTCCACTTTTAGCTGCATTTGAATCTTCCGATAAAGCTGTTTTAGATGACAGGAGATATGTGATTAAACTAGGTGAGTTTATTGGTGCCAAATAACTAATATGTTTGCCAAGACGCGTCTGCGTTAAAGATGACGCTAGCATAGACAATGCAAGGCGACGTTGAGCTGGCACGCTGGAACGACATAAGTGAAACATCTCACCAATTGTATAACCAGCTCTCTGTAGAATAAAAACAAATCTAATGTAATACTGTAGTCAACAGAACATGCTTAATTATTTTCTTGTGAACTGAATTCAACTCAATAAGAATCGAAAACTACCTTGTTAAGCAAACACAACAAAATACACAAAAGAAACGGAAAATACCACTACCTACTGCATGGAATGTGCAGTAGGCAATCAGCCACATCTGTTATGTTTTGGCTAAGGATACTAGATGACTGTCCAAACCTTGGTAGGTAGGCCGGTGTTCGAATCCGTGACCCAATGTTTGAAAGTAGACTGCGTAAACCAATGAGCCACAACTCTACAGAAAAGCACGTTACAAAGATCGGTAAAGTAAATCCTTTATAAAATTACTTTTTTTAAACTCTACTATCGCTATCGACGTTCTTCGGTCTCTAGGCCTACAGCTAGCAAAACCCAAGCACCTTTACCCCACCACCCCTCTACACTAACACTATGTGTTCATAAATCTGGTCTGTACAAAATTATTACGTTGTTATACTAGCTTTTTATGTCATGCAATTTAGCGACCTAGGAAAGGTTTGCAAATTAAACTATGAGTTAACTTACTCCTCAGATTTGTGATGCAACACAATTACCCAGGCCGAAGCAGGTGGACTGAGGTCAGAAAAAGGGATTTACAGGTTAAAAGTTAGCTAGCTAAGCCAGTGAACTGCAAGTTCATTACACTGACCGCCTAATATTGAATATCCTGACAATCTTATAAAGCTTGTGCGCTGTTTTCAAGTATACTATGATGAATAGTAATGAATTCCTATGATAATCATAATCATAATCATTCATTTAGAATTATCTTCTTTGTATTTATGTACAACACTTCTCAAACAACGAGTATCAGAAATGGAAAGCCACTAATGACGGCGAATTACGAAAACCAGTCCATGCTTATAAAGCAAGATATCGTGTATTTTAGTTTACTCTGAAAATTATGAGTAGAATAATTTTGTGCTGATTTTTGTGTGCACATTTATGTTTATCTGAACAACCATACTCAACTATCTATGTACCAGTTAACAAACTGAATTTATTATTTACAGGCTGCCACACCATCAAGTTACATGCAATTTAGAAGGCGAAGTGGAGTTGATCCCAATGGACAGTGAACCTTTTTGGAAGACAGTAAATTACCCAACAATTTCCAATGTGATATCAGTGTGTTTCGCTTATAAACATCTGCTTTAATGTATATACATATAACTAGTAGAAAAATCTTATAGCTAAGTTAAATTCTTACTTCTGGTTCTTCTCCGTGGTGATGCAATCCTAAATGGGTATCTACATCAGCATCAGGTGAAACAACTAGGCCAGATAAATCGAAACGAGCCTGACGTGCTGCACAGTTCTTTTCCGACTCTTCATTAGCATCAGTTTGTATATCGCTCGACGTCTTGATTGAAGACGAATCCATAGAATGGTATTTAAGAACAGTAACGAATAAATCAATCACTTAGCATTATGATCCATTGTAGAAAATCTTTATTAATCATAAAAATGATAACACTTACTATCGTTATCAACAACAATAACAGAAATTTGTTACTCAATAGACACAGGCCAGGAGTCACACATATTGTGAAATCTTCAAAAATTTTCTATGATAATACAAAAGAGAATATTCTTTTCCATCACTTTTTCCTCAGGTCTACAGTTTTATATTTTAATGTTGCTTAATCAGAGAATAAATTCGAATTAACAACAGTAACTACTCCCGGATTTCTCTTGAGAAAAAGCTTGTGCGAGAGACAAATATTACTGTAATTCAGTCCAAAACAGTAAGTTGTGTAGATTATGATACATTTTACTAGAAGGTCAAAATTACTTACTCACTTACATCGCGCGTTCAATGCAGCACACCAAGCGATAGAATTTACGTGTGATTCAGAGTTCGAAAGTAAAATAGCGTTGCTTGGTGTTCTTCTCTCAAAAAGAGATGAGCCGATAACGAGGAAACTGAGAAAAGTACGTGGATACAATTTCTTAAATTCTTATCCCTCCAGTATGAGAGGAATTGAATAGACTCTCTAATAAAATCACCATCAAGATTAATATACGACAAGGCATTACTGTGTAACGGTCCAAGTTCCCATACGCCATATCGACAAACCAAGTAACAACTCAATAAAATGCTAAGACGAAGAAAGAAAAATCTGTCGAAGGAAGTAGAAAGTAGTAAAAGAGAGGAAGGAGGAATGAGAAAACGACGATATTAAGTGTAGCGGATAAGATGAGGATAATGTATGTATACATTTGCGCCACTGATATCCGTTCTGAGCAATATCACCCAGAGTCACTCTTCAACTAATGGCTTATCTTGTCCCCCAGAACACAACCAACTAGTTTGCATCGCCCTACATAGCTTAACCGAACAGCCAAGGACTTCACGCACAGACGCCATGTTCTAATCTGGCCACACCGAGCCTTTTCCCAACCTCATCCTACTTCGCCCAACATTGTGTGACGAGATAGACAGTGGCTAGACATATGTAACATGTTCCAGCTATCTCCGCCGATGAAGGTTCACAACCCCATCAACTGAATTACCTCTCCACCCTAAAACTCTACACCTCACTTCTGGGTAACTTACGAGGTGACACTGCGAAACAGCTTATGCTAAGAAGGCAACGGTAGTCAAACGCCTGAAGCCTTTTCATGTCTTCCACCTTCAATGGCCACATTATACAGCCATACAGTACAACGCAGTGGACTGCAGAACAGTACACCCGACCAGCAATCAACAACTGATTATCGCCGCGCAACATATCGCATAACTTGGCAAAAGCTAATCGAGCCTTTTGTATTCGTGCCGAGATTTTGTCGGCCACTGAGCTATTAGGGCTGATTCGGTTTCCAAGGTAGGTGAAGTGTTCAACGCGCTCAACCACTTCACTCTCTATCGTTAGCCGGGGTGTCGTTGAAGACCAGTTCTGGAGCAATAATTTTCGCTTGAGTGGCGAGAAATGCATCCCAAACATTCTCATGTTACCCACCCAAGATATCCAGAAGACTCTGCATCTTGTCAGTGTCATCGCTTAACATGACCATCTTCCGTGTGTTCTAGGTCTACCAAAAGATTCTCGTGTGATTAGACCAGTCCTCGTTGTTGTTGTTCGTTCAGAAGATACGACCGAGAATTAATTGATGACTGCGTAACAGACTAACCAAAAATGGTTATCTGGACAAGTTCATAAAAGAAACATATTGTTATGGATGTGAAAATGGTATTCATACTGGGAATCTAAAACCATAGATGGGGGTATAACTTATAGTTAATGTACCCAGCGAACTACTCATTCAGTCTGTAGTATATTGTGTGCAGCTTCATGTTAGCAATCTTGACACCAATTGAGGTGTCGAGCAGATAGGTTCATGTGATCTGAATATTTCAGTCCCCCGTCCGTCGTGAGATTTCTCATCACGGCCTGTGCACTTCTGCAAACACCTAATTTGATTTTTTTGTAATTTTAACTTAATATAGAGAAAAATACGCAAACCAAAACAGAATAAAATGGAATTACAATCTACCACAGTCCCCGAGTTTTACTCCTATATCAAAACAAGTCCCACCTAAAATTGCATCAAAAATAAGAGACTAATCGAACGACAAGACGAAAATGGTGTAGTTATTGAAACAAACAGTCATTCAAACCTAAGCATCATCGGACGAACTTCAAAAATGATTTACTGTATACAGTATACGTAGATTTTAAGCGGTTAATGTAGACCTGTAGATTTCGAAACACAAGATGACTTTGAATTCAACAACAATAGATTGTATCAGTACTTCATACTTCTACAGGTTTGCACTAAAAAAGTTGTGAAAATACGTTCAAAAAGAAAGTACAAGTGAAGAAATTATTACATTACTGTCTTTAACATAATCACCAAACTAAGTCTTACAGTGGACTTCGTTAGTTCTATAGATGGTGTTGTCTTAGCTGCGCGTGGCAAATCTAGAGTCCATTCCAATTTATCAGCTTCTAAGACATCCATATGCGGTATCTTCGGACCAGGATTGAACGGTAAATCAGATAGTTCGCATTCAACTGGTTTACGTGATAACTCATCTAGCTTAGATTGTTTCAATTTGACTGTATCTAAAATGATTGAAAAATATGTCTTGGAAAAATTAACATCATAACAGAAAAAACCACAGCATTTAAAAAAAGCCATATCCGAATTACAACTCAGTTAGCGTGTTGCATACTTGTGACTGAGTAGGCCTTCGCTAACCAGAATAACATGGTAGCATCAATAGCTGTAACCTCGCCTGGTCAACTAGTTCACTAGTTACTAGTCAGTCCTAAGCCCGGGTAAAGAGGGAAGGTTGAGCGTAGGGCTAGCAACCCTACCCCGTAAAAACAATCCAACCGCTAAACAAACTTCAAAGCACAAACAAAATATAAAAAATAAAAACAAATTATTCCTCGCTGGAATCGAAGAGGCGAAATGACGCCAGTTGGTGAAAGCCTGCCATCGGGAAGCCAATTGGCCGATGTGTCTTCTCTCGATGAAAGCGAAAGTAAACGTGGGGACATAGAATATCCGCACTATGTTTGAACCTAGCAAGGCTTCCCAGATTGCAAACGAAATGAGAAGGTATCGCAGTGAAGTGTTAGGAATTTGCGAAGGCAGAAGGAATGGAAGTGGACTCTCCAAACTGTCAACCGGAGAATCAATAACCAACTCCGACATTGTCACCCAGATGACAACCACGAGCACACTGAGGGAGTGGCTATCATGATGTCCCCAACAGCATCGAAGGCTCTCATACAGCGGGAACCAATCTCCCCCAGGATCATAACAGCAAGGTTCAACTCAAAAGGAAGAAAGGTCACAATCATACAATGCTGCTCTACGCACCTACAAATAGTGCAGAGCAAGAGAAAAAGGAGGAATTCTACAGACAACTCCAATCAACACTGGACAAGACCCCACCCCAGTTGGTAACACCAAAATTCGAATGGGTAGGGTGACATGAATGCCAAACTGGGAGCGGACAACACAAGAAGAGAACCAACCATGGGTGGAGAAGCGCTCGGCGAGGTGATGAACGAGGATGGAGAATCGTGAGCAGAATTCTGTGCATTCAACGATTTGGTAATTCGAGGCCAGACTGTGTGTTCAAGCACAAGGATATACACAAAGTGACATGGATTTCACCAGACACCAGGACACACTAAAAACCAGATCGACTTCATCTCAATCTCAAGAAAATGGAGACAGTCTACTTGACACAAGGTCAAGAAGAGGAGCAGATGTAGGTTCAGACCACTTAATGTCTAGTGAAAGGAACCTTCCAAATCAAGTTAAAAGCCTTCAAGGAAGCTGGTGATAGACCGCAGTTCAAGTACAACACTCAGAAACTGAAGGATGAAACTACAAAAGAAATCTTCACAGCAGCCAGTCATCAAGACAAAATGGAGATGTTGAGCAACATCCCTGAAGAAACCCGTGTGGAAGAACACTGGAAGTCTTTGAAAGAGATGTGGAAAGAAACCTGCACAAGCATATTAGGAAGGAAGAAGAAAGAAGTTAAGGAATGGATCTCAATGGATACATGGAAGCTGATAGAGCAGGGAGAGGAGGATGGTGAAGCATAAGATAAACCAGTGCAAGGATGCTCAACGACAAGAGGAACTGAGTACAATGTATAAAACACTGGACAAAGAAGTGAAGGAGAGTGCACGGAAAGACAAAAGACACTTCTACGACACACTGGCAAGTGAAGCAGAACAGGTTGCAGGTAGGAGAGACCCGACAACATTGTATCAAATAACCAAGTTACTATATGGCAGAGAAGAGATCAACACAGACGGAACTAATAAAAGATGATGACGGAAATTTAATTACGAAAGAAGAGAAACAAAGGAAACAATGGGCTGACCACTTGAAGAAGCTCTTGAATCGAACATCACCTGCACCTCGCCCAGAAATACCACCTGCAGCCACAGAAGTACTAGTGAACTCAGGCCCTCTGACAAAAGCAAAGTCCTGAGCGCCATAAAGTTACTGAAATGCGGGAAAGCAGCAGGACCACATGGAATCCCGCCGAAAAGCACTGGGAGCAGACGCAGAGACAACAGCAGACATGCTCACACCACTATTACAGAAGGCCTGTAGGGAGGGGAAGGTACCTGCCATACAGAGCCATACAGAAGCACTGACTTGACGTTGGTGTTGGAAATCCGGATCTTGTTCGACATGCTGAGTGCAGATCTCCACACTGATTTCAGGTCAATGAACGCCTGTCTTGCTGTGTTTCCTATCCTGGCTTTGACGTCCTCGTCTGTGCCACCTGTAGTTGAAACAGTGCTGCCTAGGTAGGTGAAAGAGGCTACTTCCTTTAAGTTTCTCCCATTAATGGTGATTAGTGCTTGTTGCTGTTGGTTCAGTATTTTCATCACCTGTCTTTTTTACGTTCACCTGAAGGGAGTTCCGTCTTCTCTGCCTCTTCTGCCAACTTGTTAGTTTTCGCCTGTAGATATTAGACATAAATCATCATCGGCGAGATCCAAATCTTCTAGAGTCTTGCCATCGGTTCAGCGTATGCCCATCTTTTCGCTCCTCACACTTTGTTGCATGATCAAGTCCAGTCGACCACAATCAGAAAGAGCATCGGCGATAATAGGCAACCAGGTGTTACTCCTGTCTTCACTTGAAAGGCATCACTGAGCTTTCCATTGTGAATTACTTGGCATATGGCGTCATCATGTAGCCGTTGAATGAGGTTGATAAAGGTTTGTGGCACTCCACAGTGTTGAAGCAGCTACCAAATTACTTCTTGGTCGACGCTCATAAACCATTAATTGAATGGCCAATAAACCTATTAGTCAAAACTAGCTGTTACATATGCTTATATTCGTGAAGACGGAACTTTTCAGACAAATGACGGTTGGAATCTACTCATATTGACATGGTGAAACGCACTTTATTTGGAGAATATCCTTAACTTTTGGCATATCCGACAAGATCCTATTTATTAAATGCATTCAATTAACTTCACCAACCACGGCACTAGAAATAATAAGCGTAAAAGTGTAAGCTATTTGACTAGTATTTATATGCAGTTTAATGTACAATAAATATTCTAGTCCATAAGGATGGTTTTGTACACTCAAATGCTGTTAGATAAAAGTTGACAATAAGTGCAAGCTTTTTAGTTCTTCAGAAATTATGTTTCAAAATTATTATTGCTAACAGACTATGTAAAATGATAAGGTGATACTATCATTGAAGTGCTGAACATAATCAATGCTCGATGGACTTACTGACTGATAAGTGACAGGCTAAATCAACTTAGAACCTCTCACATAAGTGCATCGGCTCAGGTTGCCACATTTCACAGTAGTATACAAAGAACAGGTGGATAGAAAAGGAATGATATCAAAGTAGACGAAGTTCTGTGAGGTAAGAAACAATTTGAAAATAACGGTTAGTGAAAATATTCAAGCTTTATAATATGTCAATGAGTGAATACATCTGTGCCATTTTCACTGATTTTGAGTCATGTCACCAAAAGTCCCCAACCACTGATCCATTTCGTTCCACAGACCCCACCCAGGCAGGCAACATCTCCCCATATAACTCAGATCAACAGTAATGAATGGTACCACGTCTTGGTCTGGCCACCCTGAACTCTCTTCTAAACTAAGCCAACTTCCTCTGGCATGGCAGCTCAAGGAAGACAGTGGCTAAGCATGCACAATATATGCCCAAACCATCTCAGTCGACTAAGGTTCACAAACTCATTAATCAACTTACCTGTCTTTCACAATACCCTTCGCCTGACCTCAACATTGCTCTCACAATGCTTGATGGAAACACAACTACTCTATGAGGCTTATTATATAGACCACCGAGTGTATACGTAGTCATTGGAACTGAAAAGTAACCAAATCGAATGTTGCATTAGATTTTCAGGTATTCAGAACATAAGGGACATCGGTAAAATCCATGAAGAAATGTCTTTTCAAAGGTTTTATTTGTTCATTTCAAAATCTTATTCGGACCATCTTTTAGCTTTTTCAGCTTCAACCTACTTTCCTCAATATTGCGCAACAGGACAGTGCTAGAAGAAATTTTAGGCTGGTCAAACCAAGACGGCACGAATCTCTGAAGTTACAGTTTGTCTGGAAAACTTGAGAGTATCTGGATGAAGTCTTTAAGATGAAATAGACAGTTAAAATGCGCTCAGAAACCACATGGAAGTTCGTACAGTAGGCTAGGTGCCACACCTATAGTGGGAGAGCCAGCGATTCTACCTGGCTGTTCATACCTCGGCAGACGGAGTGTGTCTCGAATCCTTGACCCACCAGTTGGAAGTTAAATACCTAGAACAGTGAGCCACAGCTCCACAAGATGGAAGAATGTATACAGTAAGACTACGAGTACACCGCAGTTACGCATATGTGCTCACGCCGTATCATAATCGAAATTTACAGCTTTGTTAAATAAAAACAACTGATAACGGGCACTCCTAAACTTATTTGACACTACAAAGTAAGTCTTTACACCATTGCTAAAATTATGGATAGAGCCTTCAGCATGTAGCATACACTTTATATACTGCTTTAAATGATAGAGAATTACTAAACAACACCAGGCTGTTACAAGCAAGTTGGAATATATAGTTAGTGCAATTTTCAATTGAGTTTCTCTTTTTTGTCAAAAAGAATAGTTATATAAAAAAGTTATTGAAGCTAGAACTTTCAACCCCAGTGAACAACAAGATAAGACCCATAATTTATTTATTCCGAATAGATAAATAGTTTTTGGATTAAATAACCGCTATATAACGTTTTAAAACACTTGGAACTTACCCGTGTCGTTTTTATTATGACTTTTTTGCATTAGAAATGATAGGACACTGGGGTCTAAAATGGAATAAGGAGTTATAATTTTAGAATTTACAACAAAAAGGTTGGTGAATTTTTGTAAAAACCGCACTGGCGTTAGCCCACGAGCCTAGAAGACAAAGCCTATCAAAAAGCAGCATGTAGTATGTCAACAGACCAACTAAAATCAAAATGTTCCAAACCATTACTGTCACTCATCTCACAAGGTTGACTTACCTGATACTTAGTACAGATAAAAGGTCATTTAAAAGAGGGAATAAAACTGGATTTGACGGTTTTGCTAAATGTTATAAATGCCATCCCAACAGTTCCTATAACATTTGCAGTATATCAATCCTGCAACTTAGTCAAAAATAATTCAGTTAGGCGACATGAAACTAAGCATTACTGTATAAACTTCCACATTATCGTACTCGATATCAGTATATCAAGATGAAAAACAAAGGAATAAAGAACAGAGATACAGCCTCCAACTCTTGGAGAAGTTATGATGGCTGTAAGCAACTGGAAAGGATGAAGGGTATTAGAGTCGGATGATCTAATATCGGAGATATTTACAGACAGTAGTAGAGGAATATTGGTCAAAAAACTTTTAACAGGAATATGATAACCAGATATGATCCCTTCTCACTTATCTCAATCGCAGACTGCCTCAGTTTCTATGAAAAGATACCAACAGGGGAATCAGTCTGATGAATATATTGTCCAAGATCCTAGGTAGAGAACGTAACAAGGCTTTAGGAATCTGACGACTGTTGTCTTCTCAGCATATATTGTGTCGTGGTAAGATCAACCTATATGAAATCAGACGAGGGAAAGACCTCCATACGCAGGTGTATGATAAAGTTGGAGAAGAATGGAGAGTAAACACCCTTGATGGACACTAATCGATGTAAACAATCCAGCTGACAATTCACCATAAGCTCTAGCGTGCCCACGGATGTTCGAGTACAGAGCCTTATTTGGCACTCCATTCAATGAGAGACATTACCATAAGATCCCTTGATAGATGGAGGTGAATGACGCCTTCAGGTAGAGAAATACAGCTCATTTTAGACGTAAGTTTGTGATCCAGAACCTGGCGGAGTAAATTTCCAGTCAATCAACCCATAGCTAAGTCTAAGACTGACCTAGTTTTTCCCGGTTTGTTGTTCCCGAGCTCCACTCAAACGTCTAATGACTAAAGAATGCAGACTATTTTAGCCAGATTGATTCCCCTGTGGTTATCACAAGAGGATTTCCGCCCTTTCTTGGAGACTAGGACAATCAGTGAGTGAAACTAGTCCAGGGAATCAAACTCGACTCTTACATGCTAACTAACCCTACAGTTAACCTGATCAATAAATCGCAATCACTGTACTTAAATATATCTCCGGTAGTGGTCTGTTTAGTCCTGATGCCTTTTCTCGTTTTAGATTACTTACAGCTTTCTCGACTGCTGCAAGTGTTGGAGATACCACCTAGATAGCGGCAACGGAATAGTAGCTGGAGACCAGTTGAATTATTTCTCGAAGTGTTCGGCCCATCGTTCAACTTTTTTTCCTTGAGTGAATCATAATCATTCTTCTCTTCTACAGTCTCACTGATTACCTAACTTTTCTTCCCAGTTTCCTTAAAAATTCTAAATAGCTGTTTACTACTACATATCGCCACTCCTTTTCTCAACTTTTTGACCTTCGATACCCATCATTGTTTGCAATCAATGCATGGACCATTTTATCAACATGCATTCAAGTTGCTTTCGCTCCTCATTATGCTCGAAGCCTATAACACTGTGTTTGAGTGCATCCATTATTTCAGAAGAAGCAGTTGATATTCACTGGGTTTTTAACCACTCTTCTTCCGGATGAGTGCTGCTCTGTTCCGATAACTATCAAGCTAGTTTCTCACTAAAAGCAGCCTTAGTGCTCTCATTGTCCAGTCGCACTCATAATGGTCATATTGCAGGCGTACGCGCGTTCGAATCAACATACGGTTACTGTTTAAAGGCTTGCTGCAGTAAGAAAAGCCATTTTCCGCCGACGTCCAAAGACAGCTGATGGCAATATGGTCTGTCTGGTCATCTGCTGTGACACTCACACATGAACTTTTGGTTTATAGTAGGGGATTAGACAGTTTTCGGCATCACTCGTCCTTCATTTCTCCTGAACTGTAGTTGATGGGCACGTAAGTAGAGATTAAAAAGACAAAATGGTGAGTTTCATTTATTTTTTTCAGTCTTCATTGTGTTTTTCAAAGGAACAGTACATAACGGACTGTCAACTGGAATTCAGTTAGGCAGTGCACTTTCTGCCCTAGCTATTATTGGTATACCTACAGCTGCAAGAGCATGAGAACTGGCCATCGAATCTCCAGGTGAATTTCGCAGATCCCCCACACTGACCGGAAGAGGTTGAACGAATAACCACACGTGGGTCCTGTATGCGTGTCTTGCAAACACAACCCCACAACCATAGCCAGAGATGCTAGATTTTGGGCAAGGCTTGTCGACCGATTTGACGGAGGGTTATTACATCGAAACCTCCAATGTATATTTTGGAGCGCAGTTTCGGGAGAGCCATGGTACTGTTCGATGAACTCAGATCGTTGTCAAGAGCTGTGGAGCTGGAAGGGATGAAAGATGATGTAGGACTATTAACCGAGACGTAAAGGAAGATTAGAGATTCGGAAGATGGACGGTGATTTGAGGGAACGTGAGTGCTAATAGATATGTGGAGGCGATTGAAATTTTTCAGCTGACTATACCATGGATGAACTGAGTGTGCAGGAAGAAAAAAAATAACCTAAAAATGATATTAGGTTTTGGGGTGGTGAGGTTTTGGAAGACAATACTGGTGAAAGCACTATCCATAAGTTGGATGATTGCTCAGGTAGCATAAGGATATGGTACACTAACTTCCATAGCTTCAGGAAAAAACTGCTCCGATTGGGAGATTTCGTCGCAGGTCTAAAACCTGACGTGGTAGCAATAACGGAAACATGGTTATTAGAAGGTATGGAACTTATATCAGTTATACCAGGATTTACCTGCATAAGGATAGAGTTATTAACCATGAGAGTGGTGGCACAACACTATATATTTGAGAAAGTATAAGAGTACGCTCGACGATATCAAAACTGCACACCAGCGCCAGATGTGAAAAGGCATGTCGGGATACTAAGCAGAGGCAAGGCGCTGTAACTATCTAAATCATCTATGGTAGTCTCAATTACCAAGCTTAGTATGAAGCTACCTACGTAGGTGGGGGATTAGCAATAGATGCTTAGCAGTGGGAAACTTGAATGTTTTTCAGGTTAACTGGAAGCAGCTCATATCTGCATTTCCACGTAACTGTTTCGATATCAAGCTGCTACTAACTACGCTCGAGTGTGCTCTGGTACAAAATGTAGCTGTACCTATGCACTTTGATCCGGAGCATGAGCCTTCACTATTAGAACTAGTCTTCAATCAGCGATATGAGGATGTGTGACCTTCAGTGCCTCTCAATGCTGGCAAATAGATTAAGAAGTTACGACTCGGTATTCGAACCACTCCTCACCAGATTCAATATTTGATGTACATACTTGATGGTGATTTAGGTTACGGCAGGGTCAATGAACTGGCCTGCTGAAAGGGCTTGGGAGGAATCTACGATAACACTCGAAAGTGTCACATCTGTCATTTTTCGGTTAATACCATGGAGGCCTTAGATAGATAATCAGAACCAAAGGTTGTTAAGGGGGAGGAAGCGTTACTGGAATGTATTTATAGAAACAGTTTGTGTTACCTTTAAATTACAGTAATACGAAGTTTGGAAATGTTTTAATACTCATCACTTGATAGTGCACTTAATATGACTGCATTGTCTGTCCCATAAAGCTTTACTCACACACTGGGCTTACAGCAAGAAGATAGGATGAAATACTTACTCTACTTTCCACTGAAAACTAAGAAGTCTTAACCAATTGAAACATGGAAACATGAAAAACTACAGAATCGCTTCAGTAAGGTTTGATATGAGACAGGGGTCCAAAGTGAAAGGAGTATTATCTGACTGGAAATCAGTTATTGGTGTTTTTCAGGGCAGTGTACTATGGCTTCCTTTGTTCCTGCTCTACAGTAATGAATTACTAGATATGACAAAGTTATCATAATCGCTATTTGCATTTGACGTTAACGTTTGGTAGGTTGTTCATAGTAATGATGATGGATTAGTACTCCAGACTAAGATGAATTGAGTGAACGGTCTGAACGCTGGAGCCTGAAAATCAGCTCTGGTAAAAGTGCAGTACTGCATACATGTCAAGAGTCATACTAGCTTTATTCAACAGATGGGTCAGTATTTCCTTGGGTTACGGAACAAAAGGATCTATGGAAACAATGACACGCTGTAACACGGCTGTAATCAAGGCATCCTACATGCTATAGTCACTCCGTAATGCATTTATAGACCTTGACGGAGAAATATTTAAAATAATATATCCCACTTACGTTAGACCTAATAATAAATATCGTATCTAGGTAGTTGTTCCTTGCTTCAGGCAGAAAGCAGACATTCTAGAAGTGATACAAAGAGTGACTACTACGTCAGTGACAGGATTTCCGCACCTTCTCTACAAAAGGTGATTGGACAGCCTGGATCTTTTCCCAGTATCATATCATAGGAAAAGGAGGGATTCTATATTACCGTACCGCATCTTGAATATCAACTTGGGTGTTGATCTCTCTAGACTTTTTGCTCTTTCTAGGACTGGTTATCTAAAGGTCACCACAAAAAGTTCAAAAGTCACAGTCGAATAAACTACAGGTAGAAAACATTCTTATAGTGGTTAATAATTTGAACTTGTTAGGGAAACTATGGGTAGCGGCTCAATGAGTGAACGATTTCAACGAGGAACTAGATCTTCGCAGAGATTTATACTGCAAGGATTAACAGATACTACTCGGTCTGCTATCCTTAAAACTGAAGACTGAATGCAAAAAATAGGACGTGAAGGGCTTGGAGACCATATTTGGTAAACAGTAGTATTAAATGATGCAAGATGATGATGGAAACAAACACAATGCATACGTTACTTGGGCATAATTCAGGCCTGCTACTTAGCGGCGTAAAATAAAGAATGACAAAATTTGCAGGAAACGAAATAATAGCTCAGCATTTACTCGCATAAAACACAAAGCAGTTATGGACAGATTTAAACTCATATGAGACCTCAAAACTCACCAGCAACGGATAAGATTTTCTCCCTTTCCTCAATTATTTCTTTCTCCGTAAGTAATGACAAGCGTTCAAGGTTTTCTTGGTGTATTCTCTCAATCTCATTAGATCTAGTTCCCAGCCCGTACCAGTTATTGTCTGGGGCAGCTTTTGCTTTAAATACTCCAGGCGTTCCGCTTTTGAAGATATTAGATAAAATAACCTTACAGTGATTAGACGAAGCACAACTCTGTGGAAATCCGTGTGATTGGGTATAAGTAGGCCTTGAAAAGCCAGCACGCTCCATTTCTTGTGCGAAAATGCTTTTCGGGGATTAGATGTACAAGAATGACCATTTTTCATGACATGCAAGTCACCGGAAACTTCAAAAGTTCGGGTGATTGGATGTTCCTATGACACAAATATTAAGGAGGCGTAAGGTAACCTTACAGTGACGGTCGGCAAAAAGCAAGGATCCCAATCTGAAGGCATTAATCTACCTATTTTTAGCAGACATCAAGCTTACCGACAGGCACGATAGACTCAGCATCTGCTTTTCTGTGCTTTTTACTAACACAAGAAGTAACCGCCCCTCCTAAATCTCTAGCACGTTGACTGCATATAAATTTAGCCTGTTCACTGAAAAATTAAGTAATAAAATAGATAACTTACAGCAATAACTCCTCATCGGACTTCGCATTTTTCTTCAACATGTTTAGGAGTAACGTAACTTTCAATTCTTGGGGTAATATCCAATATCTTTTTAACGAGCTTGTGTAAACCAGTTGATTTCTTCGCACTCGCTTCTTGGTCTTGCGGAAGGGTTCCAGATCTTTGGCGGATTCACATGCAGTAGATACAGCCACTCGTCTGCTATAGCTCCCATTTACAGAACAGAAAGTAGTGTTGGTTTGCTGGCTTTGGACTGTGGTGCAGTTGGCTTCTTCAGATGTCGAGTTGCCAGACAGCTGTTAGGACTGGTCACTAGAGAGGGTTGGGGATAGTGAAGATTAAACCTAGAAAGTATTTGTGTGAGTAAAAGAAAAGAGAAGTGAACTAATGGAGTAATCTACTTACACCCAAGCAACGTGAGGAGGGGTGCAAAGGTATGAAGAACTTAGGTAAGTAAGGCTAACTTACGGCAAGTGAACGGAATGAAAAGGGCTTAAATGGTTACACTAGAAAGAAAACTGGTTGGAGTAGCTTGACATCACTTCGTGTTCCAGCTATGTGTGGGTAGACAGTGAGTCTGTGCATGACTGTCTAGCGTCTTCTTGAAGCTTTCAACAGTTGGGGCGGAGACCACCCCTTCTGGTAGCGCTTTCCAGTACCCACAGGCTCTGAGGGAGAAGAACTGTGAGCACACATGCGTTTTTGACCTTCAGTGGGCTATTCTATTGGGGTTTCCTTGAGGATCCCCGTAGTGGCCACTCGGTAGGACTCCTCTGTTTAAGTGACATGGGTCACCCATTATTTTTTAAGCCACTATTAAGTCGCCACGTGTCCTTCGATAGCCTGGAGAGTATAATAATAATTCACTTTATTCCACACAGTTTGTGGTGCAATTTGGAATAGGCCTAGGCCTTTCAGTCTATCCTCATATGGTTTTCGTTTCACTCCAACAACCCTTTTTGTGGCTCGCCTCTGGACTTTCTCCGGCAGGTTCGCGCCTCTCCTCAGCTGTGGTGGAGCGAAGACGTTATGGGCCTGTAAGTGGGGCCGTACGTAAGTCTTGTAGAGCTTCAGAAAGAGTTCTGGGTGGGGGCACCCACTTGTCGACGCACGAGTGTAGTACCCCATATGCTTTTGAGATATCACCTGGGTAGTTGGAACTGGTGTCCAGTTTCTCCGTCACAGTTGAACCCAGGTCTTTTTCTACTGTGGTATGGGATAGATGTTAACTACAGAGATTGTAGGATGTTTTCTGGGGATCGGAGTGCGGAAAAACATGGACCGGCACTCACCCAGGTTAAATGCCAGTTCGTCATTATTTCCCCATTCCTCTAGTGTTTTGAGGTCCTTCTGTAATGCCATAGATTCCGCTTCGCAAGTTACTGCCCTCCATAACTTGACATCATCAGCGTATAGGAGAATCGGGGAGCCGATATGTTGCGGCAGGCCATTTACGAACAGTAGGAACAACAGTGGGTCCAAGATTGCTCCTTATGAGACACCGGATGGGGATGTTCTCAAAGTTGAGTAGACCCTGTTGAGTTTCGTGCAGAACTCCCTGTTGTCTGAGTAGTTCTGCAGCCACGATAGCACCTGGCTGCGAATACCTAACCCAGCTATCTTGTGTATTAGGATAGTGTGTGAGACGGTGTCAAAGGCTTTGGCGAAGTCCAGAAAAATTACGTGGACCGGGAAATTAAGATCCCAGCATGCTGTCCAGTGATCATGGGCCATCAGGAGGCTGGGGGCACAGGGCCTACCCATCCGGAAGCCATATTGAGCGTCAATGAGTGCCCGCTTCGTGTCCAGATATTCCCTGATACCGTCGTCCACCACACTTTCCTTTACTTTTGATATTACTGACAGAGGCGCTACGGGTCTATAACAGTTGGGATTCTGCCTGTCTCCTCCTTTGAGGATGGGAGAAAGGATAGCCAGTTTTCACTCTCGTGGGAGCTCACCTAAGGAGTGTTGGAAGAGGTCGCAGAGTGGGCCACTTAAGGTACTTGCACATTCTTTCAACACAGACGGGTGGATGTCGTCACACCCTGGGGATTTTCCCGCGCCTAGCTTCAATAGCTTGTCGAGAACAACAGCGCGAGTTATCTGTATTTCATGTAACTCAGCAGCATCGGGTAACGTTGGGGACCGTCCATGCAACTGGTATGCGCACTTTCTTCATAGAATGTTTAGGTGTATGTCAAATGTGGTGCTCGGCACTTCAGCAATCTCCTGTCCAGAGAGGTTTTCTCCGTTCGGACCTTTCATGACACATGCCCCTTGGACTGTCGACTTTCTTTTTGCCATGAATCGTAAAGGTTTTCAGGGTTTACCTCAAGCCTTTTGGCGATGTTGGACTGGAACGACCTCCTGTCTCCCCGCACCCTTATGTTGCTTCTATATCTTTTGCCAGTTCCCAGTGCTGGTCGATCGATAAAGTACACCAATCCACTGGCCACGAAGCTTTTGAAGGGCTCCTGTTCACACCTTCGTAATTTGCCTTGTTGTAACATAGGTAAGGGTGAGGTCCCTCCCATGATGGTTCTTCAGTAATTACCAGGTCAAGCATTACCAAAGCGTGATCGCTACTTCCAAGAGGGGTTTGTACCTGAACGTTTTCAACCAGAGGGGATCACTAGTCAGTAAGTAATCCAGTTAAGATGGTTTGCCATCTGACCTCAAGCGGGTGTTGTCGCTGATTTTTTCCTGCAGTCCAGCCATTTGGATGACGTTTAGCAGGTTACAGCCGAACTCACGGCTCGGGGTAGTGCCACCTTGCTCTAGGCTGAGGATTGGAGCGCTCAGGTCACCAGCTATTGTAATCTGGTCGTACCATATAGTTGACACTGTGGATATTGCCTGAAGTAGTTTTTGGTTGTGTTCCGAGTTGCTATTAGGGGACCTACAGATTCCTTCAACCAAGAATTTGGTGTGTTTAACCGTTAAGTTGCACCAGATAGAGTCTGAGAGCTCTGCCAGTGGTTTGTTCACTTTTGAACCACCTGTTCACGTATATTGCAACCCCCCCTCCGTCCAACAAACAAAAGCAATAGTTCGAGTATAGAAAAACGTCTCATGTCTAGCTCTTGGAGCTCAGTTCTCCCTGTTTGGTTTACTGCTGCAGTAGGTAAAGGAATCTCTTCTGCTTTTAACACCTATGAGATCCAACACCCAACATCAATAGCGTGAGCAGAGGAAACTTGCAGTTTTCAAGCTCTCGCTTCTAGGTCCTGAGGATCGGTTCTTTTCGTTCGGTCGCACTCCGATCGTCGCATAAGTTTTTGAGTTTTCCTGCTTATAGCTTTGGAGGTACTTGTGAAGGTGTTCTATCTGCAAATTGTAGCTTGGTTCGTATAGGGGGGGACGGAGCTGTTAATAAGATTAATCAGCCGTTTGCGATTCTTGTTGTTGTAGTGGTCCACTTGGTGAATAATCTTGTAGGCTGTTATCTGATCACTTTCGTTTTCTTCGATAGCTTAGTGTGAGATGACTGCTTCTGTAGGTTAGTAGTGGTAATTTGCCGACTGAAATGGTAAGGGAGCTGGAAAGATCAGAGGCCTTCGGGACTAGTGCCTGTATAAGCACCTGAGAAGGAACATTGAGAAAGTAGGGAAAGGTATATGGGGCCTATTTAAAAGGCAGAAGCGGATATTATGGGTCTAGTTACTAGAGAAAAGTCGGTAGATTAGGTATGTCAGCAACAGATGGTTAGCGGTAAACAGGAAGTAAGTATTCGTGGGTTAGTTAGGTCAGCATCTCCCCGAGTGTGTCTGCGGTGGGGCATAAGAATCGAAGTCACTGTGCAGCTGTCTTTCGAACGAGTCTACAAAGGAGGCTGTGACTACTTACAGCGGAAAAGAATTCCATAAAGCGCGTTATCCTAAAGATAAAAGGCGAGAATTGAGCTTGGTGTTAGTGCCCCGACCTGTTATCCGTTTGGGGTGCCCCAGCGATTACTGCCATGTTGTGGGTAAGGTTAGTTTGTTTGCATGACTTGGTGGATTATCCTGTAGGCCATGATTAGATAGCTCTTCTTTCTGCGATGGTTCGAAATGAATAGGTTTGAGCATTTTCACTCTGTCAGAGCGTTTCTTCCCCCTTCGACCTACAACTGGTATAGTTGCGGGCCTTTGTCCTTTATCAAGGAGACTGGAGCCTCCCTTGAGTGTTGAGGGTGCTACTATGTTGAATACTTCCGGATGCGGTCGTGCATAGGATTTGGAAACCGTGAGAAACAGTTTCTGGCGTGAAAGCATCAAACTGTCTATATGAAAACTGCAACGCTTCATTTCCTCCGGCTGCCACTTCTTCGCCGGTAGAGCTAGCGTTCAGAATGTCTAAGAGTTGGAGCCACAGATTCTTATCCGTTGATACTTTGGCGATAGTACGGTTATTCAACTTGCGTTAGAATTTCACCATCCTTGCTTCTTGGGCACTCATCTGCATTACCTTGCGCTTCTCATTGTTGAAGCTCAATCTTTTTTCCGATGACCGGAGTTCTATCAGCTCCAGGTAATTTTGGGTTGCTGTACAGACGGCCTCTTGGTTTACCGCCCTCTAAATGTTTAAGCAATCAACTAGAGACGGGGGGATGGGCAGATTTTGTGTGGGGGTCATTGACAAACAGGAGGGGCAGAAACGGTCCCGGGATAGCTCCCTGGGGAGCCCATGATAATAGTAATGCATATATTTATTTCGTACGACATAGGTTACATAAACACAAACGAGTTTACAGGTTTGACCATTTTGGTAATGAGAAATGACTATTATGTACAATGTTAAGCCATATATAGATACCGTTGTTCATGGCATATAAGAGGTATGTCTAGGGAAAGAACTCTGGTGCGTCCGGAATAATTGTTCGGCATACTGAAGCAGGCTCAGTTCGAAATTAGTTATTCGGTTATTGTTTGAATCTTCCAATATTCTTGAAGGCGGTACAGTCATGACCTTGGGTGCGTGCGCTCGTCATAAGGTTTTGATGGCATGATGCACACTGACAAATGCGATTTCTAGGATTCCATTTGAATGCAGGACTCGTTAGGTAAGCCTGAAAAGTGAATAAAAAAG